GCTAAGCTATACGCTGTTCATTTGGCTAGTGCTCGAATCCAGACTTGACTTTAATTCATTTTAGGTTTGTTTTGGTTTGGCGTTTGTGTGGCTAGGTTGAGAGTCCTCGAGTAGTTTAAACTTTTTGAATCAAACGAATCAATCATTCATATTATTATTCACTCACTGTTGTAAAACATTGTAGGCACAAGACAGATCACGTCTACACCCAGGGGAAAATAGTACAACCAAAGACTAATAATAAAGTAATAAACCAAGGAACATAAAAAAGCTGAACAATTGTGCATGGTGTATAGCACAGGTGTCAAACTCAGTTCCGAAAGGGCCGCAGCTCTGCACAGTTTAGTTCCTAACCCTAATTAAACACACCTGATCAAACTAATTGAGTCCTTCAGGCTTGTTTGAAACCTACAGGTAAGTGTGTTGGAGCAGGGTTGGAACTGAACTGTGCAGGGCTTCGGCCCACCAGGAATTGAGTTTGACACCCCTGGTGTGGAGGAATCAATGAAAAAAACTGAACCAAGTTTCTTCTGACGTCACAAACAACTTTTTTCTTTTGTATTATCATTAAAATACTAAAAAATATTGCATAAACTTTAGTTGACAATTCTGCAGCAAACTTGATTACATATCAAATCAATAACTTTAATTGAACAATCTTAATAAAAGTAATGGTGATAAGTACTCCTCAGAATACTTAATGATATCCTGCTAGCCACTGCTAGTCACCTTCAAAGCACCTTCATTTTATTTCTTAATGGCCATTAAATGCATAGTTTCATTATGATACCTACTGTTAAAGTATTGGTCACTTACAATGTCAATTCTACATTAAGATAACAAGTCTGTCCTCATGGCCATAGTCATGTTATTCAGATAAATTTCAGTTACCTGTAGGAAATGTATGTGGTCACCAGTGTGTGAAAGCTGCTCCAGCTCAGTGTTTCTCCTCTTCATATCTTCAATCTCCTGCTCCAGTTTCCTTCAGCTTGACTCACTTAAGTATTTTGTTTCTGTATTTTTGCCTAAATTTTCCAACATTTTATTGAAGTAACTTGAGTGTGTTGTTGGGGTTCAGGGCCTTGCCTTACAATGGTTCTCCTCATATCTAAAAGGGAGATCTTTTTCTGTAAATGTTGGATCCTTTACTTCACCACCTAAACCCATTCGTTGTGGTGTTGAGATCTTTTTCTGTAAATGTTGGATCCTTTAGTTCACCACCTAAACCCATTCACTGACTCTGGCGATTCTGTGGTCCTGGTTCTTCTCTGTCAGCAGCATTTAATACTGTTGATCACTCTATTCTGCTGTCCATATTAGCGTCAGTTGTGGGCTTGAAAGGCACAGTCCTTAAGTGGTTTAAGTCTTTTCTATCTGATAGAAATTTTTCAGTTAAATTAGGTAACTTCTCATCCTCATTTGCTGATCTCACTTGTGTCCCCCTCAAGGCTCAGTCTTGGCTCCCTACTTTTTTCATTATATGTGCTAGGGGCCATTTTAAGAAGTCATGGGGTGTCTTTCCATTTCTATGCTGATGACACCCAGATTTACTTACCTATTACGAGGAATGACCCTCTCGCTTTTAGTACCTTACTAAGGTGCTTAGATGAGATCAAAATCTGGCTGTCCCACAACTTCTTCATCATTAAATGAGGATAAAACAGAGGTGATTGTCTTCAGCCCTACTGATAACGTTCAGGCCACTTGCCTAGATCTGGGTTGCTTATCTGCCTTCAGATCCCCCTTTGTCCGCAATCTGGGTGTCATTCTTGATGAGTTTTTGAAACTAGACTTAACAGATCAGTTTGGTTATTGGCTCCAGTTTTTATCAACTACGTTTGCTGTCAAAGGTCAAACATTTCTTAAATCGTATCACACTAGAGATGGCTGTCCACGCTTTTATTACATCACTGTTAGACTACGGCAATGCACTTTACTGAGGCTTTTCAAAATCTTTAATTTTTTACCTTTAGTTGGTCCAGAATGCTGCTGCTAGATTTATTGGTAATAGCAGGAAATATGACCACATTACCGCTCTTCTAAGAGGTCTCCATTGGCTGCCTGTCCAATTCAGAATGGATTTTAAAGTGCTTTTACTGATATAAAAATCCCTCCATAATCTAGCCCCATCCTATCTCTCAGAGCTGTTTCATTTTTACACTTCCGTGAGATCTGTTAGATCAAGTAATCAAAATCTTCTTTCAGTTCCTCAGTCCAGACTGAAACAGAGGGGACAGAGCTTTCTCTGTGGTGGGTCCTCGGTTGTGGAACACCTTGGCCCTTGAGATTAGAATGGCTCCATCATTATCTATTTTTAAGTCACTTCTTAAAACGTACCTGTTCAGCTTGGCCTTTTAATATTATTTCAATAGTCTTTTCTACTGCTTCATTTTTTTATTTATTCAGTTGTTTCTCTTGGTTTATTTTTATGTTTTATAATCTGTCTTTTTATATTTACCTTTTCTTATGTAAAGCACTTTAGTCAGTTTTGTGACTGTTTTTAAATGTGCTCTATAAATAATAAATTAACTTTTTTCTTCTTGTTCCACTTCTGGGCCTTTTTTTCTTTTGCCGTCTTTAAACTTGTACAATTAGATCATCAGGTAAATTTCAAATGGTTGATTAGGAGATTACACTTTATCCTTATCATTCAACATGCATTTGTTCAGTTTTTCTTTCAATTGAGAGATTTGCAGTACATCTTCATAATGGAAGTCACAGCTGACAGCAATGCTAAACATGTGTAGATTCTGAGAGTTCAGAGACTGGAATCTCTGGAGAAAACAAACAGGATTTTTTACCTGCATTCTCACCACACCCAGAATCTTTATTGTTTGATTTCTAAATGAATTTAGTAATGTATTCCAGCCCTAGAGTTTTAGCCAGTGTCTGCGAGATTCCTGAGTCTTTCCTGGATTTATTTATTATTTAAAATTTTTTCACCTTCAAAGCACCTTCATTTTATTTCTTAATGGCCATTAAATGCATAGTTTCATTATGATACCTACTGTTAAAGTATTGGTCACTTACAATGTCAATTTTACAGTAAGATAACAAGTCTGTCCTCATGGCCATAGTCATGTTATTCAGATAGAGATCAGTTACCTGTAGGAAATGTATGTGGTCATCAGTGTGTGAAAGCTGCTCCAGCTCAGTGTTTCTCCTCTTCAGATCTTCAATCTCCTGCTCCAGTTTCCTTCAGCTTGACTCACTTAAGTATTTTGTTTCTGTATTTTTGCCTGAATTTTCCAACATTTTATTGAAGTGACTTGAGTGTGTTGTTGGGGTTCAGGGCCTTGCCTTACAGTGGTTCTCCTCATATCTAAAAGGGAGATCTTTTTCTGTAAATGTTGGATCCTTTACTTGACCATCTAAACTCATTCATTGTGGTGTTCCACAAGGATCGATTCTTGGCCCTCTACTATTTTCTCTTTATATGCTTCCTTTAAGCTCAATACTCTGCAAACATAAAATAAACTACCACTGCTATGCTGATGATCTCCAACTATACTTTTCTATCAAACTAGGAAAAGATTTATGATTAGAACAGCTTTTCTTATGTCTAACCGACAATAAGACCTGGATGACCAATGCCTCTCTGCAACTAAATGAAAATAAAACAGAAGTGTTATTATTAGGTCCTGCTGCTACCAACGATTCAATTAAAACTCAACTAGGATTCCTAAATGACAATCTGCACAATCAGGCCAAGAATCTCAAAGTTATCTTTGATCCACTCTTGCAGTTTGACAAGCATGTAAATGCAATTGTAAAGAGCAGCATTTTCCAGCTTAGATTGGTAGCAAAAGTTAAACAATTTCTTTCTAAAAAAGATCTAGAATCTGTAACCCATGCTTTAATTTCCTCTCAGTTAGACTACTGCAACTCCTTGTACATTGGTCTACCTCAGTCAACACTCTCTCGGTTGCAGTTGGTCCAGAATGCTGCCGCCAGATTAATAACAGGAACTAAGAAGAGAGATCATGTCTCCCCTGTCCTCGCCTCATTGCACTGGCTTCCTATAAAAATTCAGAGTTTATTTTAAAATCCTTCTTTTGATACATAAAGCATTGCACAATTCTTCCCCGGTCTATGTCGTTGAACTTATTAGACCTTATACAGCTTGTTAAGGTCCCATGATCAGTTTCTTTTGTCTGTCCCTCGGTCTTGCTGCAAATCCAAAGGTGATCGAGCTTTCTGTGTTGCTGCCCCAAAGCTCTGGAATAGCCTCCCTCAGGATTTCTCCTTCATTTGATGCGTTTAAATTTAATTTAAAGAGGTATTTTTACTTTCTTGCCTTTGAGGGATGCATGCATGTTATTTCTTAACTGTATTTTAGTAATACTTATGTACAAATATATTTCCTTTTCTTATATTTTTTAATACCAGTGTTTTATTATTTATTTTATTTTATTTTGATCTTTGGATCAACTAGGGTTGTGTATAATTGTGTTCTATAAATAAAGATTGCCTTGCCTTGTCTTCCCTCGACCTGTCTCTTGGATTATTCTCTGAGGATTAGCTTTATGCTTCTGTTTTGCCTGTTTGACCCCTGCCTGCTGATCATTCTTCAAATAAAAGCTGCACTTGGAACTTCACCCTTGCTACCATGCAGCCTTTCATAATGCTGTCAAAAAGGTATGCTCCAAACAGATGTTTACAGGGTGCATTTTATTCTTTTTTTTCTGTAAATCCTGCACATCATTGTATTTGGTAATTAATACTGTTCTGATTCAATATTTGAGTGTTTTAGTGGAAATGTCTTCTAAGGCATTTTTGATTGACTGATTTGCTCGGCTTGCACACCCAAGGTTGTGGGTGGATAGTAATCAAAACTGATTAATCATTGAATTCTTACAAGTTTACAATCTTCACCACATAACCTTTTCAACCACATGAGGTCAACAAACGCACCAGCGTCCTTAGTGATTTATTTTATTATTTTTTCTAATTACACTGTTTAAAGTTCTTTTACGTCATAAATACATGTGAGACTTCAATCAAAACTGAGAGTCTGTTTTATTTGTGGATAAATACATTTACAGGAAATGCTTTTGTAAAATAAATAAAACAAACTAGGCTGCATTTTCCACAATCTCAGTCTCCGTGATCTTCGTTTAGAAATGCATCATCAGAAAAAAAAGAACAGAATCTGAGAAATCTCCATACATTATCACTTGATTTCCTGTGTTTGTGAATTAATCATTTACTTTTAAGCACACTGGTCTGTGATTGTGAGGACATTTCCACAACCCTAATCATGATGCAACATTTCAACAAATGTGATTGGTTTCTTTGCCTGTCACTCATATCCCATCATGTAAAGTCCTAGTCCATTTATAACAGCCAATATTTTTATTGACAGAAGAAGATACTGAGTTCATCAAATTTACACATATAATGTGATATTTCCTGTTACTCTAATATAGTGATTAGTGCGTCACATTTGTTCTACACAAACATAAAGATTCATGTGATAATCTGAACATTTTTCATGATTTACATATGACAAAGTTTGACTCTTGAGCCTTCATTTATCCAAAACCCAGGATAGAGCAGTTGAGTGAATGTGGTCTGGACTCTGTGGATGAGGCTCATTGTTGTGTCAGAGATGCTGAAGAAGGACAGAACTCCTGCTCTGTGATCAACATACACTCCTATTCTGGAGGAGATGGAAGATGCAGGGAGTTGAGTCTGTTTGTTAATGTGCCAGAATATGTAACAGGACTTAGAGCAGAACAATCTCCAGGACTGATTATTACATCCAAATCTACTTGTAGTCCTGTCTCCATTCCTGCTGATGCTCTTATAAGAGATGGCCACACCCACTCCATACAGGCTCTCATTCCCACTCAATTCCACTCATTAAATTCGTCAAATATGTCAAGATGATCAGGATACCGCTGGACTGTATCAGTGTAAGTCGTCACTGTGTTGCCCTCAGTCAGACAGATGCGCTGATGTGCTGTGTTTCGATCCAGAGAGAACTGCTGGAAATCTGACAAAGTACAGCATAGCCATTTATTCATTCATTTTTTTTTGGCTTCGTCCCTTTATTCACCACCTCGGAATGAGCCGCCAACTTATCAAGTATATGTTTTACACAGCAAATGCCCTTTCAACTGCAACCCATCACTGGGAAACATCCATACACACTCAATAACTTCTCATACACTATGGACGATTTAGCTTACCCAATTCACCTGTACTGCATGTCTTTGGACTGTGGGGGAAACCAGAGCACCTGGAGGATACCAACGCCAACATGGGGAGAACATGCAAACTCCACACAGAAATGCCACCTGACCCAGCCGGGGCTCTTGCTGTGAGGCGATTGTGCTACACCCTGAGCCACCGTGCTGCCCCTACAGCCATTTAGTTTGCCCATTTTTGCACAAGTGTTATAATGTTAATGTGTTAAATTTGATATGAAGGGAAACTGCAGCAGTATCAGACAAATACTGAATACTGGACACTAAAGATGAATAATTTTATTTAATTCATTATTATAAATTTTGTGATTTTTACATGGCTTACACTGTTGGAAGTCCTTGCTGGTCTTAGGTTCAGTCTGAGAAGTGCTCAGAAGTTCTGAGAAGTTAATTTTTGTGGCTGTAGAAACAAACAGGCAATATTAGTGTAACAGCAACAACGAAAACATACAATACATGTTATTTAATAACTATCTCTCTTTATATTATAGTTGTATATATACTATAGTATTATAGATATTATTTTCTATACATGACGTTTCCCTGTGAACACAGTGTGTATTTGTTTGTTGCAATCCTTCCTTGCCTTATATTTATGTCATATTTGTTTTTTGTTGCTGTAAAAATTGGTGACTTTACCTTGTCCATGTATGTTTTGTATCTCCTTTGTACAGATCTGCTCTAATGTTATTTTCAGCTGAGAGACAGATTTGCTCACGTCTTCATAACGAAAGTCAGAACTGACAGCAGTGCTGGATAAATCTGTAGATTCCAAGGGTTTAGAGAGAGACTGAAATCTCTAAAGAGAAACATAGAAAACAATACCAAAGACAACAAGACATCATTACAGCATCCTCATAGCCTAGATTTGATTTTGAGTTTTTAGTGACTTGTTTCACATTCATTTGCTTTTTAATGGGAATCAGATCTGTGTCTTGACCTCTCATTTATAAAATACTTTTACTTCTATACTGTATACTTTACTTTTCATCTCCGTTACCTGTAGGAAATGTATGTGATCATCAGTGTGTGAAAGCTGCTCCAGCTCAGTGTTTCTCCTCTTCATATCTTCAATCTCCTGCTCCAGTTTCTTCAAGAGTCCTTCAGCTCGACTCACTTCAGTCTTTTCTCGATCTCTGATCATCTGCGTGACCTCAGATCGTCTTTTCTCAATGTACTGGATGAGTTCAGTAAAGATCCTCTCACTGTCATCCACTGCTGTCTGTGCAGAGCTCTGTTGGAGAATACACACAATCAGACCAGCAGGAAACTATAAAGATGTTTTTTTCACATTTTATTACTGACCTTGTGAGTTTTCACAGACTCGTTTAGCTCCTGAATCTTCTTCTCTCGCTCCTGGATTTTCTGCTGCAGATTTCTCTGTGTGTCTTTCAAATGTTTCTGTTAAATAAATGAGAATAAACAGTGTAAATAGAAAATATAGAGCAGCTTTGGCACTTTTAAGATTTTAAGAAAAGTTTTCAGATTTGTTGAATACTTTAAATTTTTATTTAATCGATTTTCATTTTTATAGAATGATAATGTTAGTGTTGCTGTACATTAATGCACATAATTTGCATAATTTTGTTTCTCTACCTGTTTCTCCGTTCTCTCAGATGAAGAAGATACAGTGTTATGATTTTTGTGTTCATCCATTGTACACAGTAAGCATATACTCTTCTGGTCAGTCCGACAGTAAACCTCCAGCAGTTTATCATGTTTTGGGCAGATCATCTCCTGGATTCGTCCGCTGGCATCAGTTATCTTGTGTCGTTTACCGGTGCGAAAAGCCTCATGACGCTCAAAGTGAGTCTGACAGTAAGATTCCAGACACAGCAGACACGACTTGATGGCTTTGTATTTTATTCCAGTACAAACATCACACTCCACATCTCCAGGTCCAGCATAACTGGGCGCAGGGTCAGTTGTTTGGACTTTTGTCATCTTCAGTTTCTCCACAATTTCAGCAAACACCACATTCTTGTTTAAAGCAGGTCTTGGAATGAAGGTCTGTCTGCACTGAGGGCAGCTGTAAACTCTCCTCTGCTCATCTTGATTCCAGCAGTCAGTAATGCAGCTCATACAGTAACTGTGTCCACAGGGGATAGTCACTGGCTCCTTCAGGAGATCCAGACAAATCGGACAGTTGAACTGATCTGGCTGGGCCAGTTAGCATTTTGTGTGGAGTTTCCGTTCCTCCTGTGTTAGCGTGGGTTTCCTCTGGGTGCTCTGGTTTCCCACACTGTCCAAAGACATGCGCTATAGGTGAATTGAATAAGCTAAATTGGCTGTAGTGTATGTGTGTGTGAATGAGATTATATGGGTGTTTCTCAGTACTGGCTTGGGCATTCACTGTGTAAAACATATGCTTGATAAGTTGGTGGTTCATTCCGCTGTGGCAACCCCTGATGAATAAAGGGAAGGACAGCTGAAAGAAAATGAATGAATGCGTAAACTACACTTTTATTCAGAACTCACTGTTTCACTTGATCTGATGCTTTCTGTAGAGTTTGCTGCTCATGGCCTTTGGACTGCTTGGCCCCATTATTGCTGCTTGCAGCTATACATTTTTGATTGTTATTATTATTTGTCACAATATCCCACAAGATCCGAAATTAAATACATTTTACCCTGAGGCAGAAACAGACGTTCATGATTTCCACCGAAAATGTTTAAATCAGTTTTGAGTTCAAAAATAACTGGAACCATAAAGCAATAACAGCAAACACAAACATTCTGTGCATAGTGGAACTTTATTGTGGTTACAAGTACTTATACAATATAATTAATTCCACAGTTTTGTTTGTTTAATTCAATTCAATTCAATTCAGCTTTACTTGTATAGCGCTTTTAAAATGTAGATTGTGTCAAAGCAGCTTCACATAAATGGTCATAGTAACATGGTAACTTTGTCATCCCAAGTGTCTCTTTATTCAACATACTGTAGTATTTCTTTTCATTCTGTAGCAAACAATACACGGTAGAGGTTACAAATCAATGCTAAATGAACATTACTGTATTGTTAACCTGTATACACAACCATCACAGCAATATGTTACACTTATGATCAGACAAACTGACAAAAAAAAGATTTATATAACATCAAAACATGATCTAAGACACATCAAGTCATTTACATAGACAAGCAAAAAGTATTTACTGCAGTAATTGGTATTTCTTGACTGGAACACTTGCAGCAATTTGTAACTTAATAGACAATATAACAAGTTGAAATGAATGGACATAATGGACATCGCGTGGTTTTCCTTTGGGTGCTCCGGTTTCCTACACAGTCCAAAAGACATGCGGTACATGTGAATTGGGTTGGCTAAATTGTCCGTAGTGTAGGAGTGTGAATATGTATGCATGTTTCCCAGAGATGGGTTGCATCTGAAAGGGCATCCGCTGCGTAAAACATATGCTGGAAAAGTTGGTGGTTCATTCCGCTGTGGCGACCCCAGAAAATGAATGAATGACTGAATATTGAGCTTTGCGATGGCACAGTGGGTAGCACGATTGCCTCACAGCAAGAAGGTTACTGGTTCTAGCCCTGGCTGCGTCAGTTGGCATTTCTTTGTGGAGTTTGCATGTTCTCCCTGTGTTCGTGTGGGTTTCCTCTGGGTGCTCCGGTTTCCCCCATAGTCCAAAGACATGCATTACAGGTGAATTGAATAATTTAAATTGTCTGTAGTATTTGTGTGTAGATGAGAGTGTATAAAACAGGCTATCTCCTTGAATTTGACAGAATGTTTAAAGAAACCCACAATCAATTTGTACACAAACGAAACATGGCAAAGGGAATGGGAAAACTGCATAAATAATAAATTACATGATGTTAACCCAAATATAAATAAAATACATTTAGCAGATTATAATTTTGAGACCAGGCATGATCAGACGGTCTATACCAGATGTCAAATTGGACATTTTAGGTTGACACATTTATATTTACTGATTAACGAAGAATCACCTAAATGTAATTACTGCCAGGCTGCTCTTCCCATCAAACATATTTTGTTGGAATGTAGAAGTTTAAATTCCATTAGACAACATTTATATAGGGAGAGAACTTTGATGGACATTTTTAAAAAGGTACCACCAGGAAGAGTTTTAAAATATTTATCAAAAGTTTAACTTAAAAATCATATTTAACTTTGAATAAATTGTGTGAATTGTATATTTATATTTTATATATTTGTCTAAGTAACTTTTTTAGTGTAATACGAATTTGTTTTTATCCCGTAATATTTTATGTATATCCATTTTGCCACGAAATAGCCATAAGTTACTGATGTGGCAATAATAAATAAAATGAGAGTATATAAGTGTTTCCCATTGATGGGTTGCAGTTGGAAGGGCATCTGCTGCGTAAAACCTATGCTGGATAAGTTGGCGGTTCATTCCGCTGTGGCAACCCCTGATTATAAAGGGACTAAGCTAAAAAGAAAATGAATGAATGATTTAACATTAAGATTAATTAAATTCAATGATAGAAACATGTATTACACTGAATAGCAAAATATGCAAATCAAAAGCTTGATAGTAATAGTTACTGTAACTGGCAGTTACTGTAAATAAAACATGTCTGTAGATAAAATACACACATTCTGTGTAGTGAAAGGATATTTTTTGATTGTGTATTGTACTAACACAATTGAAAATATGCTGAAATGTTGACTAAAATGGCACCATTGATGGTCTGTTGTAATATATGTACTAACAGTTTGAAAATTTACTAATCTCTTTTTGCCAAACCAATTTTAAAATAAAACTGTAATGATTACAATAGGGTCGTCCCAATACTGGAATTTTAAAAACGTCCATTTCCACTGAACATTTGAGAGTGTTTTTAAACGACTCTGATTTGTCCATGCTAAACACATGACTGTGATTGGCTGTGAAGGTCATCAGTTCACCGAACACACCGCTGTTTACTGAGTGTAACCACAGATACAGATACAGTACACTGGAACGTCATGTCTACCAGATAATTTGTCTATAAGCTGACATACGAGCGATCCGCTAATGAATTGTGTCTTTGAAACAATCCAGCGTATCTGTATCTATTTTTACACTCAGTAAACAGCAGTGAGTTTGGTGAACTGATTACCTTCACAGCCAATCACAGCCATTTCTGTTGAGCACGTAAACACAACAGCAAATCAGCAGCGTTAAAGAACGCGCTCAACAGTGCTCAAATGTTAGCGGGAAATGGACGTTTTTAAAATTTCAGTATTGATTGGTACCGAATTCCAGTTTTGAAACAACCCTAGATTACAATCATTTTACCATACACTATGACTCGCTCTTTACAAACACTGTTGGATAGATCTCGTTTTTATTAATTACATAAGATATGAGCATACTATTTCAGTGGTTTAAATATAATACTGAATAGAAAAAAGAATGCATCATTCACTAATCGTCAAAATTATCACAGTCTGGGTGAAATGTTTTAAGATGACACAGATTCACCTTTGACTTATAAACCCAAAACCCAGGGTAGAGTGGTTCAGTGAATGTGGTTTGGACTCTGTGGATGAGGCTCATTTTTGTGTCAGAGACGCTGAAGAAGGACAGAATTCCTGCTTTGGGATCCACATACACTCCTATCCTAGAGGAGATGGGAAATACATAGAGTTTCTTCTGTTGGCCATTGTGCCTAAATGTGTAACGGGAGTTAGAGCAGAACAAACTCCAGGACTGATCATTACATCCAAATCCACTAATATATCTCTGTGCCTTTCTCTTGATGCTCTTATAAGCGAGCGCTACACCCATCCCATAATCACCCTCATTCGGTCTCCACTCCACCTCCCAGTAACAGCGTCCGCTCACACTCTCTCTACACAACACCCCAGAAAAGTTGTCAAATCTGTCGGGATGATCAGGATACCGCTGGACTTTGTCAGTATTAGTCGCCACTCTGTTGCCATCAGACAGACGGAGGTGTTTATGGGCTGTGTTTGGATCCAGAGAGAGCTGCTGGAAATCTGAGAAAGAAAGTATATTTTGTTTTGTTTTTCAAAATTTTTTTGTGTCATTCTGCGTAATCCAACATAACAAAAAATACAAGTATCACAATAATAAATATTGCTACATCAGTAAAAATGTCTGGATATCAGTTAAGTGTGGGGTTTTAAAGGGGACCTATTATACTCCTTTTTACAAGATGTAAAATAAGTCTCTGATGTTTACGTTAAGTTTCAGCTCAAAACTCCCACAAATAACGTTTCGTTACTCCTTAAAGCTGCTCCTTTCATGCTGTGTTCACACCAGATGCTGAACACGTGCATAAATCGCACTATTTGCGCTGAAATAGACACATGAACATTAGATTTTACTTGCTTTATTTGCGCGTCAAATTCTGCTTTATTCGTGCGTCACATTTACTTCACAACAGACGTGAATTGGGCGGGGCTTCTTTCTGACTGGTGACTGTAGCTTTGTCGCTAAATGGCTAACATGGATTTTATTGAGAGAATAACTGTGTTTATGTGCTTTATGAAGGCTAAAAACAGCATAGATTCGTTTGGAGCAGTGTCTGAGTCCACTAGATACTTTCAGAGGTGCACCCAGCTCTGCGAGTTCATAAACTCCTCCATAAACTGTACCTGGATGATGGAGGCTTTCAGTGGTGCTTCTGACACAGCCAAGCCCAGTTTGATTAATTGTTGTCGGTGTAGGCAGGAGGATTTTTCCCCCGGGACACCAACAACAGGAGCTACGTTATAAACATGCCCCCACAAGAGAAAGCTCCTGATTGGTTAAGATTTTTGAACTCAAGCAATTCACGTGATTTGCACATCAAATTAATTAACTAATCATTCTTACTTTACAATGAACGCAAACTGTCATAGTTTATTAAAGATACAAATCCCTCGCTGCACATCAGCTGCACCTTCAGCAAACCTCCTAATAGGTGCTGCACAAGGACTTTTATGATAATTTGATCTGTTCTGCAAAATATTTAAGTGTGTCACTGGATTCTAAATGACTATAAATAATACAAAATGATATAACTAATGCATTGTCCACTTTGCTGAGCGAGAGCGCTTCACTTCCTAACTGAAGTCACATCATCAATGACGCAAGTGTGCTTTGGCAGGGAGGGCAAAATGCAGTGCAAGTGCTGGCCGAGGGGGAGGGGCAAGGGGCGACAAGTGCGCTTCTGCATGGTTCAAGCCAACTTTACCCAGTGGGAGTAGACCCTCAGCCACTCTAACATCTTTATGGAAACACGCTTAATTCACATTTGGGATTTTTCTTTTTCTTTTTTCTAAACTTTGATTTGACTGAGACTTGCTTCATGTTGGCATGGAAACCCAGATATGTGATTTCAAATAACAGTTAATATAATATCTCAGATTTAACTAGTATCAGGAAAATACCTCTCATGATCCTTAAGAACACAAATTCTATAAAACATGATGTAAAATTAATGTCATATTGCTCATTTGAACAGCATGTATCGTTTTACTAACTTACATTGTAGGAAGTCCTTCCTGGTCTTGGGTTCAATCTGGTAAATAATACTGATCTGTGTTGCTATGGGGGAAAAAAAGACAACGTTAATGATACTGCAGAGTAAATAGCTTAAATTTCATATCCATTTCTATCATCTATCCGGCTTTCTCCTCTCAGCTGTATCTCCCTGTTACAGGAAAGAGCAGGCCAGATTTCTGAACACTGAATAGTGTTTTACTTACATCACGATTTCATCAGTTAATCATATACAAAGCTATTATGAAGATACTCTGATGTAAACAACAATATATATTAGGGCTGAACAATATCGCAGAATTAGATTATTTATTAAAGATGAAAAGATAGAGATATTATTAAATATCTATATAAAAATTATGTTTGACTATTCATACAATGATGACCATACTTTTTACATTTGATTGTTCAATTGCTGTACTTGAATACTGCTAGACTCCCCAGAACACCATAAAGCACTGTTTATTATTTATGTATTTTTGCTGATTATCAATTGATTATCATTTATGCAGATTCACTGCATAAAAAAGGACTTGACCATCTCAGTCAATCTAAATGAATGAAATCTTTTCAAATAGATCTAATTCAAATCATCTGGTGAAAATATATTCACATCGCAATGTATATTCCAGTAAAACAAAATATTGCAATGTCAGACTTTTCCAATATTCTACAGCCCTAGTTAGGCCTGTCATGATAAGGAATTTTTGTTGTTGAATATACTGTCACAGAAATTGTTGCGATATACAATATTATTGTCATTATGAGATCATTTTATGCCACTAATTATATAATGATTATATAGCAGCATAATAATGCAAACAGCCATACACACTTTAAAATACATATCATTATTAAGGTTATTTAGATTATATAATTTGATGTTAAAAAGGTAAATGTAATATAATACATACTATTAAGGGTCCTATTAGGTAAATGTCCAATTATAAACTTTGACACCAGTGAGGTAGAATGTAAATATCATTGTAAAATTACTTTGCATTATTTGTGAATTTGTATATATATATATATATATATATATATATATATATATATATATATATATATATATATATATATATATATATTGGAAAGGATAAAATTATTTAGGTCATCTTCAAGTATTGCGTGATAAGTCAATATATTGATTATTGTGACAGGCCTAATCCTATTGCACAGTTATCGACACCTAAATACATTGATTTTTTATGCCATCTAAAGCATGAAAATACCCTGTGTAACCAGCTAAATATAGAGAAAGACTTGGTGTGCAGCAGAATGTGTAATATTTTGATAAACTGAATTCAATAGGCTTTCTTCAGCTTGATTTGTTAAATTTCTGGCAGTCTTTAGTACTCTAAATAGTTTTATTTCTGGTCCGACACAATTAAATATTGCCCTACTGTGCAAAAGACAAGTATGTCGATGCAATACTTTTTGCAATGCAAAAAGACAATGCAATACTTTCTCTATGCAACAATATCTATAACAAAGGTATTATAGATCGATAACAAATCTATTCATACAACTCAATATCCAGAGCTTTTGACTAATTGCATCTCTGTTTAATGGTTATCATCTTTTTTTTCATATTTATTTTGTGTTGTCACTTGTCACCTTATGTACACTGGAAGCTTCTGTAGCCAAAACAAATTCCTTGTATGTGTAAGCACACTTGGCAATAAAACTGATTCTGATTACAAACCAAAACTTGACTATTTTTAATCAGCAAAATATGCAAGTTTGGTTCGGTTCAGTGGCGTTTAAATTCTGCACTACAATATGCCCAACTGATGACATGTCATGAAAACCCTCTATAGGTGTAATTTCAATTCCTTGTGATGTTTTTAGACTTGTGTGTTTTATTATTCTGTTCACTCCCTTTGTGTGTCTGAAATCACATACATTCCTACTATACAGTAAGCAAAAAAATAAAAAGAGTATGTGAACTGAGTAAAGTGTCTGATTTTGAAGTATTTAAAATGGCATCAAAATGGACACTTTACTATCCCATGAGGCCTCAGGAAAGACCATATGAATGGGAGTGAACTGATGTGCGTAGGTCATGTGCCAAAAAGGCTAATGTTAAAGGATGTCCATCCTGCTTTGGGGTTTATTCAAGGAAATAATCTTGCTTTTGGTAGTTTTGCAATACTTTACCTTGACTATGTAGGGTTTCTGTCTTCCTTGTGCAGAACTCTTCCATTTGTTCTTTCATTTGAGAGACAGATTTGCTCACGTCTTCATAAGGGGAGTCAGAACTGACAGCAAAATTGAACACATCCGTAGATTCCAAGGGTTCAGAGAGAGACTGGAATCTCTAGAGAGAACAAACAGAAAACCATCATTAAATTATATTCATGCATGCTCATCAACACCCAGAGTTTGTGTTTCTAAATGAATCTTTAGTAACACTGTAGGGATTATATACCGTTTTAACCTAAAGAATGACCAGTAATGAGTTCCTAGGCCGCTCTGCTTATAATCACAAATCAATAACAATGATACTCTCACATAACGTCATCAACTGCGTCACACATATAGGTGTTCTAACCTGATTGGTTAAAACACAGATAGACTAGGAAAATTTTAAGGTGGGTGTGTGCGTATAATTCTGAACAATATCTTAAGCATATAAACATCAGACATCCACTATACTGTTTAGAGCTGACTCCAGACCTATGAACAAACCCACAATCAAATACAACACACACACTTAAAGTACAATCTGTTTCTTACCCAATGCTGAGTGTACTCTCATCAGTTTTTGTCAAAACTGGTTAAAAACCGGTATCATCTACATTCAGGCAGTTATATCATTACTACACAAAGTCTATCTTGAATAATGTAATGTAATCTTATATAGCACATTTGTTGTGTATGGCCATACACCCAAAGCGATTTACAATTATGACGGCAGCCACAGGACAACGGCGCCAGTGCGCTCACCACACACCAGCTATTAGTGGAGTCGAGAAACAGTTATGGAGCCAATTCGGTGGATGGGGATGATTGGGAGGCCATGATCGTAAGGGCCGGTTGAGGGACTTTGGCCAGGACACCGGGGTTACACCGCTGCTCTTTACGAGAAGTGCACTGGGATTTTTAATGACCACAGAGAGAGTCAGGACCTCGGTTTAACGACTCATCCGAAAGACGGCGCCCACTGACAGTATAGTGTCCCCTTCACTTTTACTGGAGCATTAGGACTCACGCCCCCTGCTGGCCTCACTAACACCACTTCCAACAGCAACCTAGTGTTCCCAAGTGGTCTCCCATCCAGGTACTGACCAGGCTCTGCCCTGCTTAGCTTCAGTGAGCAACCGGTCTTGGCTGCAGAGTGATATGGCTTTGGTAAAAAGTAGAATCACTTTAAAAGAATTAAACTGTAAAAATAGCAAAATCACTTTAGACATTTTAGATAGTATTAACTTATAGAAATAAAAATAGACAGTCCTCAGCCCTCAGCTCCACTTAAGGTCTCCGTGACCTCGGACCTAGTTTGGTGGCTCCTGAAAATAGTTATAAAGAGACAGGCAAATGCACTGAACATTCTTATATTAAGCAATGTTAACTTTATTCATTATCCAATAATCATCTTTAATGAAAATAATGAGAAACAGGATGATGAGAAAAGGATAAAGTTGATCCATGCTGAGACGGATTGGAAGGTATAAATCCGAATCCTTCAACACATTCCAGCTTCAGGGTTTTCAGTGGGGTTGTGTGAATTTGACCTTCATGAATATTCATTTGCTTTGTTTTAATATGCATTTGATGCTTATTCCTATCAATAAACTGCTATTAAAGTATTGGTCACGCAGTCCTGTTATTCAGATCTCAGTTACCTGTAGGAAATGTATGTGATCATCAGTGTGTGAAAGCTGCTCCAGCTCAGTGTTTCTCCTCTTCAGATCTTCAATCTCCTGCTCCAGTTTCTTCAAGAGTCCTTCAGCTCGACTCACTTCAGTCTTTTCTCGATCTCTGATCATCTGTGAGACCTCAGATCGTCTTCTCTCAATGTACTGGATGAGTTCAGTAAAGATCCTCTCACTGTCATCCACTGCTGTCTGTGCAGAGCTCTGTTGGAGAATACACACAATCAGACCAGCAGGAAACTATAAAGATGTTTTTTTCACATTTTATTACTGACCTTGTGAGTTTTCACAGACTCGTTTAGCTCCTGAATCTTCTTCTCTCGCTCCTGGATTTTCTGCTGCAGATTTCTCTGTGTGTCTTTCAAATGTTTCTGTTAAATAAATGAGAATAAACAGTGTAAAGAGAAAATATAGAGCAGCTTTGGCACTTTTAAGATTTTAAGAAAAGTTTTCAGATTTGTTGAATACTTTAAATTTTTATTTAATCGATTTTCATTTTTATAGAATGATAATGTTAGTGTTGCTGTACATTAATGCACATAATTTGCATAATTTTCCTTCTTTACCTGTTTCTCCGTTCTCTCAGATGAAGAAGATACAGTGTTATGATTTTTGTGTTCATCCATCGTACACAGTAAGCATATACTCTTCTGGTCAGTGCGACAGTAAACCTCCAGCAGTTTATCATGTTTTAGGCAGATCATCTCCTGGATTCGTCCGCTGGCATCAGTTATCTTGTGTCGTTTACCGGTGCGAAAAGCCTCATGACGCTCAAAGTGAGTCTGACAGTAAGATTCCAGACACAGCAGACACGACTTGATGGCTTTGTATTTTATTCCAGTACAAACATCACACTCCACATCTCCAGGTCCAGCATAACTGGGCGCAGGGTCAGTTGTTTGGACTTTTGTCATCTTCAGTTTCTCCACAATTTCAGCAAACACCACATTCTTGTTTAAAGCAGGTCTTGGAGTGAAGGTCTGTCTGCACTGAGGGCAGCTGTAAACTCTCCTCTGCTCATCTTGATTCCAGCAGTCAGTAATGCAGCTCATACAGTAACTGTGTCCACAGGGGATGGTCACTGGCTCCTTCAGGAGATCCAGACAAATCAGACAGTTGAACTGATCTACTAAAATACTGCTTTCTGCCATTTCACTGTGTACTGGCAGCAAGAAAGAAACACAATGTCTTATCTACACTTTCGTTTTCTTTGAAATGAGGAGCTGAATTTGTTTCCTGGTCTAGAAGTGACGTGTGCAAAACATCAATGTCAGAAGTGACTCACCTGTATTTTACTGCTTATATTAAAGAGCAACCACTAGGTGTCATTCTCACACTGAAGACTTTTGCAATATTTTTTTATTTACTTAATATTATTATTTCTTTTGTCTCATAATTTAAGACAGGCTTTTAGGGGTGGCATCCTCCTGCAGATGTTACTCTAACCAGTTCCAGCACACTTTCCTGGAAGTTTGTATTAAGTCTGAAGGCTTGGTTAGCTTGTTCAAGTGTATTTAAGGATAGGAGCTAAATTCTAGAGGCCAGTGCCCCCCCCAGAGCATTATTGAAGTATCAAACCAGGTCCAGGGTGTCAAGTGTCAAACCTTATTACTCAAGGATTGGACTGTCAAACCGAAATGAAGGTCTACATCGCCCTCAGGAGCCTATTCTAATTTTCTTATAAAGAAAAGTAGAAAAATGCTAATAGCTTCTGCTATAGGGGTGGCACAGTGGTGCAGTGTTTAGCGCTGTCACCTCACAGCAAGATGGTTGCTAGTTCAAGTCCCGGCTGGGCCAGTTAGCATTTTGTGTGGAGTTTCCATGTTCCTCCTGTGTTAGCGTGGGTTTCCTCTGGTTGCTCTGGTTTCCCACACTGTCCAAAGACATGCGCTATAGGTGAATTGAATAAGCTAAATTGGCTGTAGTGTATGTGTGTGTGAATGAGATTATATGGGTGTTTCTCAGTACTGGCTTGCAACTGAAAGGGCATTCACTGTGTAAAACATATGCTTGATAAGTTGGTGGTTCATTCCGCTGTGGCAACCCCTGATGAATAAAGGGAAGGACAGCTGAAAGAAAATGAATGAATGCGTAAACTACACTTTTATTCAGAACTCACTGTTTCACTTGATCTGATGCTTTCTGTAGAGTTTGCTGCTCATGGCCTTTGGACTGCTTGGCCCCATTATTGCTGCTTGCAGCTATACATTTTCAATTGTTATTATTATTTGTCACAATATCCCACAATATCAGAAATTACATACATTTTACCCTGAGGCAGAAACAGACGTTCATGATTTCCACCGAAAATGTTTAAATCAGTTTTGAGTTCATAAATAACTGGAACCATACAGCAATAACAGCAAACACAAACATTCTGTGCATAGTGGAACTTTATTGTGGTTACAAGTACTTATACAATATAATTAATTCCACAGTTTTGCTTGTTCAATTCAATTCAATTTAGCTTTATTTGTATAGCGCTTTTACAATGTAGATTGTGTCAAAGCAGCTTCACATAAATGGTCACAGTAACATGGTAACTTTGTCATCCCAAGTGTCTCTTTATTCAACATACTGTAGTATTTCAATTCATTCAGTAGCAAACAATACACGGTAGAGGTTACAAATCAATGCTAAATGAACATTACTGTATTTTTTACCTGTATACACCATCATCACAGCAAAATGTTACACTTATGATCAGACAAACTGACAAAAAAAAGATTTATATAACATCAAAACATGATCTAAGACACATCAAGTCATTTACATAGACAAGCAAAAAGTATTTACTGCAGTAATTGGTATTTCTTGACTGAAACACTTGCAGCAATTTGTAACTTAATAGACAATATAACAAGTTGAAATGAATGGACATAATGGACATCGCGTGGTTTTCCTTTGGGTGCTCGGGTTTCCTACACAGTCCAAAAGACATGCGGTACATGTGAATTGGGTTGGCTAAATTGTCCGTAGTGTAGGAGTGTGAATATGTATGCATGTTTCCCAGAGATGGGTTGCATCTGAAAGGGCATCCGCTGCGTAAAACATATGCTGGATAAGTTGGTGGTTCATTCCGCTGTGGCGACCCCAGAAAATGAATGAATGAATGAATATTGAGCTTCGCGATGGCACAGTGGGTAGCACGATTGCCTCACAGCAAGAAGGTTACTGGTTCTAGCCCTGGCTGCGTCAGTTGGCATTTCTTTGTGGAGTTTGCATGTTCTCCCTGTGTTCGTGTGGGTTTCCTCTGGGTGCTCCGGTTTCCCCCATAGTCCAAAGACATGCATTACAGGTGAATTGAATAATTTAAATTGTCTGTAGTATTTGTGTGTAGATGAGAGTGTATAAAACAGGCTATCTTGAATTTGACAGAATATTTAATGAAACCCACAATCAATTTGTACACAAACGAAACATGGCAAAGGGAATGGGAAAACTGCATAAATAATAAATTACATGATGTTAACCCAAATATAAATAAAAAACATTTAGCAGATTATAATTTTGAGACCAGGCATGATCAGACGGTCTATACCAGATGTCAAATTGGACATTTTAGGTTGACACATTTATATTTACTGATTAACGAAGAATCACCTAAATGTAATTACTGCCAGGCTGCTCTTCCCATCAAACATATTTTGTTGGAATGTAGAAGTTTAAATTCCATTAGACAACATTTATATAGGGAGAGAACTTTGATGGACATTTTTAAAAAGGTAGTTTTAAATTATTATCAAAAATTTAACTGAAAAATCATATTTAATTATTATTATTATTATAGTTGATTCTTTGAATAAACTGTGAATTGTATATTTATATTTTATATATTTGTCTAAGTAACTTTTTTAGTGTAATACGAATTTGTTTTTATCCTGTAATATTTTATGCCACGAAATAGCCATAAGTTACTGATGTGGCAATAATAAATAAAATGAGAGTATATAAGTGTTTCCCATTGATGGGTTGCAGTTGGAAGGGCATCTGCTGCGTAAAACCTATGCTGGATAAGTTGGCGGTTCATTCCGCTGTGGCAACCCCTGATTATAAAGGGACTAAGCTAAAAAGAAAATGAATGAATGAACATTAAGATTAATTAAATTCAATGATAGAAACATGTATTACACTGAATAGTAAAATATGCAAATCAAAAGCTTGATAGTAATAGTTACTGTAACTGGCAGTTACTGTAAATAAAACATGTCTGTAGATAAAATACACACATTCTGTGTAGTGAAAGGATATTTTTTGATTGTGTATTGTACTAACACGATTGAAAATATGCTGAAATGTTGACTAAAATGGCACCATTGATGGTCTGTTGTAATATATGTACTAACAGTTTGAAAATTTACCAATATCTTTTTGCCAAACCAATTTTAAAATAAAACTGTAATGATTACAATAGGGTCGTCCCAATACTGGAATTTTAAAAACGTCCATTTCCACTGAACATTTGAGAGCGTTTTTAAACAGCTCTGATTTGTCCATGCTAAACACATGACTGTGATTGGCTGTGAAGGTCATCAGTTCACCGAACTCACAACTGTTTATTGAGTGTAACCACAGATACAGTACACTGGAATGTCATGTCTACCAGATAATTTGTCTATAAGCTGACATACGAGCGATCCGCTGATGAATTGTGTCTTTGAAACATTCCAGCATATCTGTACCTATTTTTACACTCAGTAAACAGCAGTGAGTTTAGTGAACTGATTACCTTTACAGCCAATCACAGCCATTTCTGTTGAGCACGTAAACACAACGACAAATCAGCAGCGTTAAAGAACACGCTCAACAGTGCTCAAATGTTAGCGGGAAATGGACGTTTTTAAAATTTCAGTATTGATTGGTACCGAATTCCAGTATCGTGACAACCCTAGATTACAATCATTTTACCATACACTATGACTCGCTCTTTACAAACACTGTTGGATAGATCTCGTTTTTATTAATTACATAAGATATGAGCATACTATTTCAGTGGTTTAAATATAATACTGAATAGAAAACAAGAATGCATCATTCACTAATCGTCAAAATGATCACAGTCTGGGTGAAATGTTTTAAGATGACACAGATTCACCTTTGACTTATAAACCCAAAACCCAGGGTAGAGTGGTTCAGTGAATGTTGTCTGGACTCTGAGGATGAGGCTCATTTTTGTGTCAGAGACGCTGAAGAAGGACAGAATTCCTGCTTTGGGATCCACATACACTCCTATCCTAGAGGAGATGGGAAATACACGGAGTTTCTTCTGTTGGCCATTGCGCCTAAATGTGTAACGGGAGTTAGAGCAGAACAAACTCCAGGACTGATCATTACATCCAAATCCACTAATATATCTCTGTGCCTTTCTCTTGATGCTCTTATAAGCGAGCGCTACACCCATCCCATAATCACCCTCATTCGGTCTCCACTCTACCTCCCAGTAACAGCGTCCGCTCACACTCTCTCTACACAACACCCCAGAAAAGTTGTCAAATCTGTCGGGATGATCAGGATACCGCTGGACTTTGTCAGTATTAGTCGCCACTCTGTTGCCATCAGACAGACGGAGGTGTTTATGGGCTGTGTTTGGATCCAGAGAGAGCTGCTGGAAATCTGAGAAAGAAAGTATATTTTGTTTTGTTTTTCAAAATTTTTTTGTGTCATTCTGCGTAATCCAACATAACAAAAAATACAAGTATCACAATAATAAATATTGCTACATCAGTAAAAATGTCTGGATATCAGTTAAGTGTGGGGTTTTAAAGGGGACCTATTATACTCCTTTTTACAAGATGTAAAATAAGTCTCTGATGTTTACGTTAAGTTTCAGCTCAAAACTCCCACAAATAACGTTTCGTTACTCCTTAAAGCTGCTCCTTTCATGCTGTGTTCACACCAGATGCTGAACACGCGCATAAATCGCACTATTCGCGCGGAAATAGACACATGAACATTAGATTTTACTTGCTTTATTTGCGCGTCAAATTCTGCTTTATTCGTGCGTCACATTTACTTCACAACAGACGTGAATTGGGCGGGGCTTCTTTCTGACTGGTGACTGTAGCTTTGTCGCTAAATGGCTAACATGGATTTTATTGAGAGAATAACTGTGTTTATGTGCTTTATGAAGGCTAAAAACAGCATCGATTCGTTTGGAGCAGTGTCTGAGTCCACTAGATACTTTCAGAGGTGCACCCAGCTCTGCGAGTTCATAAACTCCTCCATAAACTGTACCTGGATGATGGAGGCTTTCAGTGGTGCTTCTGACACAGCCAAGCCCAGTTTGATTAATTGTTGTCGGTGTAGGCAGGAGGATTTTTCCCCCGGGACACCAACAACAGGAGCTACGTTATAAACATGCCCCCACAAGAGAAAGCTCCTGATTGGTTAAGATTTTTGAACTCAAGCAATTCATGTGATTTGCACATCAAATTAATTAACTAATCATTCTTACTTTACAATGAACGCAAACTGTCATAGTTTATTAAAGATAAACTACTGCGCATGCTCGAGTGACGTCACTGGCGTCACTGTCTCCGTTCGGTCACACACTGTGTGCGCTTGAAGTTTGGACTTGCTATTTACTGGCAATTTAAATCTTAATCATAAAATTCTTCCTCATTCGCTAAGTATTTGTCTCTCCTACTCAGGGTGACCAAACCCTAAATACATTTATACAAACAAAACTGCTTTAAAAACGGTCTGTCCCTCGAGCATCCGCCTGTTGTTTGTAGCTTAGCCTGCTAGCGCCGCTGGTCAGCTAAAGCTACCGACCTCTTTTCTCATACACGTTTGACTTACTGGCTTTGCTCTTTACCCCGTAAAATGTCGCTTCCGTCTCTGTCCTTGTGTGCAGGAGAAGCATCGATGGAGGCGTTGGAGCTGGAGCTGGAAGAAGTGGAGTCCCAGATTCGCGCGCTGGTGGTGAGAAGGTCGCTGCTACGGGAACAACTCCGTGTTGTACCTAATGCTAAGGCCGTCTCATCACCTAAGGTACGTGGAAATTACAACCACATCATTCCCTCTACCTCAACCCCGCGTCCTTCTCTGTCCAGGCCCAGCGCACCCGGGGCGCGGCTCAGCCAGGCGTCGTTCACGCCGACACCCGGCTACCACGGCGCCTGGGTGCAGCCGCGCAAGGTGCTTCCCAGATCCCGGGGCAGAACGTCTCCTCCTGTGTTCGAGATCTCCACGGAGAACCGCTTCTCCCCTCTCCGCGAGTCGGGTCCCGATGTGGCCATCATCGGTGACTCGATCGTTCGTCACGTCCGTGCCACCTCCTCAAAAGGTAATAAAGTACGTACTTTCTGCTTTCCTGGTGCCCGTGTGAGAAATATTTCTACACAGATTCCAACCATCCTGGGCGCTGCCGAGAGCCCTGGTGCCGTTGTCCTCCACGTGGGGACAAACGACACCGGGCTCCGGCAGTCGGAGATCCTGAAGAAGGACTTCAGGAGCCTGATCGAGACGGTTCGACGCACCTCGCCCGCCACGCAGATCATCGTTTCTGGGCCGCTTCCTACCTACCGCCGAGGAAATGAAAGGTTCAGTAGACTTTTAGCTCTGAATGAATGGCTAATAACATGGTGTAAAGAACAAAAATTGCTCTTTGCTAATAACTGGAATCTTTTCTGGGAGCGTCCTAGGCTCTTCCGTCCTGACGGCCTGCACCCCAGTCGAGCCGGAGCTGAACTCCTGTCGGACAACATCTCCAGACTACTTCGCACCATCTGACTAGCAGGTAAAAATTCACACTATAGCCACCTAGACTCTTGTTCACCCCACTTAAACATCAGTAACGCATATCTGGCTAATCCTATAGAGACTGTGTCTGTTCCTCGTATTATTAGATTAAGAAATAAACGTACTGTGTGCTCCAGAAAAAATCTATTAAGAATCAAACCAGAAAAACCAGTAGAAAGTGAAAATACAAATTTCGTAAAACTTGGTCTCCTAAACATCAGGTCACTTGCACCTAAAGCACTTATCATTAATGAAATAATAACAGAAAACAATCTTAATGCACTCTGTCTCACTGAAACCTGGCTGAAACAAAATGACTATATTAGCTTAAATGAAGCAACTCCTCCAGGATTCTTATATAAACATGAGGCTCGTCAAACTGGTCGTGGTGGTGGAGTTGCATCAATCTTTAGTGATTTCCTTAATATTAAACAGAGAAACGGACTTATGTTTAGCTCCGTTGAAGTATTATCGCTTAATGTTCAGCTTCCAGATACTATACAAAAACCTATGTTATCTCTCGCTTTAATCACCATATATAGACCCCCAGGACCCTATGTCAAATTTCTAAAAGAATTTTCTGATTTTATTTCTGACTTACTAGTCAAAACTGATAAAATGCTAATTGTAGGTGACTTTAACATCCACATAGATGACGCTAATGATACATTAGGGCTCGAGTTTATGGATTTAATACACTCACTTGGGATAAAGCAAAACGTTGTGGGTCCAACCCATCGCTTAAAGCATACATTAGATCTAATTCTGTCTTATGGAATCGAGGTTATTGACGTAGACATTATACCACAAAGTGATGATATTACAGATCACTACCTCTTACTATATAAGCTGTGTTTACCTGAAATCAGCAAACCCGCTCCAATACTCCGCCCTAGTAGAACTATTGTTCCGTCAACTAAAGATGAATTTATCAATAACTTACCTGATCTTTCTCTATTTCGTAATGCACCCGCAAACTCAAATGATCTTGATGTAGTAACCAGCAGTATGGATGCCATCTTTACTAGCACACTAAATACTGTGGCACCCATCAAATTAAAAAAGGCTAGAGAGATTAAAACTGTACCATGGTATAATAGTCATACTCGTGCGCTCAAAACAGCAACCCGCGCCCTGGAACGTAAATGGAAAAAAACTAATTTAGAGGTCTTTAGAATTGCGTACAAAGACAGTATGTCCAGCTATAGGAGGGCTCAAAAATCTGCCAGGACCGAGCACCTGCGCAAACTGATAGAAAATAATCATAACAATCCTAGATTTTTATTTAACACCATCTCTAAATTAGCTAATAATCGGTCATCCTTGGAACAAACTACTCCACCGCAAATTAGTAGTGATGACTTCATGAATTTTTTCAGTAATAAAATAGAAGGCTTTAGACAGAAAATAGGAGATGCCAAACTTTCTGCACCGGCTTATACTCCAAATCCTGTAAATATTTCATTAAATCATAATAATAACCTACACTGCTTCAAAATCATAGAACAGGAAGAGCTAGATAAAATTATAAATAGCTCTAAACCAGCTACGTGTATGCTGGACTCAATTCCAACAAAATTACTGAAAGAGCTGCTACCTGCTATAGGAGAACCTCTTCTTAACATTATCAACTCTTCTTTATCTATAGGCCATGTTCCAAACTCTTACAAGCTAGCTGTTATTAAGCCTATTATTAAGAAACCGCAACTAGACACCAACAACTTAGCTAACTATAGGCCTATTTCAAATCTTCCATTTATGTCTAAAATACTAGAAAAAGTTGTTTCCACTCAATTATGCTCTTTTCTGCAGACGAACAATATTTTTGAAGTGTTTCAGTCAGGTTACAGGGCTCACCACAGTACAGAAACAGCCTTAGTGAAAATAACCAACGATTTACTCTTAGCTGCTGACCAAGGGTGCGTCTCGCTATTAGTTTTACTCGATCTTAGTGCGGCATTTGATACCATAGACCACAATATCCTCATAAATCGCTTAAAGTCTACAGGTGTCCAGGGACAGGCTCTACAATGGTTTAAGTCATACTTAACTGACCGCTACCAGTTTGTGAATATTAATGGACAGCCTTCACAAATCTGCCCAGTAAAGTATGGGGTGCCTCAAGGATCAGTTTTAGGCCCTTTACTGTTTACTATTTACATGCTACCTCTGGGAGACATTATTAGAAGACATGGGATCAGCTTTCACTGCTATGCAGATGATACTCAATTATATATTTCAACTAAACCTGACGAGACGTCTGAACTTTCTAAACTAACTGAGTGTATCAAAGACATCAAAGACTGGATGACCAACAATTTTCTTCTCTTAAACTCAGACAAAACAGAATTATTACTTATTGGGCCTAAATCTTGCACACAGCAGATCTCGCAACTCAATTTACAATTAGAAGGATACAAAGTTAGCTTTAGCTCTAATATAAAAGATCTGGGTGTCATATTTGACAGCAATCTAACTTTTAAAAACCATATATCCCATGTCACTAAAACTGCCTTCTTTCATCTGAGAAATATCGCTAAATTACGAAATATGCTATCCATCTCAGATGCAGAAAAGCTAGTCCATGCTTTTATGACTTCGAGACTGGATTACTGTAATGCTCTATTTGCTGGCTGCCCAGCATCCTCTATTAACAAACTTCAATTAGTACAAAATGCAGCAGCCAGAGTTCTGACCAGGTCTAGAAAATATGATCATATCAGCCCAATTTTATCCTCCTTACACTGGCTGCCTGTTAAGTTTCGTATTGAATTTAAAATATTACTTCTCACCTATAAAGCTCTAAATAATCTAGCTCCTGTTTATCTAACCAACCTTCTGTCTCGCTACAAACCAACTCGCTCTTTAAGATCTCAAAATTCAGGGCTTCTGGTAGTACCTAGAATAGCAAAATCAAGTAAAGGAGGTCGAGCCTTCTCTTTCATGGCTCCTACACTCTGGAATAGCCTTCCTGATAACGTCCGAGGCTCAGACACACTCTCCCAGTTCAAAACTAGATTAAAGACCTATCTGTTTAGTAAAGCATACACTCAATGCATCACCTAGCGGGTTCCACACTGGCTCCTACATCTTGCTTATATACACTATGAACAGCAGCTACGCTAATTATTTTCTTTATTCTCTATTTTCACCTGGGGATACTCATCCCGAGGTCCTCAGATTATGCGGAGTCACTGATTGGATCCAAGACCAGCGACGTGATGATCCCAAGGATTCCATATCCGGGACCAGGCCATATCCTGAGCTGCTGCTGCGCTGATGGTCGTGGGGAGTGGAGAACATGAGTCTGATTCCAGCGACGCTCCAGGGACAGACGAGTCTTCGCTGAGGCCATCTTCCAGCCTAAACCACGACGAATGAAGTTCTGCACTAGACTTTTGGCCAGCGGAGAAATTAAAATGGTCGTGCCCAACTGAGTCTGGTTCTCTCAAGGTTTTTTTTCTTCACTCCCATCAGGTGAAGTTTTTTTTCCCTCTCCGCTGTCGCCACTGCCTCGCATGGTTCAGGATTGGTAGAGCTACGCATCGATGAATTGGCTCTTCAGTGTTTGATCTCTCAGTAACGATTAAATCACACTGAACTGAGCTAAACTGAACTGAACTGAACTTAAACACTAAAAACTGAACCACACTGTTCCAGTTACTGAACCACACTGTTCCAGTTACTATGACCATTTATGTGAAGCTGCTTTGACACAATCTACATTGTAAAAGCGCTATACAAATAAAGCTGAATTGAATTGAATTGAATACAAATCCCTCGCTGCACATCAGCTGCACCTTCAGCAAACCTCCTAATAGGTGCTGCACAAGGACTTTTATGATAATTTGATCTGTTCTGCAAAATATTTAAGTGTGTCACTGGATTCTAAATGACTATAAATAATACAAAATGATATAACTAATGCATTGTCCACTGCTGAGCGAGAGCGCTTCACTTCCTAACTGAAGTCACATCATCAATGACGCAAGCGTGCTTTGGCAGGGAGGGCAAAATGCAGTGCAAGTGCTGGCCGAGGGGGAGGGGAAAGGGGCGACAAGTGCGCTTCTGCATGGTTCAAGCCAACTTTACCCAGTGGGAGTAGACCCTCAGCCACTCTAACATCTTAATGGAAACACGCTTAATTCACATTTGGGATTTTTCTTTTCCTTTTTTCTAAACTTTGATTTGACTGAGACTTGCTTCATGTTGGCATGGAAACCCAGATATGTGATTTCAAATAACAGTTAATATAATATCTCAGATTTAACTAGTATCAGGAAAATACCTCTCATGATCCTTAAGAACACAAATTCTATAAAACATGATGTAAAATTAATGTCATATTGCTCATTTGAACAGCATGTATCGTTTTACTAACTTACATTGTAGGAAGTCCTTCCTGGTCTTGGGTTCAATCTGGTAAATAATACTGATCTGTGTTGCTATGGGGGAAAAAAAGACAACGTTAATGATACTGCAGAGTAAATAGCTTAAATTTCATATCCATTTCTATCATCTATCCGGCTTTCTCCTCTCAGCTGTATCTCCCTGTTACAGGAAAGAGCAGGCCAGATTTCTGAACACTGAATAGTGTTTTACTTACATCACGATTTCATCAGTTAATCATATACAAAGCTATTATGAAGATACTCGGATGTAAACAACAATATATATTAGGGCTGAACAATATCGCAGAATTAGATTATTCATTAAAGATGAAAAGATAGAGATATTATTTAATATCTATATAAAAATTATGTTTGACTATTCATACAATGATGACCATACTTTTTACATTTGATTGTTCAATTGCTGTACTTGAATACTGTTAGACTCCCGAGAAAACTATAAAGCACTGTTTATTATTTATTTTTGCTTGTCATTTATTAGCATTTATGCAGACTTACTGTATAGAAAAGGACTTGACCATCTCAGTCAATCTAAATGAATGAAATCTTTTCAAATAGATCTAATTCAAATCATCTGGTGAAAATATATTCACATCGCAATGTATATTCCAGTAAAACAAAATATTGCAATGTCAGACTTTTCCAATATTCTACAGCCCTAGTTAGGCCTGTCATGATAAGGAATTTTTGTTGTTGGATATACTGTCACAGAAATTGTTGCGATATACAATATTATTGTCATTATGAGATCATTTTATGCCACTTATTATATAATGATTATATAACAGCATAATAATGCAAACAGCCATACACACTTTAAAATACATATCATTATTAAGGTTATTTAGATTATATAATTTGATGTTAAAAAGGTAAATGTAATATAATACATACTATTAAGGGTCCTATTAGGTAAATGTCCAATTATAAACTTTGACACCAGTGAGGTAGAATGTACATATCATTGTAAAATTACTTTGCATTATTTGTGAATTTGTATATATATATATATATATATATTGATATATATTGGAAAGGATAAAATTATTTAGGTCATCTTCAAGTATTGCGTGATAAGTCAATATATTGATTATTGTGACAGGCCTAATCCTATTGCACAGTTATCAACACCTAAATACATTGATTTTTTATGCCATCTAAAGCATGAAAATACCCTGTGTAACCAGCTAAATATAGAGAAAGACTTGGTGTGCAGCAGAATGTGTAATATTTTGATAAACTGAATTCAATAGGCTTTCTTCAGCTTGATTTGTTAAATTTCTGGCAGTCTTTAGTACTCTAAATAGTTTTATTTCTGGTCCGACACAATTAAATATTGCCCTACTGTGCAAAAGACAAGTATGTCGATGCAATACTTTTTGCAATGCAAAAAGACAATGCAATACTTTCTCTATGCAACAATATCTATAACAAAGGTATTATAGATCGATAACAAATCTATTCATACAACTCAATATCCAGAGCTTTTGACTAATTGCATCTCTGTTTAATGGTTATCATCTTTTTTTTAATATTTATTTTGTGTTGTCACTTGTCACCTTATGTACACTGGAAGCTTCTGTAGCCAAAACAAATTCCTTGTATGTGTAAGCACACTTGGCAATAAAACTGATTCTGATTACAAACCAAAACTTGACTATTTTTAATCAGTAAAATATGCAAGTTTGGTTCAGTTTAGTGGCGTTTAAATTCTGCACTACAATATGCCCAACTGATGACATGTCATGAAAACCCTCTATAGGTGTAATTCCAATCCCTTGTGATGTTTTTAGACTTTTGTGTTTTATTATTCTGTTCACTCCCTCTGTGTGTCTGAAATCACATACATTCCTACTATACAGTAAGCAAAAAAAAAAGAGTATGTGAACTGAGTAAAGTGTCTGATTTTGAAGTATTTAAAATGGCATCAAAATGGACACTTTACTATCCCATGAGGCCTCAGGAAAGACTATGAATGGGAGTGAACTGATGTGCGTAGGTCATGTGCCAAAAAGGCTAATGTAAAAGGATGTCCATCCTGTTTTGGGGTTTATTCTAGGAATTAATGTTGCTTCTGGTAGTTTTGCAATACTTTACCTTGACTATGTAGGGTTTCTGTCTTCCTTGTGCAGAACTCTTCCATTTGTTCTTTCATTTGAGAGACAGATTTGCTCACGTCTTCATAAGGGGAGTCAGAACTGACAGCAAAATTGAACACATCCGTAGATTCCAAGGGTTCAGAGAGAGACTGGAATCTCTAGAGAGAACAAACAGAAAACCATTATTAAATTATATTCATGCATGCTCATCACCACCCAGAGTTTGTTTCTAAATGAATCTTTAACAACACTGTAGGGATTATTTACAGTTTTCACCTAAAGAATGACCAGTAATGAGTTCCTAGGCCGCTCTGCTTCTAATCACAAACCAATAACAATTATACTCTCACATAACGTCATATAGGTGTTCTAACCTGATTGGTTAAAACACAGATAGACTAGGAAAATTTCCAGGTGGGTGCGTGCGTATAATTCTGAACAATATCTTAAGCATATAAACATCAGACATCCACTATACTGTTTAGAGCTGACTCCAGACCTGTGAAACGGATCCATGATCAAATTCAACACACACACTTAAAGTACAATCTGTTTCGTACCCAAGGCTGAGTGTACACTCTGCAGTTTTTGTCAAAACTGGTTAAAAACCAGTATCATCTACATTCAGGCAGTTATATCCTTACTACACAAAGTCTATCTTGAATAATGTAATCTTATATAGCACATTTATTGTGTATGGCCATACACCCAAAGCGATTTACAATCATGACGGCTGCCACAGGACAACCAGTGCGCTCACCACACACCAGCTATTAGTGGAGTGAAGAAACAGTTATGGAGCCAATTTCGGTGGATGGGGATGATTGGGAGGCCATGATAGTGAGGGCCGATTGAGGGACTTTGGCCAGGACACCGGGTTTACACCCCTGCTCTTTACGAGAAGTGCACTGGGATTTTTAATGACCACAGAGAGAGTCAGGACCTCGGTTTAACGACTCATCCGAAAGACAGTGCCCACTGACAGTATAGTGTCCCCTTCACTTTTACTGGGGCATTAGGACTCACGCCCCCTGCTGGCCTCACTAACACCACTTCCAACAGCAACCTAGTGTTCCCAAGTGGTCTCCCATCCAGGTACTGACCAGGCTCTGCCCTGCTTAGCTTCAGTGAGCAACCGGTCTTGGCTGCAGGGTGATATGGCTTTGGTAAAAAGTAGAATCACTTTAAAAGAATTAAACTGTAAAAATAGCAAAATCACTTTAGACATTTTAGATAGTATTAACTTATAGAAATAAAAATAGACAGTCCTCAGCCCTCAGCTCCACTTAAGGTCTCCGTGACCTCGGACCTAGTTTGGTGGCTCCTGAAAATAGTTTCAAAGAGACAGGCAAATGCACTGAACATTCTTATATTAAGGAATGTTAACTTTATTCATTATCCAATAATCATCTTTAATGAAAATAATGAGAAACAGGATGATGAGAAAAGGATGAACGTTGATCCATGCTGAGACGGATTGGAAGGTATAAATCTGAATCCTTCAACACATTCCAGCTTCAGGGTTTTTAGTAGGGTTGTGTGAATTTGACCTTCATGAATATTCATTTGCTTTGTTTTAATTTACATTTGATGCTTATTCCTATCAATAAACTGCTATTAAAGTATTGGTCACGCAGTCCTGTTATTCAGATCTCAGTTACCTGTAGGAAATGTATGTGATCATCAGTGTGTGAAAGCTGCTCCAGCTCAGTGTTTCTCCTCTTCATATCTTCAATCTCCTCCTCCAGTTTCTTCAAGATTCCTTCAGCTCGACTCACTTCAGTCTTTTCTCGATTTCTGATCATCTGTGTGACCTCAGATCGTCTTCTCTCAATGGACTGGATGAGTTCAGTAAATGTCCTCTCACTGTCATCCACTGCTGTCTGTGCGGAGCTCTGGTAGAAAATACAAACAATCAGACCCTCAGGAAACTATTAAGATGCTTTTTCACATTTTATTAATGACCTTGTGAGTTTTCACAGCCTCTTTCAGCTCTTGAATCTTCTTCTCTCTCTCCTGGATTGTCTGTTGCAGATTTCTCTGCATGTTTCCCAAATGTTTCTGTTGAACAAATGAGAATACACCGTGTAAAGGAAACATTTATATAGCTTTGAAGCTTCTTTTTGTTTTTATTGAAACTTTTTTTGGAAGTTATGGAGTATTAGTGTTGCTGTACATGCACATGATTTCCTTGTCTACCTGTTTCCTTGTTCTCTCAGATGAAGAAGATACAGTGTCATGATTTTTGTGTTCATCCATTGTACACAGTAAGCATATACTCTTCTGGTCAGTCCGACAGTAAACCTCCAGCAGTTTATCATGTTTTGGGCAGATCATCTCCTGGATTCGTCCGCTGGCATCAGTTATCTTGTGTCGTTTACTTGTGCGAAAAGCCTCATGGCGCTCAAAGTGAGTCTGACAGTAAGATTCCAGACACAGCAGACACGACTTGATGGCTTTATATTTTATTCCAGTACAAACATCACACTCCACATCTCCAGGTCCAGCATAACTGGGAGCAGAATCAACTTTTTGGACTTTTGTCATCTTCACTTTCTCCACCACTTCAGCCAGCATGGTGTTTTTACCTAAAGCAGGTCTTGGAGTGAAGGTCTGTCTGCACTGAGGGCAGCTGTAAACTCTCCTCTGCTCATCTTGATTCCAGCAGTCAGTAATGCAGTTCATACAGTAACTGTGTCCGCAGGGGATGGTCACTGGCTCCTTCAGGAGATCCAGACACACTGAACAGCTGAATTGATTCCGAGCCACAGAAATACTGGCTTCTGCCATTTCACTGAGTTTTCTCACAGACAGAATCAAACACAGGGAAGCTAAAGTTTCGTTTTCTTCTGCGTGCGTAGCTGAAATAGCTTCCTGTGTTGTAGAGACGTGTGCAAAACAAGTATGGCGTGTGACTCAACTGTTACTGACAATAATAAAAGCATCCACTAGGTGTCAGTCTTACGCTAAAACCAGAGCTGAATGACGGACTAAGGCACTTTGTGTTTGGCATTTTTCACATAATAACAAACAATAAATGAAAATTTCACATAATAACACGATGTAATTGTGAAAATTTAAGAAAATAATTTAACAGAATGCAAGTTATATCATAACTAACTATAGGGCTCACTTCACTGGAAACACTCATGTAGATTTGAAGTTGTCATCTGGATGGCCTACATCAGATCTGGAATACAAAATGCATTTGTTGCACTCTTTAAAGGTCATCCTGGAAACAAACAAACAAAAAAGCCACCCAATCGATAATAAAGCTGTAGTTCCTGTTACCTAAACACATATGGGAGGGTCACTGCATAAATTTCTTACATGTCATCTTAAGTTTTGCTTGAGCCACTTGTACAGTACGTGGAATCATTTATATATATAATTGTATCATATACATTGACTTGTATTAACCTGTAAACATTAGACTACAAATAAAGTAGAAAGTCATATATGAATTTATTTTAATGTGGCAGCTCTTTCACTAATGGATAAACTGGTTTATTTATTTGATCTGATTCCTCTGCATCTGTGCTCGTCTTCTCTCCACTTCACCACACAATATTATAGAAATGCATATTTTCAGCTTCTCAGACACACACAGATAGTTTATAAATGATAATACTATACAACAGTCAGCTTTTTCTGTGTCTGTGGTGTTTTGCATTGGTATACATTGTGAGATCCCAAGCTTGTCCAAAAATATGTCAGAATGCAGCTCACCATGATGTAGATTCCCATTCTCTATTGGACATCAGAAGAGTAGTTTCTCTTGAAAATTTTTTGCTAGTTTGCCTTATAACATTTCTTTATGAAAGATCAAGTTATTACTGAAATGAAATGGTGAAATCAGTTGCTTATGTAGGCAAAACAAAGAAACTGACATTGAAGTTGGTTGATTTAGTTTTGTGTTAAAAAGTTGTGAGATATGCTCCCAACAGATGTTTACCATGCTTTCAGTGAAGTACAATAGTGAGTGATACTCTTCTTGTTTAAATATCTGGGTGTTGTGGTAGAAATGTCTTCTAAGGCATTTGTGAATGAACCATTTACTTCTTGAAACTTTGGACTCTAAGTATGCAAGGTCATGATGAGGTGTGGCTAACTCTTATTTTACTCTTATTTTTGAGCTGTATTTTTTCTGACATTTTGGTCATGCAGAAAAGTGTAAGACATCATTCAAAATCGAGCATCTATTTTTATTTTTGGATGAATACAGTTACAACAAAACCAGCATTTGTGAAATAAAGAAACCAACTAGGCTGCATTTTCCACTATTTCTGTGATGTTTAATAGAAATGCATAATAAGAAAAAAGTAAAAAAATTAGAAATCTACATACATTATCACCTGATTTCCTGTTCTTGTGAATTATTTACATTTTTGCACACTTGTCTTTAATTGTGAGGACTTTTCACACCCATAAACATGATGCAACATTTGGTACAAATACGATTGGTTTCTTTACCCGTCACTGATATACCATCATGTGAAGTCCTAGACCATTTACAGCAGCCAAGATTTACACATATAATGTGATTTTTTGCTGCTAATCTTATTATAGTGATTAGTATCTCAGATACATACGATTCATGTGATAATCTGAAGATTTGTCAGGATTTAAATGTGACAAATTTTCACCCTTGAACCTTTATTTATCCAAAACCCAGGATAGAGCGGTTGAGTGAATGTGGTCTGGACTCTGTGGATGAGGCTCATTGTTGTGTCAGAGACACTGAAGAAGGACAGAATACCTGCTCTGTGATCAACATACACTCCTATTCTGGAGGATCTGGAAACTACAGAGTTCAGTCTGTTTGCTATCGTGCAAGAATGTGTAACGGGACTTAAATGAGAATAATCTCCAGGACTGATCATTAAATCCAAATCCACTTGTAGTCATGTCTCCCTTCCTGTTGATGGTCTTATAAGAGACGGCCACACCGACTCCATACAATCTCTCATTCCCGCTCCACTCCACCTCCCAGTAACAGCGTCCGCTCACGCTCTCTCTACACAACACACCAAAAAATTTGTCAAATCTGTCAGGATGATCAGGATACTGCTGAACTCTATCAGTCCAAGTCGCCACTGTGTTGTCCTCAGTCAGACAGATCTGTTGATGTGCTGTGTTTTGATCCAGAGAGAGCTGCTGGAAATCTGAAAAAGATAAAGTACAGCATAGCCATTTAGTTTATACATTTTTGCATGTAACTGGTTTAAACATACTCTGTTAAATTTGGTGTGAAGTGAAACTGCAGCAGTATCACACAAATACTGAATACTGGACACTGCAGCTGAACTATTTAGTGACCTTGTGTTATTCACACTGGCTTACACTGTTGGAAGTCCTTCCTGGTCGTGGGTTCAGTGTGAGAAGTACTCAGAAGTGCTGAGAAGATCATTTTTCTTGCTGTGGAAACAAACAGTGACTACGTTTACATGGTTATCGGTAATCAAATTATTTTCCTTAATCTGAATAAGACAATAATATTATTAAGGTGGTTACATGAATTACTTTTTAAATGTTCCCATTTTACTTTATAGTACATAGTTCAACTAACATCATTACGTGACCATTTCCGGGGCGTCACGGTGGCTCAGTGGGTAGCACGACCGCCTCACAGCAAGAAGGTCGCTGGTTTGAGCGTCGGCTGGGTCGGTTGGCATTTCTGTGTGGAGTTTGCATGTTTTCCCCGGGTTGGCGTGGGTTTCTTCCGGGTGCTCCGGTTTCCCCCACAAGTCCAAAGACATGCAGTGTAGGTGAATTAAATATCCTAAATTGACCGTAGCGTATGAGTGTGATTGAGTGTGTTTAAGTGTTTCCCAGTGTTGGGTTGTGGCTGGAATAGCATCCGCTGCATAAAGCATGTGCTGGATAAGTTGGCGGTTCATTTTGCTGTGGCGACCCCTGATTAATAAAGGGACTAAACCAAAGAGAAAATGAATAAATAAATGAATGAATGAATGAATGAAAGTAACCATTTCCTCCAGCGTTTTACACAACAGTAGTTTGCGTTCGTCATGCCACTATATGTGATTTGGGGTGTTTTATTTTAAAATTTGCGACAAGTTCATTTGCAGTTCATTTCTCCATGCGTGCAAACAAATGACAGCGGATACAACTTCTCAAGCAGGCCATTTCATTCACAAACTTTTCATTCATGCCCTCGCGACAAATTCACTTTAAAGTCAAGGCACTTTATAATGTCCATTTCTTCCAGAATACTCAGCATAGTCATTGTTTTTTGGCTTGCACCAAAATGTGCTCCCTTGCTTGAAGCCATTCTCATTTGTTTGTTGCCAAATGTCTGACAACTGCTTGTGTGCGTCCTGTTGCAAAATGTAGCGAAAAGTACTACAAAATGTTAATAATAGTATTTGTTAATAATGCTAATATGTCTGTACTGCACTTCAATAATGCCACCAAAATCAGCATACTCCCTGTCTTAATTCAGCATACTCCACATGTCTTAATTTAGTTTGATTATGACTTTAGTCAGATTAAGATAATCAAAAATCTCCGTTTACACGGTAGACTCTTAATCAGAGTATTGTCTTATATTTTTAGATGTTAGTATCAGTATGCTAATCTTGAAGGATATTTATAAGCTAGTGTGGTGGAAACCAATGACAATTTGCATTACAAGATGTAAAACTGATATAAACCATTGATATATACAGTAGATATCGTATACGGTCCTTATGCGTGCGTTAATACAGCCACCACATTTGTACAGTGCTCCCAGGACAAATGTCATTCAATCCCACTATTCAAAGACTAAAGCCAATCTGAAGATGCTTTTGCGCTGCATACGTGTGTAGTAACGAGTAAACAAAGCACAAAGGCAGATCATTTCATAAGGAAGAATAAATTTTTTACGTTTTTGTATGTTACAAACTTTTGTGCTAAACAAGTATTGATGATACAGTCACTTACTGCCCTGACCATGAGGCAAAGGAGCACTAACTTGCAATAAATTCTAGGCTTATGCTAACTTAGTTTAATAAAATCAGCAAGCAATGTAAATAAAATTTTAAATCAAGACATTGCAGTGCCAAACATTTGTATTATTGTCGGCTAAGAGAAGTAACGGCTAGTTTTTGAAGTAACTTATAAGGGTGTCTGATAACATAACAGTGCATGTGCTTCAATGAGCATACTGTCCACTCTAAATTGACTATTACAAATGTTACACACTGTACCATTTAGACCAGAAAGGTGGATATGCACATTGAGATGCAGAGATATGACACTAGTCATTCATAACGGAGATTCTTTCACAAATGAATCGCTTCCTCCTTTAGAAATAGAAGTGAAAGCAAATTTCACAGGGAGGGAGGATAATACATTTCCATGCACACAAACACATACTCTTTGTCGGCAATGCCAGAGCGGTCACTTATCCATCGATGTAGAAAAGTGATGTAAAATTATAATTTTCATAATGTAATAAAAATGTTTGCATACTGACCACCAGGAAAACTCCTGATTATAGATATACTGTATGCATATGTGTTTATATATCTATGGCTCCGGATAGCCAGTGCTCCACTGCACATTGGTCCCACATTCATTTCAAAGGAACGCTACCCTGTACTAATATGGCAGCTCTATTGACGCATTCCTTTCGATAGACAACAATAGCGTAGGCGACATCTAATGTGAATGCTGTATCTATGGATATAAACATGTAAAGCTTGCAGTTTGTCACTTCCACCTAAATGGATCACGTCACCTCATACTTCAGTTGGTAAAATCTTGACCAATCAGATCAAGACATTTCTCATTTGTTTTTCATTTGATGAACTTAAGCTTAACCACGCTCACTGGCAGAGCTGTGAGAAAAACTAAACACTATTGGCTGATTTTAAAAAGGGGAGGGGCTACTTTGTCTCACTCTCTCTTCACTTTTCAGTTCAGATTGCCAAACATTGAATTAAAAAGCACTTCACGGGACCTTTAATCATATTTAAATCTGAGTGTTGGTGTCCATGTAAACATACTCAATATTAGTGTAACAGCAACTTGATAACATGCATGTTATTTTCTAATAACTATCTCTCTGTGTATTTTAGTAGCTTATGTAGATGACTATTCTGTTCTATGCATGAAGTTTCACTGTGAACAGTGTGAATATTTTTGTTGGAATTCTTTCTTGAATTAAGTCCATAAATTATATTTGTTTTTTGTTGTCAAAAATGGTGACTTTACCTTGTCCATGTATGTTTTCTATGTCCTCTTTACAGATCTGCTCTAATTTTATTTTCAGTTGAGAGACAGATTTGCTTACGTCTTCATAACGAAAGCCAGAACTGACAGCAGTGCTGGATAAATCTGTAGATTCCAAGGGTTTAGAGAGAGACTGAAATCTCTAAAGAGAAAAATAGAAAACAATACCAAAGACAACAAGACATCATTACAGCATCCTCATAGCCAACATTAATATTTGTTTATATTTCTAAATCTTCAGTGACTTGAGTTTCACCTCATTCAATTGCTTTTTTAAAGGAATCAGATGTGTGTCTTAATCAGCTTTATTGTTAAAGTAATTGTCATTTAGAAGATACTTTAATATAATATACTTTACTATTCATCTCAGTTACCTGTAGGAAATGTATGTGATCATCAGTGTGTGAAAGCTGCTCCAGCTCAGTGTTTCTCCTCTTCATATCTTCAATCTCCTGCTCCAGTTTCTTCAAGAGTCCTTCAGTTAGACTCACTTCAGTCTTTTCTCGATCTCTGATCATCTGTGTGACCTCAGATCGTCTTTTCTCAATGGACTGGATGAGTTCAGTAAAGATCCTCTCACTGTCCTCCACTGCTGTCTGTGCAGAGCTCTGGTGGAGAATACAGACAATCAGACCAGCCTGAAACTATTAAGATGCGTTTTTAGATGTTATAACTCACCTTGTGTGTCTTTAAAGACTCTTTCAGCACCTGAATCTTCTTCTCTCTCTCCTGGATTTTCTGCTGCAGATTTCTCTGTGTGTCTTCCAAATGTTTCTGTTGAATAAATGAGAATAAACAGTGTGAAGAGAAAATATAGAGCAGCTTTGGCACTTTTAAGAATTTAAGAAAAGTTTTCAGATTTGTTGAATACTTTTAATTTTTATTTAATCGATTTTCATTTTTATAGAATGATAATGTTAGTGTTGCTGTACATTAATGCACATAATTTGCATAATTTTCCTTCTTTACCTGTTTCTCTGTTCGCTCAGATGAAGAAGATACAGTGTCATGATTTTTATGTTCATCCATTGTACACAGTAAGCATATACACTTCTGGTCAGTGCGACAGTAAACCTCCAACAGTTTATCATGTTTTGGGCAGATCATCTCCTGGATTCGTCCAGTAGCATCAGTTATCTTGTGTCGTTTACCGGTGCGAAAAGCCTCATGACGCTCAAAGTGAGTCTGGCAGTAAGATTCCAGACACAGCAGACACGACTTGATGGCTTTATATTTTATTCCAGTACAAACATCACACTCCACATCTCCAGGTCCAGCATAACTGGGAGCAGGGTCAGTTGTTTTGACTTTTGTCACTTTTAGATTCTCCACCATTTCTGCCATCACCACATTTTTGTTTAAAGCAGGTCTTGGAGTGAAGGTCTGTCTACACTGAGGGCAGCTGTAAACTCTCCTCTGCTCATCTTGACTCCAGCAGTCAGTAATGCAGTTCATACAGTAACTGTGTCCACAGGGGATGGTCACTGGCTCCTTCAGAAGATCCAAACAAATTGGACAGTCAAACTTATTTTGATCTACTGAAAACCTGCCCTCTGCCATTTCACTTTGCGTAGTTGCTGACAGATAAACAGGATGGCTATAGCCTATATGCTTTTGTTTTGGGTTGATTTGGCAATGTCTTTGAAAAAAGGTTTGGTAACGTAGTGACAAAAGTGAGATTTAGATTCTAGTTCCTTTTTCTTGAACATGCAGATGGACGATCCTTAATTCTGAAATGCGCACAGGACAATAAAAACAATCTAGAACCAACAGACGGAAGATCCTTGAAGAGAAGAGTCTGCATTTGAAGACAATCCTGAACACGGTGGTGCTAAGCGTGTGGTTGTTGTCCCTCTTGCTGCTTCAACTCAGCAGATTTGCGTCTCGCTGAATTTATTGTTTTGCGTCTTGCTGAACTTATCGTTTTGCTTTCGTTTCTTTGAAATAAGAAAGTGACGTGTGCAAAAGAATGGCGCGTCTGCCCATATTTATGTATGTCCACTAGATGTCAGTCTTGTGCTGAAAGCTGCTGTAATGGTTTTGGGGTAGAACTGTAGTAAGTTTCTAATTTTCATAATCTGAGGGATTTGTGAGATAATGTAGAGCCTTTTGATATATTAACACAAAAAGACACAAGTAGTAAACATTTTATTAACAGAATAATAGACAAGAGTAAATAAATGGAAACCATGAATAGATAAAGTGCATCATATACTAAATGCAAGTTATTAAGTTTGATGTTACACAATATCATTTGAAGATATATTTTGTGTGCTATTCCCCTGGAAGTAAAATGATAAATCTTGTTCTGATTTGAGCAAATACACTGAAAGGTTATGTATTAATTGACATCAGCTGTAGAAAATCTAATGCAGATTAAGAAATCATATAGTGATAATAAACGATAAAGGCTATATCTCTGGAAAATGGTTTGATGTTTATGTTCTGCTTGGCTCTTCTGCTGAGTCTTAACTGTGGTAAATAAGGAGTTTGATTCCATTTAAACAACCTTGAAGTCGAATGCTGTGGACTGGAGAATGTGAAGGTTCATTTTTATGAAACACACAGATGAACAATGCTTAATTAATTCTGAAATTTATGCAAAACAATCTAGACCAAGGATGGGCAAACTTGATCCTCGAGGACCGGTGCCCCCCAGTTTTGCTTTAGCACTAATCAAACACACCTGAACAAACTAATCGTCTGAAATCACATACTACCATACTATATAACAGTATGCTAAAATCAGTATGATAGCCCAGTAGTATGTCTGAATTCATAGAATTCGAAAATATGCGTGAAGAATAACCTACCACTTCCGGCGAGATTCTGAAGTGCACATCCCATGCACACTACGTTATACAGTGATGCACTGCAAGACAATTCATGAATGGGAGTAAAGGGACGCAACTCACACGGGCGGATGTGGTATGTCTGAGTTCCATTTATACTTCTTACATTCATACTGTATAAAACATGCTTTTCTAACGGCCGAGTAGTAAGTTTAAATTTAAATGCAGTACCTATTGAGTAGTAGGCGGTTTCAAATGCAGCCTATGTGAGAAGTACCCAGATGACCTACTACTTCCGGTGAGATTCTGAAGTGTGCATGCTATTCCATGATGCACCGTGAGAGAATTCATGAATTGGAGTGAAGCAACGCAACTGATGCGGGTAGGTCACATGATGCACTTGTTTTTTGCGATTGTTTTAGAACTTCCGATTCAGTTGCCTATAGGAGAAATGACTAGGACTAATAAACCGCAGAAGTCAGTCAGACTACTTGCTCTACAAACAAGTGTGTTCATGACTCTACAGACAAAGTAGAATCATATAAGAAGAAAATATCCGTTTGCAACATCAAGCAGCAGAAAGAGCTGTTTTTTAACGTCTAAAAATTAATGGAAGTGAATGAGACCGGAAGCCAAACAGGTTACAATGGCTGCATCAATACTTACGCAAAGAATAAGATTTATAGAACATACTTTTCTTACTGCCGAGTTTAAATTGAAATGCAGTACCCACTGAGTAGTAGGCAATTTCAGACACAGTAAGATCACTAGAAAGCAACATGCAGTTGTGTTTGATTTGGGTTGGAACAAAACCATGCAGGACACCGGCCCTCCAGGATCAAGTTTGCCCATGCCTGATCTAGACAATCTAGTCTGATAGAGGTCTGACACAGATGGAGGGTCTATAAAGAGAAGAGTATGGCAGGTGTAGAAAAACCTAAAAATTGGACTGCTAAGCTTATGATTGCTGTCAACGTTGCTGCTTCAAATTTCTTGTTTCACTTTTTAACAACCAATAAAGTTTACAACTTAGCAAATGTTTAACAACTTTAATCTTCTCTGAGGAAAAGGGACTTTTTAAATTGGTCCCTTTCAGATCCAGAATTTTAGTTGGCTGATGCTGTCAGAGTATAGAACAGTGCATGTAGTGTTTCTTCTTAAGTTGCACAAATGACAAGCCACTTGGACAGGGTTTTATAACTGTCATACTTTATTACACAACACTAACACTAACAGCCTTCTGTCGCCAATTCCACCATATACCTAACAAAGTCCCCATGTAACCACACAGTAAACCCCGCTATAATCAAACCTATGATGACAATATACTCTCTAATCCATGGGTCTCAAACCTAATTCCTGGAGGGCCGCAGCTCTGCACAGTTTTGCCTCAACCCCAATCAAACCCAGCTGATCTAGTAGTGTCGAGTAGTCTTGAAACCTTGATTAGTTGGATCAGCTTCGTTTGATTAGGGTTGAGGCAAAACTGTGCAGAGCTGCGGCCCTCAAGGAATTAAATTTGAGACTCATGTTCTAATCCATGGGTTTCAAACTCAATCCCTAGAGGACCGCAGCTCTGCACAGTTTTGCTCCAACCCTAATCACTCATGTCTGATCCAAATAATCAAATTGCTCAAAAGAGTCTCAAACACTTTGATTAGTTGGATCAGCTGTGTTTTATTTGGGTTGGAGCAAAACTGTGCAGAGCTGTGGCCCTCGAGGAATTGAGTGTGAGACTGTTCTAATCCATAGGTCTCAAACTCAATTCCTGGAGGGCCACAGCTCTACACAGTTTTTCTCCAACCCTAATCAAACATGGCTGATCCAAATAATCGAATTGCTCAAAAGAGTCTCGAACACCTTGATTAGTTGGATCAGCTGTGGTTTATTTGGGTTGGAGAAAAACTGTGCAGAGCTGTGGCCCTCGAGGAATTGAATTTGAGACCCATGCTCTAATCAAACAAGAGTACAGTATGCTATTGCACTATCAAAGCATTTTACACAACACCACAATGTAGATCAAAGTGTAGAACAATCTAAAACAAAGCTTAGAACAATTTAAAGGAAAATACATCATATAATGAAACTTTTAAAAGGGATATAGAGGTGATTTTGTTTTCACTGTGTGTCCATTTTAGTTAATAAGATTGCATTTGAGGTTTATGAAGATTGTTTTTCATTGAGGCTTGCCACATGCCAAAACGTTGGGAATCAAAATGAATTTTTGATTGTTTACGCTTGGATAAAAACAAGGAACAACAAAGCAGATCTGTGCAGTTTCCTTGTAATTCAGTTAGAGACATCAGAACTGTCCGTGAACGTTTTTGTGCAGGCCAGTTTTTATCTCTAGGCAGTAGGCACATAGAACTACTACAACAGTGCAGTTACAAGGTGAATGGTCACACAGATGAAGTCCACGGGTGGTCAAAGTCCCCGATCCATGCTCATCCACAGTTGAGTATAGTTTAAAATGTGTTGTGAAAGTTAGAGCAAAAAAAATTGTAAACCCAGGCCTTCAGTGATTTGGTCGGAAAGATGGGGGTAAGGGTGGTGGTGAGGTTTGTGAACCGAGAGGTGGGGGTAGTGGCGGGGGTGAAGTTTGTGAATAGAGAGTTGGAGATGGTGGGATTTGTAATCGGAGAGGTTTGGGCGGTGGGATAGGTGGTTGTGCTCGGAGAGCTGGGGGTGTTGGGGGGAGTGGTGGAGGTGGTGATTGGAAAGATGGGGGGAGTGCTGAAGATGGTGATTGGGGAGTTGGGAGGAGATATGTAGGTGGTGATTGGAGAGGTGGGGGTGATGGGGGGAGTGTTGGAGGTGGTGAGGGTGGTGGTTGGAGGGATGGAAGTGGTGGTGGGAGTGGTTGCTGAGAACGAGGAGGTGGGAGTGGTAGATGTGATGATGGGAGAGATGGAGGTGGAAGAGGTGGCTGAGAACGGGACAGTGGAGGGGGTGATAGGACAGATGGAGGTTTTGGTGGAAGTGGTTGCTGAGCACGGAGAGCTGGGAGTGCTGGAGGTTGTGATCTGAGAGCTATGGGTGTTGGGGGGAGTGGTGGAGGTGGTGATTGGAAAGATGGGGGGATTGCTGAAGATGGTGATTGTGGAGTTGGGAGGAGAGATGAAGGTGGTAATTGGGGAGGTGGGGGTGATGGGGGGAGTGTTGGAGGTGGTGATTGGAGAGATGGGGGTGGTGAGGGTGGTGGTTGGTGTGATGGAAGTGGTGGTGGGAGTGGTTGCTGAGAACGAGGAGATGGGAGTGGTAGATGTGATGGGAGAGATGGAGGTGGAAGAGGTGGCTGAGAACGGGAAAGTGGAGGGGGTGATTGGACAGATGAAGGTTTTGGTGGAAGTGGTTGCTGAGCACGGAGAGCTGGGAGTGCTGGAGGTGGTGATTGGACAGATGGAGGTGGTAGGGGTTGCTGAGAACGGGGAGGTGGGAGAGGTAGATTTGATGATTGGATGGATGGAGGTGTTGGTGGAAGTGGTTGCTGAGAACGGAGAGCTGGTGGTGGTGGTGGTGGTGGTTGGAATGGTGGGGGTGGTGAGGGTGGTGGTTGGACAGATGGAGGTGTTGGTGGAAGTGGTAGCTGAGAACGGAGAGGTGGCGGTGGTGAGGGTGGTGACTGGAGAGACGGATGGCGTGGTGGTAGTGGAAGTTGTGTTCTGAGAGGTAGAGGTGGTCTTGCTTCACCACTGTTAGATATCTTTTTCTCCTCCTCTCTGCACAAACTGTACAGTTGCTCTTTCAGTTCAGAGATAGATTTTCGCACATCAGAACTGTTCTTAATGGATCCATCTGAGGCTTCAAGAGGTGAAACGAGAGACTGGAAACACTGTGAACAATACAGAAAAGAGACAAAGCTTAATTCACGACACACTTCTCTTACAACTTCAGGTATAGGCTAATACTGTGCTGATGTATTCAAACTACTTGAAAATGATTTACATTTAGTCATTTAGCCTACGCTTTTGTCCAAAGCGACTTACTATTGAGGAGGCATTCAGTAATGCAAAAAGAAGAGGCAATACTCACAAAAAGTGCTAATTATATAAAGGAACTGATTATGATCAGAGAAGGAGGGGGAGTGTTTATTTAGAGAAAGAAGAGTGTTTCTACAGGTGGTTTGTCAAGCCCACTCACCTGTGTGAGGCACAGAATTGCATAATGTTTTGATGTAGTTGTGTGGTTTTGTGGGTGGATTTATAATAATAATAAAAATACTAATTTCTTACATTATATAGCGCCTTTTCTGGACACTTTTTATTTACACATTGGGGAAATCTCCTCATCCACCACCAGTGTGCAGCATCCACCTGGATGACGCGAAGGCAGCCATATTGCACCAGACCGCACACCACACACCAGCTGGTTGGTGGAGAGGAGACATGTGATGAAGCCAATTATCATATGGAGATGGTTAGGAGGCCATGATGGACAGAGGCCAGTGGGCAAATTTGACCAGGATGCCGGGGACCCCTGCTCTTTTTCGAAGGATATCGTGGGAATTGTAATGACCATAGAGAGTCAGGACCTTGGTTTAATGTCTCATCTGAAAGAAGGCGCTCATTGAGCAGTATAGATTCCCCATCACTATACTGGGGCATTAGGACCCACACAGACCAAAGGTTGAGTGCCCCCTGCTGGTCTCGCTAACACCACTTCCGGCAGCAACCTAGCTTTCCCATGTGGTCTCCCATCCAGGGATTGACCGGGCACAGCCCTGCTTACCTTCAGTGGGCGACCATGTGAGAGTTACAGAGAGCTAGCTGCCGGCTATTTATTAATTTGTCTAGCTATATCAACTGAACATTGAAATATTTTGGCTTTCAAAGATGTCCAACAATCATATTAGTTGCCTTCTATGGACATGCCTCAAAATGACAGATTCATTAATTTTCCTTTGGCTTAGTCTCTATTTCAGAGATTGCCACTGCGGAATGAACTGCCAACTATCCCAGCATATGTTTTACATGGCAGATGCCCTTTCAGCTGCAACCCAGAACTGGGAAGCACCCATATGCTACAGGCAATTTAGCTTACCCAATTCACCTGTAGTCAGGTGCATGTCTTTGGCAAAACCGTGACTCAAACCAGCAATGTTATTGCTGTGAGGTGATAGTGCTAACCACTGAGCCACCGTGCTGCCCATAGAAGAACATCTATAATAGTAATTTCCATGATAAATTCCAGCATTATTAGTCAGACATCCATTACCTGTAGAAAACAGATGTGATCATTTGTGATGGAAAGCTGCTCCAGCTGAGCTTCTCTCCACTTCAGATCTGCAATCTCCTGCTCCAGTTGACCTACGTCCAGTTGCCCTTCATCTCGACTCTCTGCAGTGTTTTCTTGATCTCTGATCACTGTGACCGCAGTGGAGTAGGCTGGTTCAGCAATTCGCTGACTGTCTTGCACTGTCTGTGCAGAGCGCTTTTAAAAAATACAGACCATTGACTCGTGTTAAATACTGCAGACTTTTGTGGACAACATATTCAAGTAAGTACATTTCCCTAAACACAACTACAACTGCTCTTCTTAACACTCAACAATCACTGACCTCAGGAGTCTTCATAGGCTTTTTCAGTTCCTGAAGCTTTTTCTCCTTTTCCTGGATTACCTGCTGGAATCTTCTCTGTGTTTCTTCCAACTGTTTCTGTTAAAGAATTAAGCAAAATAAAAGGATTACTACAGAGAGCCAAAGCTGTTCACATTACAAATGGTTCTGTTCAAAACGATGCATGATTTGTTCAAACTAAATATATCGTTTCAGCATCTAAATCACAATGATAGGATGTGCAATGCTGAGTTGGGATTCATTATAGATGACCAGAAACCACAGTTTAGGACACATGAGATCTGTAGAGTCACTGCAGCGTTTAACATAATATAGTGAAGTTTGATCATTTGTTTTTGAGGTCTGCCATTGTGAGCATTTCAAGTTTAAAGTGAGTTCAAAGCAATGGTCTCAAACTCAGTTCCTGGAGGGCCGCAGCTCTGCATAGTTTAGCTTCAACCACCTCCAACTCAACTAAAGCGAGGCTGCGGTGAGAAGAAACCCAGAGGTACAGAATCAGCACTGTAAACATATAGCAGCAACATGCTGTGGATTACAAACCTGCAGCTGTTGCCGAGATTTCAAAATGCAGAAAGGGTGTAAACATCACTTTAATATCATTCAGTTCAGTTTAATTAAAAAAATTAAAAGCACATTAGGCTTCAAACAAAATCATAATCTCTTAAAAAATAATACGCTTAAGTTTCCTCCTAGTCTCAGTTCATGGCACCAGGTAAACACCATGGGAACATTTTCTTGCTTCAGCCTATTTAACCCGGTGAGTGATAAAACATTGCAGTCATCTGTAGCACACCCTCATGTTGTCTTTAAAAGTGTTGTCTCTGTACTGAAGTTTTAAAAACATCCATTTTCCGCTAACATTCAAGCACCGCTGAGCACGTTCTTAAACAACTGATTTGCAATAGTTTTCACCAGTGCTCTACAGAAATGACAGTGATTGGTCGTAAAGGTCATCAATTCACTGCTCTTCATCAAGTGCAAACACAGATACACGGACACTGGAGCGCGAAGCAGCCGCGAAGATCTGTTTAGTCATCAAGCGTATTGCTCATCTGTGTTTGCACTTGGTAAGCGTTGAGAATGCGGTGGGTAAACTAATGACTGAGCGCTTGAACACAATGGCAAATCAGCGCTGTTTAAGAACGCCATCAACAGTGCCTTAAATGAAACTAAATTCAATTCAGCTTTTTTTGTATAGCGCTTTTACAATGTAGATTGTGTCAAAGCAGCTTCATATAAATGGTCATAGTAATTGGAACAATGTAGTTCAGTTTTTACTGTTTATGTTCTGTTCAGTTTAGCTCAGTTCAGTGTGGTCAGTGTAAATGTTAACTGAAAATGCACGTTTGTTTTTTAATTTCAGTGCTGAAATTCTAAGTCTAATATAGTGAAAGAATCAGTTCATTAACTTGAGTTTGATAAATGGCTTCTAAAACGTGTTTGGAAAAGAAAATGTTAGCTAACTATTGCAATTTCCCTTAATTTAGCTTAAAATGAGGTCTGATATCCCTTTTTATTTTCACTGTTTATTCAGAACGGACCTTCGGGTCACTTGGAAGGCAGTGAAATTACACATTTATGTCACGTTCTCTTCGCTGATAAGATACAGCCAGGTACTCAATGTTCCTATGTGACTCCAAGCAATACTTTCGGGTCTCTTTCCATTGCAGCCTCAATTTCGCTTTTAAAAAATGGCAGCCGCGTGAAATCAGTCTAGAGTATGTAGTAGTCTTGAACACCTTGATTAGTTGGATCAGCTGTGTTTGATTAGGGTTGGAGCAAAACAGTGCAGAACTGCGGCCCTCCAGGAATCCAGTTTGAGACCTACAGTATGGTTTAAAGCAGGGATCAACAAACTTGTTCCTGGAGGTCCAGTGTCCTACAGATTTTAGCTCCAACCCTAATCAAACACACCTGAACAAGCTAATCAAGGTCTTACTAGGTTGACTTGAAACACTCAGGAAGGTGTGTTGAGGCAAGTTGGAGCTAAACCTGCACCTGAGCTCCAGGAACGAGATTGGTGACCCCTGTTTTAAATTGTTCAGGCACAAGAAATTGAGAAAGAGAGAGAAAGGGAGCTTTGCGCACTTACTTTGATATGTCTGAGAATCAAAATAAACTCAGCTCTCAGGACATAGTAAGCTTATTTATGCACTCACAGACTATAATCTGCTGGTTTACTCCATAGAAGTCCATATAAAAGCCAGATACTTTTTTTAATCTAAAGGGTTAATGCTGGCAACTGATGATCTACAGTAAAAAAGACAAATTTGACCTCTAACCAACAAGGAAAACCAGCATCAATCAGGAATGCATGGTTATATGCTGTCATGGCTGTCAAAAATGTAGTTATAATGGAAGTCAGTGGGGCAAAAACAGCCACTAACATAACGAAAGAGTAGTCAAATTAAACAATCCACAAGATGTAACTCCCTAGAAAACCATAAAGCATTGTTTATTTCACCTTTAATCATTGCTTTATTGTATTTTTCTATGCTTTAAATTGTATTATATTTTATGCAGATGGACTCCCTTACAAAATTATCCAAATCAATCTAAATGGTTTATTTCCAAATAGAGATTTTCAAGCCATCTGGTGAAATTTTGTTCAGATCACAATATGTATTGCAGAATTATTGGTAACACTTTACAACAGGGGTCACTTTACAATCCTGGTCTTGGAGGGCCGGTGTCCCTGCAGTGTTTAGCTCCATCTTGGCTCAACACACCTGCCTGGACGTTTCAAGCATACCTAGTAAGACCTTGATTAGCTTCTTCAGGTGTGTTTGATTAAGGTTGGAGCTAAAATCTGCAGGACACTAGCCCTCCAGTAACAAGTTTGGTGACCACTGCTATACAATAACAGTACATGAATAATGATGTATTAATATGTAAACTGAACATTACGTTATTATGAACTTATGATGAGTTAAGAGTTAATGCATGCTCTAATCATAAACTAACTTGAGTCACATGAGTTCATGTGTGGCTTCCTTAATTACGTTTTAGTTCATGCTGTTAATGAATGTATTAATAACATTTAATTTAGGTGAAATGTAACCAACATGAACTCATGAGCTGTTAATGTAAAGTTATGTCACGACTTTACTTAGGGGGAAATCACCATGATTTCATCCTTAAAGGGTCACGAAACACCAAAACACATTTTTTGAGCTGTTGACAGTCGTATATGTGTCCCGCACTGCTAAAAACACTATTAGGACACCTATATTTCACTAAAAAGTGTAAATTGGTTGTTTTTGCGTTATTTCAAGCAAATTCGTACTTCCTGTTTGAAACGAATTTTTGAAGCTGCGTCACGGTCATGACATAATAGCGTTGTATTCCAGCGTGCAGACTGGGCGTCTGTGCCAGAGTGTTACTTATTACGTCTTACAGTGTGATGCATTAATGCATGAGTAAGGCTTGGTTCAAACCAATCAGCGCGCTCTATTGTGCAACTTCATTAATATTCATTACTGTGTTTACACGACATAGACGCCACGTTGTGTTTGCAAAACAAGCGTGAAGTGTTGCTTTTATAGTTTGCTGCCATTAAGTTTCGTTTTTATTTTCTCTCTGTGAGAGCTCATCTGGATCACGTGTGGATTAACAGTGTACGCGACGCTCTACAACAATAACTTGCGTGTCTAAGGAGGATTATTGTTTACCTGAGAGCTGTTCTCATCTGCAAACGCTGAGATCGGATTCGCTTGTAGTATTCTCTTCATAAAGACGCGGCTCTAGTTGCTGGTGATTGTCCTGTCTCTACAGATTTGGTAAGTGAGTGACCAGTGCTCTTTGTTTATTCAGTTTGTTCGTATCGAACTAAGTTAACTATTGCAAACATGTTAGGACCACAACCAAACTTTAACCTCGTCTAGGGTTTTTACCGTATTTTGTGACCGGAATAACACACACGGCTTTGTGACGCTACCTGCCGTGTGCATCTAAGTTTCCGGAAAATGCTGAGGTTTTTTTCTCTCATTCGCCGTGTGGTATCAAACATTGCATGAAAAATATACGCTTAGAGCAGATCCTCGAATCAAATCGTTTCTCACGAGGGGCATGAATGAATTCCCTGAATGAAAGAGCCAAACTGCAGTTAAAGTCCACCATTTAATAATTTGGCAAATGTCCATGTAGGTTAAACACCATCACTTTCTCCTGTGTGTGTGTATTTTGACTGAAACTCGCGCGTGCCCAAATAGACACTCCCACACCCTCCCACTTTAGTTCCTCCGACACTCCCCCCTAAACAGAGCTGGACACGCCTATTTTTCTGACTTTTTCCAAAGTAGAGGTGTAAAAACACCCTGCTGAAACGAGAGGGTTTCATGGCCCTTTAACTACTCTTGAGCTCCTGTGTTTAAACTGTTCATGTTGATGTTGACTGAACGCTTTTCTGTTGTTATTTAGTGTAAACACTAAGGATGTAACGGTATCAGAATTTCACGGTACGATAATACCTCGGTATGAATGCCATGGTATGGTATTTATTGAATAATTTACAGGAGAAACAAAACTAATGAAAAGACTCGAAAAAAAGTGCCTAAAGTGTTTATTTACCTTAGCACTGAACATATCAATGACATACAAATTAGCCATCTATCTGTAAATTTCGAAACAGGAACTTCAATTTTTAAATTTTAATAACAAAAAACTATTAAACCATATTAAAAAAAAAGTTTCAATTTAGTATTGTTGAAAACTCATCACATTCAACATTTAATCACTCACTCACTTAGATAGAGATGTTTTTTTTTTAAGGAAAATGATCATATAACTATAATCTGGTAAAAGCTGGGATCTCTGGGCATTTACAATGTCACCTGCAACAGAAAAATAAAACCTCTCATTTGGGACTGAGGTTTCTGGGACAGACAGATATGATTTAGCCAAGGTTGACAGCAGTGCGTAATGTTGTGCATTGTCTTTCCACCACTTGAGAGGACAAGCCATGAGTGAGATAGAGGTCTCTTTGCGGTATAAGTCAATGTCTGCATCAATCTAACAAGTGTGCTGTGTTCTGCAGTCCCCATGACTGTTTTTAGTCGTATTCCCCGACTTATATTTCACCACAGTCTGGCAGTGCCTGCCTGTTTTATTCTTTGTCTGTCACCTTTTCTCCTTTTTCGTATCTTTTTAGAAAGAAATCGAAATGCTTCCACACATCCGATTTAAAACCCGCTTTAGGTTAGATAATTTCCAGCTCTTTTTCTTCCCCGCTACTAGCAGTACACTCCATTTACGCATTACTGGATCTGTAGTGGCAACAGACCGCAAAGGATGATGGCCACGCCTAGGCTGATGGGAATTGTAGTTCCCGCTACCTCCCGTTCGCTTCATTCGCCTAAGCAAACTTTTCTCAGCAATATACTGTAGTTTTTTTGAGTCATTTGCCTACGGTAATATTGAAAAAAATTACTATTGCAGTATGACGGTATTTACAATATTGTTACATCCCTAGTAAACACACTAGACAGATGTGCATAATTAGTTCATGAGTAGTTAAGTATGGGTTAATGATGATGTTCCCCTTTAAGTAAAGTCATGATATAATTATACATTACCATGTTATGAGTTCATGATTGTTAAATTAAGCATGCATTAACTAATCAATTGTTCATAATTATGTAATGCTTAGTTTACATATTAACATATCATTATATATGCACTGTTATTGTATCAAATTATTTTTTCCAGTCATATTTTTTCAACATCGTGCATCCCTAATTTGTTCAGTACTCTATATTGTGATACTTTTTACATTTTTTAAAGTTTCCCACCTCTTTCTCTGTCCTTTCCACTACGGCTGCTACAGTGTCGTGGTTTCTGTGTTCATCCATAGTACACAAATAGCAGATGCAGCACTGATCAGTACGACAGAAGATTTCTAGCTGTTTATTATGTTTTGGGCAGATCATCTGCTTCAGTTGTCCAGTAGCATCGGTCACTTTGTGTCTGCCCGAGTGAAACTCCTCATGACGCTCAAAGTGAGTCTGACAGTAAGATTCCAGACACACCAGACAGGATATCGCAGCTTTATATTTTCTCCCAGAGCAGACATCACACTCCACATCTCCAGGTCCTGCATAGCTGAGAGCATTTAATAATCCTGTCTTCAGTTTCTCCACCATTTCTGCCATCACCACGTTCTTGTTTAAAGGAGGTTTCGGTTTGAAGGTATGCCTGCACTGAGGGCAGCTGTAAACTTTCGATTGGTAATTCCAGTAGTCAGTAATGCAGTTCATACAGTAGCTGTGTCCACAGGGGATGGTCACTGGTTTCTTCAGGAGATCCAGACAGATCGAACAGATGAACTGATCTTGAGCTACTGAAATACTGGCTTCTGCCATTTCAGGCAAAGCAGCTCAACCAGCAAATGGCTCAATATTAAAATTGGTTCCTTGTTCTGAGTTTGAGATCAAGGTGCACAAAGCAGGAGTGTCTATAGATTTTATTGCCAATATATTACAGTCTCAAGTCCACTTTGTTTCAACTTTGACTCTAACATTCCGACACTAACATTTTACCAGTTCAGTTGCTTTCAAATTTACTAAGCATACAATTAATTGCAATATTAGTGCTTCAAAGTTTAGACTCTTTAAATATTAATTGTTGAATGTAAGAGTTTATCTCTGTGGTATTAGTTTTTTTCAGTTAAGACAACATGTTATAACTTCAGAGTGACATTACCTTTATAACATCTGATAGCCATTTATTTAATTATTTTCCTTCAACTTAGTCCCCTTAATTATCTGTTTATGAACCGCCAACTTATCCAGCATATGTTTTACGCAGCTGATGCTCTTTCAGCTGCAACCCAGTACTGGGAAACACCCATACACTCTCACATTCACACTTATACACTACGGCTAATTTAGTTTATTCAATTTACATATAGCGCATGTTTTGGACTGTGGGGTAAACCAGAGCACCCGGAGGAAACCCACACCAACAAGGGGAGAACATGCAAACTCCACACTGAAATGCCAACTGTTCCAGCCAGGACTCGAACCAGCGAACTTCTTGCTGTGAGGCGACAGTGCTAACCACTGAGTCACAGTGTCGCCCTTGAGCATTTAACATTTTTTATTAATCTCGTAGAAGCCACATATTTTAACAACATGAGAAATAATTGATAGCAGATATATTATAAAACTATTAGAATGAAGAATATTATTAATAAAGGCACTATTAATAGCTGGTACTAAACATTTACAATAATGATCCACTAGTCAAAGTTAATGTATTTACTAACATGAACTAAGTAGAATAGTGTACAGCATTTATTAATCATAGTTTGACATTTACTAATGCATTATTACAATCCTAAGTTGCACTGTTGATGATACACTGTAATATGAACTGTATTTTACTGTGGGACAGTTATGCAGTATGTTACAGTATTTTAACGTTTCATAGTGAAAATGACCATATTTTACAGTAAAGATATACAATGCTGTAAACACATATAGCAAGATGCTGTAAATATTAATACAGTATTTTTGCTGTTATTGATTTTACAGTACACTCTCAGAAACACGGTTGTACAAATAATGTTTCTTGAGAAACAGTTTTGTACCTTTGTAAAGATTATACCTTATATGGTACAGAAAAGACCTCTTATGATGCTGTTCTGTACCTTTTATTGTACAACTGAAATGAAGGTACACAAATTGTTCCCATATAAAAGGTACAAAGTGTTGATCAACTATTTCTTTATTACAGTAGCTATGAAAATAAATATGGCTGGAAAGGCAAAGTGATTTTTTTTTATAATTTCTAGAAGGAAGAAACATATAAACATTAATTATTAAGTTCTATAATACAATATTACAAAACAACTGGTAAAACATACTATGGGTATTGTAAACTACACATTTAAGGTATTTTAAATAAATGTTTTGTTAGCATTTTTGACACTCTTAAGGTACAAAGTGTCTTGTCACTGTGGTGGTACCTTCATGGATCAGATTTGCACCTTTGATAAAGGCACAATCTTGTATCTGCAGGTTTTAAAACCAAAGGTACATTTTGGTTTCCCATGGTACAAATGATGTCCTTAAAAGTACAAACTGCAATAGTACAAATGAGTTCCTTTGTTTTAAGGTTAAATTCTATCCCATACAAAGCTATTGCCCCAGTGACAAGGGTTTGCACCTTCTTTGGTACAACATTGTACCATTTTTTCTGAGAGTGTAAGATACAGTAGATTCCACAGGAAAGTGTTAACAGCGTGTGCTGGTTAACATTACTTAAGCACTTTGAGTTTACAAGGGTTAACAATTAATGACTTTGTTCATTAACTAGCATTAACAAAGATTAATACAGTAAAAATGTACCGTTCATTGTTTGTTCATGTTAGTAAATACATTAACATATAATAAAAGAGATGCTGATCTCTATATATTATTTAAGCACATTTGAATTGTTTTTAGGTGGCTCAGTGGTTAGCACGGTCTCCTCACAACAAGAAGGTCGCTGGTTCTCCGTGTGTTCCGGTGTCCTCCACAGTCCAAAGACAAGCGTTACAGGTGAATTGAATAAACTAAATCTGTCGTAGTGTGTAAGTGTGAATGTGAGAGTGTATGGGTGTTTCCCAGTAATGGGTTGCAGCTGGAAGGGCATTCGTTGTGTAAAACATATGCTGGATAAGTTGGCGATTCATTCTGCTGTGATAACCCCTGATGAATAAAGGGACTAGGCTGAAGGAAAATTAATAAATGAATGAATTATTTTAAGGATTCACTAACAGTTAGGTCAAGCTGCACCGAATGCATTTACTTCCTTCTGTTGGAGGAATTGAGGAGCGTCACAGAGAAATGATAATCAAGCTAAATAAACACACTTTGACCTGCAAGATAGAGGAAGTTCTTTGAAAATTTGTGTGACAAATTAAGATAACAGCAGCTCTATATTTTATATGCAATTTGCCATATAAATCTTTATCCAAGATCACACCCAATATTTCAATGATCTAGTGAGGACTGTGGGGATGACGCCAACCTGATTTCACCAAGTTGGACATGTTACCGAATTAACATCTATGTTGATCCTGAGACAACATTCCTATCAGCCAATGAGAATGAAAGGATATATTTACCGTTTATGTTAAGGTTAGGCTCACGGTTAGGTTTATGCACTTCTACATGATTGTTATCCAACTATTATTCCCCTCTAATTTTGGGAATAATTTATAATTATGGTTGGGTTTAGGGGTAGGGAGTAGGATTACATTTACGAACAAAAATTTATGTTCCGGGATCAACATAGATGTTAATCTAGAATCTCATCGTACTTGGCAAAATCATAAGTTGTGTGTGGATAATTCCCCTATTGACATGGCCAATACCTAACCATCTCACCACAGAGATATAGCAACACAAGTGTCAAAGGTTTATTGCGGGGAAAAATCACAGTGATACTTTTACAGTAAACCGTCTGTCCTGTTGATATAGATCACTATTAAGACGTTTATGGTATTATGGCTTTGATATTTTTATACTTTTTACTGTCCTGCCAGAGTAATCTCACTTTTTTTTGTCTAACTATACTTGGATAATGCCAATACAAGTGTATTTAACACTTCCAGAGAAATTTAATTAAATTTGCATTTAATTGTATTAAATTGGAAGTGTACATTGTCCAATGATTTCAAGCAAGGTTTCAAGTAAATGCAGTCAGTCAGTATTTTCAGTGAAAGCTGCCAGGGAATGAAACTCCATTCCAGCAACAATTAGAAGATCACTTACCTTTCGGTCTTTTCAGTCTCATGTTAAAAATTAGTTATTGACAAATCAGCATTGTCAGCATTAGTGCTGTATTCTTGACTCTTATTTGTACTGTTTGTCTTTGGCTTTTTGTCCTCTTCTGCTGCCATCAGTCTGTTTTTGTTTTTTACTCTTTTAATTGTATTTTATATATGATAGAGTTGTTTATGTTATGTGCTTTTATTTTAGGTGTAACTTTTTGACGTTCTGTAAGGGGTCTACACATGAAAAACAGCCATTCTTGGCTAATTCTGGCACATTTTACAGTAATGTTTATTAATGTGCATTGACCCTGTAAACAAATAAACTAAACTAAGCAGCAACAAAACTCTCATCCTGATCACTAAAAAATGTGATCAGACATGTTATTGCCAGTGGTGGATAGAGTACTGAAAAAGTCATACTGAAGTAAAAGTACCATTACTTGCCTAAAAGTAATTTAGGTAGTGGTTTAGTTACCTGTAGCGCAAGTAGAGTAAAGGTATCTGCTGTAAATATTGCTCAAAGTATGAGTAAAAAGTAGACCTTTCAAAAGTGCTCAAGAGTAGTAAGTAGTGAGTATAAAAAGCTGACGAATTTACAGGTAATTTGTGGATGTGTGTAAACGTAACATTCTGTAGTGCATTTAGTCGTTGCCCAGCAGGCACACAACGTCATAAGACATTAATATTAGGTTTGTGATTTCAGGTGACCAAAATTCATTGTCTAGCCAGCAAACAAGGACAATGTTATTTTATTTTTTATTTGTTTTATTTTGTATTGTTTGTTTTTGTGCAGTTAACAAATGAATACCACAATATCAATAGTTTGCACTTTTTATTAACAATAACTAAGAGTAAACAAGAACATTCGAAAACCTCCAGTCTCCCATCCCACCACCAAGGAGAATTAAAAAAAAACATAACATTAGCACCTACAAGAATTGTCAAAGCAACTGAATAAATATACATAAAATATAAATAACACACGCACACATTAATAAAAAGAGCAGAGATCTTTCTTAAAAGAAAAAAAATATATAGAAATCAGCGAATTTTGTGTTCTGATGAAATTAATTAAAGGATGCCAGTTTTTATTAAATTTTTCAGTGGAGCCTCTTAGTGCAAACTTAATTTTTTCAATATATAGAAAAGATCTCAATTTTTCTAACCAAGAGACAGAGAAAGGAGGTTTAGAAAACTTCCAGTGTAATAAAATCTGCCCTCAGGCTATCAATGACGCAAAGGCAGAACATTAGCATTCTTATTTGAAAGGTTGTCCAACAAAGCCGATACACCAAAAATAGCAATCAAGGGGCATGGTTCAAGAGAAATGTTGAAAATTGTAGAAAAAGTATCAAAGAAAGAACTCCAAATAATTTCCAACTTTGTACAAGAAAAAAACATGTGGGTATGATCAGCAGGAGCCAAAAAACACCTATGACAATTAACATCCACGCCTGGGAATATCTTACTTAATTTCACATTTGTTAGGTGAATTCTATATACTGCAAAAAATGCTTTTCTTGCTTAGATTTTTTGTCTTCTTTCTAGTCCAAACATCTAAAAATTCCTAAATTACGGAGAATTTTCTAGACAAGAAAAACATATTGTCTTGTTTTCAGAAATAATATGCCAATATTAAGTGAGTTTTTCCTTAAAACAAGTTTAAAAATCTGCCAATGGGGTAAGCAAAATAATCTTACGTCAAAAGAAAAAACAAGATTAATTTGCTTACCCCATTGGCAGATTATTTTGATTGTTTTAGGGAAAAACCCACTTAATATTGGCATATTATTTCTCAAAACAAGATAATATGTTTTGCTTGTCAAGAAAATGCTTCTTGATATAAGAAATTTTAGATATTTAGACTAGAAACAAGACAAAAAATCTAAGCAAGAAAAGCATTTTTTGCAGAACCTTAAATTGAATCAGACTCAGTTTGGCAAAGGAAGAAGAGGAATTAACTCTCTCAGCAGCCATTTCCCACCATTCCTGATCCAAACCAAGTCCAAGTTTTTTTCTCCCATTAATGCTTAAACTGAGAAAGAGAGGGCAGACAACGTTATTTTATTGTCCAATAACGACATCAAATGACTTTTTTCATTTTCTTGTCGGCTTAGTTCCTTTATTAATCTGGGGTTGCCACAGCGGAATGAACCGCCAACATATCCAGCAAGTTTTTTACGCAGCAGATGCCCTTCCAGCCTTCCAAAATCTCTGGGAAACATCCACATAAACTCATTCACACACACACACTACGGACAATTTAGCCTACCCAATTCACCTGTACCGCATGTTTTTGGACTGTGGGGGAAACCGGAGGACCCGGAGGAAACCCACCCGAACGCAGGGAGAACATGCAAACTATGTTTTTTTCACACAGAAACGCCAACTGAGCCGAGGATCGAACCAGCGACCTTCTTGCTGTGAGGCGAACGTGCTACCCACTGCGCCACTGCGCCGCCATTTCTATTTTATATTCAAATTATATATAATTGCATAAACCTTAGAAGGCTTTGTTTTCATTCTCCTGGCTTGTTGAAGGAACGAGTGACGTATCTCTGTAAACCAACAGTGTCCAGTTGCACGTCTAGCTCTGCCTTTTGGTGTGTTTTGCCAAGGGTTTACCCAAAAAGTTGTACGGTACGGTTCGCTTTAAGGTACCATTTGACAGTGGAAATGGCCATAAAAGCGCACCAAACTGAACCGTGCCACACAGTGGAAACGGGCCATAAGATAAATGAGGGAAATTCATTGTGTTCATAAAAAGTTTAGCAGCAGCCATAGGTAACTGATGCCCGATGTTTCTAGAAATCCTCAGGCTTGCTCTAGCACTTTTGGAAACCTTCTTAATGTGTTTTTTTTTTTTTTAGAGTCAATAATTATACCTAATTATTTAAAATGATCCACTATATTTATCACTTCTCTATTAACTAAAATATCTGGGCAATGCTCCTCATTTTTAATAATTGAAAAACACATTCCCACAGTTTTACGTACTGTACATTAAGGGGAAGAACTTAATTCGCTGTAAGCTTTGCTAAGCTAACACTTTGCTAAGCCCAATGTCTCCCTTTGCATTGAACATTGAGTGTATTACATTCACAGATGTTTAAGATTTAGCCAAATGTTCACACAGCTACAAAACTAAAGTTTAGAAAAGGATATTGTAGTGGACCACCCCTTTAAGGAAAAAGCTTACGATGCGTGTCTTTTCAAAGCACCGTTTGAAAGAGAAAAGTTTTTTCTCAGCACATTTAAAACATAATAGTTTTATTAACTGGTTTATTCTGACTAATTTCTGTCTTTACCATGATGACAGTAAGTAATATTATAGTCATTTTGCAAGATACTAGAATTCAGCTTAAAACAAAAAAGCAAGCTTTAAAACATATGATGCCTCATTAGTTTGCAACAGTAGATTACTTTCATTCACAACCGACTCTGACTCAACTGACTCGACTCTTTACTCATAATAAAGTGTACTTACTTGTGTACCTACAATCCTGTCTGACTACTTTAAGTTGGTGGTTCATTCCGCTGTGGTGACCACTAATAAATAACAGACTAAGCCGAAGAAAAATGAATGAGTTTCACTTTTGATCCGTAAACTGCAAACCCAGGATAGAGCGGTTGAGTGAATGTGGTCTGGACTCTGTTGATGAGGCTCATTGTTGTGTGAGAAACGCTGAAGAAGGACAGAATTCCTGCTCTGTGATCCACATACACTCCTATTCTGGAGGAGCTCATTGATACACAGAGTTTTGTCTTTATGTCGTTGTGCAAAAATAAGTGACTGGATTGAGAACACTGCAATCTCCAGGACTCATTAGTATGTCCAAATGAACAACGCTTAGTTTCTCCCTTCCTGCTGATGCTCTTATATGACACTGATATTGAGACGCCATCAGTCCACTCCACCTCCCAGTAACAGCGTCCACACACACTCTCTCTGCACAACACCTGAGGCCAGGTATCAAATCTGTCCGGATGATCAGGATATGGATGCATTGTAGTAGTGAAAGAAGCCACTCTGTTCTCATCAGACAGATGAAGCTGTTTATGTGCAGTGTTTGGATCCAGAGTGAGCTTACAGGAGTCTGTGAGAGATGAAAATATATAAATGTTTAGCTTTTTAATTCAACTCTGTGTCTCAGTTTGTATTTGCACATTTCTTCAAGTCTAAGTTTGTTCGATTTTTGCAGCAAAGTGAAGCTTTTTCTTGCCATATAATCTTTTTTCATAAACTTCACTCACTGAATAACATGGTCTTCGCATTTAAATACTGCATTAGAAATGTTAAAAATAGTTTTGCATGACATTATATAATTAGGAAAGAAACTGAATGTGCATTACACTTGTCCCATCTTTTTAAAAGACTTGCATCCAAATGTAAAAAGTAAAACAGGATATATTTATATATATGTATACATGTACACTGGCCACTTTATTAGGCACCCCTTACTAGTACCGGGTTGGACCCTCCTTTGCCTTCAATACCACTAGTGGCGGTTCTAGTTTAAATGGCACCCTGGGCAAAATAATATATTTATTATTATTTTTATTATACAATTATTATTCAAAATAAATAGCAGAAATCAATCCTAAATGTAACTGCAAAACAATGTGGAGTGATATGCTAAGATCACTTAAGAAAACTTCTGCATGACTATTATGACAATTCTATAGGATAAAAAAAAAAAATATGTTTTATAGAATTATCTGTTGTCTTGGACCTGACTCATGGCTGAGAATTAATGTTATGAAGTCCTAGCTCCCTGACTCTTTATCCTTCCTTTCTGCTTTATATGCTTAGTTTCAAAAGTTTGTCTGCTTTTCATGCTTACTGAAAGTAGATGCCAAATGTGAATGGCTCCTAACATATTTATTCTGGGATTGCCACTCTAAATTAATACACTTACATACAGCAAATCATATCTCAATGCTTTTACTCGGGGACTTTTTTGTTTTTTTGCACCGTCTCCCCGTACCACCCCCAGCAAGATGCCGCCCTGAGCGATCGCCCATATTGCCCATGCCTAAATCCGCCACTGTTCAGAACTGCCTTAATCCTTCGTGGCATAGATTCAACACGGTTCTGGAAATATTCCTCAGAGATTTTGCTCCGTATTGACATGATAGCATCACGCAGTTGCTGCAGATTTGTTGACTGCACATCCATGATGCGAATCTCCCGTTCCACCACTTTCCAAAGGTGCTGTATTGAGTTCTGGTGACTGTGGAGGCCATTTGAGTGCAGTGAACTCATTGTCATGTTCAAGAAACCAGTCTGAGATGATTCACGCTTTATGATGACATGATGTGTTATCCTGCTGAAAGTAGCCATCAGAAGACGGGTACACTGTGGTCAAAAAGGGATGGACATGATCAGCACAATACTCAAAAGTGCCCAAAATGCCCAAAGTATCCCAAGAAAATTTCCCCACACCATTACACCACCACCAGTAGACTGAACCTTTGATATAGTCAGGGGGCAGAATTGATCCGTGCTTTCATGTTGTTCACACCAATTTCTGACCCTACCATCCGAAAGTCGCAGCAGAAATCGAGAATCATCAGACCAGGCAACGTTTTTCCAATCTTCTATTGTTCAATTTTGGTGAGCCTGTGCAAATTGTAGCCTCAGTTTCCTGTTCTTAGCTGACAGGAGTGGCACTCAGAGTAGTCTTCTGCTGCTGTAGCCCATCCGCCTCAAGGTTGGACGTGTTGGGTGTTCAGAGATGCTCTGCTGCAAACCTCAGTAGTAACAAGTGGTTATTTGAGTTACTGTTGCCTTTCTATCAGCTGGAACCAGTCTGGCCATTCTCTGACCTCGGGCATCAACAAGGCATTTGCGCCCACAGAACTGCCGCTCACTGGATATTTTCTCTTTTAAGGAGCATTCTCTGTAAACCCTAGAGTTGGTTGTGCGTGAACATTCCAGTAGATCAGCAGTTTCTGAAATACTCAGACCAGCCAGTCTGGCACCAACAACCATGCCACGTTTAAAGTCACTTAAATCAACTTTATTCCCTATTCTGCTGCTCGATTTGAACTGCAGCAGATTGTCTTGACCATGTCCACATGCCTAAATGAAGTCATTATATTTTTTACCTTTAAACATAATTTTCTAAAAAATATATATAGCCTGTTTCCTGTAGGGGATGTTTTTTTTTGGGATAAAAAATACAGTCTGTATAGTAAGAAATATCATTATATACTGAATAAAGAGTCCCCAACGGGATCCCAAACCAGTGTGTTTGTGTGTGTCCACATTGACTTACATTGTAGAAACTCCTCCCTCGTCTTGGGTTCATTATTGGAAATAATGTTGATGTATGTTACTAAAAAACAAGACATATATTGAGAATACTCACTTCAGCTTATTCCCTGGTTTATCAGGGATCACAGCGGAATGAACAAGTTATTTTTAGTTTTTAAAAAGTATTAATTAAAAAAGTAAATCAAACAGGAATTATTTTTTCTCATTAGTACGGTTTTGTGTTTGTTTTTTAACATAAATGTTAAAATATGTAGGTTTTTCTGAAAGTAACTTTTATTTCACCTCACCGTGACCAGATATCTGCTCTGTTGCCTGTTTGCAGAGCTGCTCCAGTTTTTGTTTCATATTAGAGACAGATTTTCTCACATCTTCATAAGGATGGGCAGAACTGACGGTTGGGCTGCGGACGGCTGCTGATTTCAGAGATTCAGAGAGAGACTGGAAACTCTAGGAGAGAATAAAAATACAGAAATATCAAAGATCCAAAAAATTGCATTAAATTCCATTGTTACACACCATTTCATTTAAATATGAACATTTATTCAACCCCAGTATTTTCAATGGAGTTAAAGCATTAATAATGGAGTTACAGAGTATAAAAAATCGATTAAATAATATGCTGCTCTTCAAGCAGTCTTTCATCTTGTTTAACTAAATGATTGCTTTAGTACATTTAACTCTATTTAGGCTCAATTACATTAATGATGCATTACCATATGAAACTTATCCCTGTGGAAAGGGATCATGGATGCAGTTGGAATGTACATTGCAAAAGACAATAAAAATATTGCAGGTATGCGCAAATACAGATTTAGGTAGCAGATTGCCTTTTTTTTGCCTTCCTCGCTTAGAAGGTTTGTAGAAAAGAAAGAATGTTCAAACTAAAACCAGCACAAAAAATAAGCATCTCATGCACTGATATTTAATGCTGTTAAATGTTTGTTTGCACTCTATCAAAACTTCCTCGTATCTTGTTGCTGAGACTTTTGTTTTATTATGTTGATGTGCTTCCAACTGAAACGGAATATTGAGTAAGGGGCAGGGCTTTCTTTTTGTGCACCATTCCCTAGCAAACTAACGGTCGTGGTTAAGAATATTGCGGCTGAAGCCATCAAACTGATATGAACAGACATAGACAGCCACTTCAAACACAGAAGCAAATGGTCAAAACTTGATTGAAGATTACCAAAAGTAACCTTTTTTTCAAATGCATTAAATTGCACAGATAAATTAATTACTAGATTAATTGTTTACATAAAGAATAACAATGTGCGCAAGCAAAATATACATATTAACATTTATTTTGGGCGGGGTGAGACGAATTCTCACAGTAGCCACACATCCCCAAATATACAAATTCACCTTAGTGTAGGATCAGTTGTTTTCTCTCTAAAAACACCTTGTGTGACGACAGTCTAATTTTTTCTGTTTGTTACCTGTAGGAAATGTATGTGGTCATCAGTGTGTGAAAGCTGCTCCAGCTCAGTGTTTCTCCTCTTCAGATCTTCAATCTCCTGCTGCAGTTTCTTCAAGAGTCCTTCAGCTCGACTCACTTCAGTCTTTTCTCGATCTCTGATCGTCTGTGTGACCTCAGATCGTCTTCTCTCAATGTACTGGATGAGTTCAGTAAAGATCCTCTCACTGTCCTCCACTGCTGTCTGTGCAGAGCTCTGTTAAGACACAAAAACAATCCGTTCATCAATGGGCTTCAGTGAAACTGGAAAATGCAGTCCAACACTGCTCAGGTTAGTCTGACTCTTACCTTATGATTCTTAATGTCTTCTCTGAGCTTCAGATTCTCCTTCTGTCTTTCTTGGATTTTCTTATACCATTTTCTTTTTATTTCTCCAACCTGTTTCTAAAGCATAAAAAAATGGCGTATATTAGAAAGAATGATCCATTATCATCAGTTTATTTAAAAGATTTCTAGATTGCAAAATTATTCATCGGTCTGTAGCTATATTTACATCAAAAGATGCATATTACACTTAAATCATACTAAAACATTTGTAAATAAAGCACCTTTTCCATCCAACGAGTCAAATAAAACTAGATCTTCAATTCCTGATAACCTGACACCAGATATCAATAGAAACATGAAAATTGGTGTGTCAGGAGAAGCCACTGCGGGGTTTTTTATCATAGATTAAATTACTTGTGCCTTGAAATGCAAAGAAAAGACAAAGGCTTTTGGACTCAAAAGAATCATCTTAGGTCAAGAAAGTTCAGGGTCTAATAATACTGAGCCACTTTGATTAAGGACTTTGGCTGAGGGATTTTAGGATGACCAAGAAATTTCTAATTAATGCTGACCCATCATGGCTATTTTTGTTATCACATGCTCTGTTAAAACCAAATCACATTATTTTTTGATGTGCTTGCTGTAATTTATTTGGTAAATGTGTTTTCATCGTAGTATTTACACATTTTTCTTATCAGATCAAAAGTTTATCCTACTCAGTTGTGCACATACGTTTGACATCTTGGCATTTTCATTAAGCATTGTTATGTGGTATACCAATAATTGACATAAAATATGTGCACCGTAAAACCCCACAGTCAACTTTATCAAATGAAATGAGTGTAGTTAACTCAAAATTTACATTTCAAGAGTTTTGAACTCTTAATTAAATTAAGTAAATAAAATAGAGTTAATTAAATACCTCATTACTTTAACTTAAATGGAATAAGTTCACAGTACTCATATAGATTAGTGTTTTAACTCAAATGGTTTCCTCAAATGGTTTGAGTTGACTTAACCGATTGGGTTTTACAGTACTCAACAGTGCTCAAATTGCTTCTTTTACTCAAATGGAGCAAGTTCACAGTACTCATTAGGATTAGTTTTTGGACTTAAATAGTTTGTTGCAATCGGTTTCCTCAAATGGTTTGAGTTACCTTCACTTTTTGGGTTCTACAGTGTGGATGGAACTTAAATGGCATACCTGTTTCTCAGCTCTCTCTGCTTCAGCTGAAACAGTGTCGTGATTTTTATGTTCATCCATCACACACATTAAACATACACACTTCTGGTCAGTCCGACAGTAAACCTCCAGCAGTCGGTCATGTTTAGGGCAGATCATCTCCTGGATTCGTCCAGTGGCATCAGTCACTTTGTGTCGTTTCTTTGAGCGCGATTCTTCATGACACTCAAAATGACTTTCACAGTAAGATTCGAGACACAACAGACAGGATTTGACAGCTTTGCGTTTTCTCCCATTACAAACATCACACTCCACATCTCCACTTCCAGCGTAACTGACAGCAGGGTCAGTTGTTTGGGCTCTTCTTGTCACCTTTGCTTTCTCCACCATTTCTGCCAGCATCACATTCTTGTTTAAAGCAGGTCTTGGAGTGAAGGTCTGTCTGCACTGAGGGCAGCTGTAAACTCTCCTCTGCTCATCTTGATTCCAGCAGTCAGTAATGCAGCTCATACAGTAACTGTGTCCACAGGGGATGGTCACTGGCTCCTTCAGGAGATCCAGACACACTGAACAGCTGAACCGGTCCCGAATCCACCTACTATTGAATTCTGCCATTTCACTACACGTGCACTCAGATTCAATGAAATAATCACTTTCGCTTTCGTTTTCTCTGAAGGAGATATTTCCGGCCACTATAGAGAACATCCACTAGGTGTCAGTCTCATAGGCTCATTATTTTAAAAACCTAAAAGCTGTAGTGTTTAGTTTGATTTGTGCTGTTTATGGCAGACACTTTTACCCAGATAATGATTTTCACTGTGCATTTCAGAACCAAAATCACATTTTTAAAGAACTATTGGTGTTCTGCACAGTTTATATCATTCTTTCATTCATTCATTTTCTTTTCGGCTTAGTTCCTTTATTAATCAGGTCACTACATCGGAATGAACCGCCAACTTATCCAGCATATGTTTTACGCAGCGTAACACCCATACACTCACTACAGCCAATTTTGTTTAAGCAATTGTGAGGGAAGGCGAGGCAGTGGGCAGTAGGTAGTGCTGTTGTCTCACAGCAAGAAGGTCGCTGGGTCGCTGGTTCGAGCCTCGGCTTTCTGTGTGGAGTTTGCATGTTCTCCCTGCCTTTGCGTGGGTTTCCTCTGGGTGCTCCGGTTTCCCCCACAGTCCAAAGACATGCGGTACAGGCGAATTGGGTAGGCTAAATTGTCCGTAGTGTGTGTGTGTGGATGTTTCTCAGAGATGAGTTGCGGCTGGAAAGGCATCCGCTGCGTAAAAACCTGCTGGATAAGTTGGCGGTTCATTCTGCTGTGGCGACCCCGGATTAATAAAGGGACTAAGCCGACAAGAAAATTAATGAATGAATTGTGAGGGAAACCGTTACTAAAACACCTGGAGGAAACCCACCCGAACATGGCAAGAACATGTAAACTCCATACCCAACATTCATCTCTATTATAATTTGTAAGAGTTGGACATTTGATTATGATTGGTTAACTAAGACAGCAGCACCCTAATGTAAAACCATTCAAAATTAGTAACAGTTTTTTTTTAATAAGATTAAGATTTATTAATATTTATCTTTCTGCTAACCAAAATATGTATAAATAGTTACAAATATACAAATAATTACAAAAAAGCATTTGAAACAATTTAGATGGTGTTTTTTTTTTTTTTTTTTTTTTTTTACATTTTAATTCAAGTTTTAGACAAGAGAAAATCTGCCCTGTCACTTTAGCTTTTGAGTTTTTGTTTACTCTTGTCTTTATTTTGTTAAGCTTTATTGAGCACCTGCCTTTAAGATTTTCTTAGATGTGTGAACACTGATTTCTGTCTTAACATTATTTTTTAAAAACATTGTTTTTATTGCATAATCATCAGAAACCAACATACAACACAATATAAATTATGTAACATTAAAAAACTAAAATAACAATGGTAAATAAACAACAAAACACAAAGATAAATAAATAAAAATAAAATAGTTTAATTACACAAAACATAGTGTACAGCATTTCTGCATCCAATAGTTTAAAAAAAATTAACTGGAGAATCAAAAAAAGTGACATAATTTATACAAATCTCAGATGTTTTGCTTTTCGACAATTTCACAGTAGAAATAAAGAAGTCAAACTCGATACAAAAAACTGTAATGTGGGAGAGGATTTAGCAAATTTCTGTTTATGTATGTAGAATATTGCCAATAAAATAAAAAGATTAACAATATATTTGTTGGATTTGTTTTCATAATATAAAATAATATTTATCAATGTAAAAAAATAAGTAAATTTTGTCTTTTTAAAAATTTATTTGGCTAGATCCTTCCAGAAACAGTTTACAATGTTGCATTCAAAAACTAAATGGCAAATGCTCTCTTTATCTGCATTGCAGAAACCACAGATATCCTCCATTTTAATGTTCTTTGATAAAAACTATTTTGCTGGGTAAATTGTGTGCAGTATTTTAAAATGAATTTCCTTGATTTTATTATTAGTAGTGTATTTGAAGGCAGTTAACCGGGCTCTTTTCCAGTTAATATTAACTATAACAGAGTTCCAGAAAAAAATTGCCTCTTGGAGTAGTTTTATTTTGCTTATGAAAAATATTAAGCAAATAATTGTTAGAAAATTTTTATAAGTCAACTCAACACCTTCTAAATGTAATTTTGGGTTTACAATGATTATGATTTTAACAATTTGAATATTTTTACAGGGATAGATAAAAAACTGGTTTTCGCGTTACTTACAACATTATGACGCCTACATCCGAGTTCATCACTGACGGACGGAAGTTTACAATGGTCAGGATTGTGTGCAGTTTTAAAGCGTGACGCACGCCAGGTAAGTCCTCAACAATATTACTTTAAATGCAGTGCATGTTATCTGCATAATAGACGAGTACTGTAAAGCCCGTTTCATTTAACTGTTCATGCTTTGTCGGGTACGCCAAATGTTGGTGAGTAGCCGTCTACGTCTGCGTGGCAACAACTCGCATAAACAATGTAACATTACCGTTTGGATGAACACATTTTCTCGCTTCAATTGACTATAAAGTTATCAGAAAGAAAGGTGTGCGTGTGCGTGTGCGTGTGCGTGTGCGTGTGTGTGTGTGTGTGTACACGTTTTAGTTCGTTTCACTAATTTAAAGGCAAAGTATACTTTTGTAACAATTTTTGCAAGATTTGCCAAGATGGACACATTTTTGTTATATAAAAGCTACTTTTTAAACAAATTAACGTTGCAGAATAAGAAAAAATGGCTGTTTAAGGTTTTTATAAATACGTTTCCAAAATAAATGTTAAAGAAAATATGCTCGTTACACTTTTATATATGATGGAAAAAATTAGGACTAATTCTTAATCAAAAAAATCATAATATTTGTTTATATAAGATACTTTTTGCTGTATTATTAAAATGTGAAACTGAATTATAATAATGATACTTTTTATTTATAATGCACTTTTCTTAGACTCAAAGCACTACAAGGCAAAATACTAACATTAACAAAAACAGCACAATAATACGAAAGATACAACAACAAAACAATAAAAATTTGAACCATAATATAGAATAATAAATCAACAAAAATAATCATCCTAAGTTAAAAGCAATGCTAAACAGGTGAGTCTTATGAAGTTTCTTAAAACAGGCACACTCTAGCTGCGTCCCAAATGGCACACTATACACTATGCACTCATGCACTATGTACTTATGCACTTACACACTCAACAGGATAGTATATGTATGTAGTGGCGTCCCAAATGGCACACTAATGTTTTTTTACTAAGCGGAAATTCAAACCGTTTCCCTGAAGACGTTTGACTGTTGCCAAATCAGTGAAATAAACGACCGAATTATCAAGTAATACCTGCCGTGAGTATTGCTGCATTCACCATCGGGAGGCGCTATAATCACTCTCGTAGGAGAATTTTGCTTTCACCATCCAAAATAAATAAAGTTATTCAACATGTGCGCCCGATTGCTCCGCCCCTTCCGCTACGTAAGCAAACCTGCGGTCGTTGAGTGCGTGAAGTGTCCATCATTACACACTTCATTTTAGCGGCTGAATGAGTGCATCATCCGGGTAATTAAAGTGCACTTATTATTTTGAGAGTTTTCAATGTGAACACACTACTTACACTATTTATACTACAAAATGGCGTAAAATAGTGCATAAGTATGCGATTTGGGACACAGCTTCTGAGAAAGTTCTACCTCCAATGGTCTTGAGTTTACAGCGTGGCTGATACAGGGTAAGTCCTAATGCCGAACGAATACTGTGGGCTGGAGTGGCGAGAGTCACCAGGTCACAAATGTAACCAGGTGCTAGCCCATGCACTGCTTTGAAGGTTAAAATCAAGGTCTTAAAATCAATCTGTGACTTAATAGGAAGCCATTGTAGTCGTTGACATGCAGGAGTAATATGGTGGCGTGATGATGTGTGTGTCAGAACAGTTATGGCATGTAACATCTTGTGATGTATGAAAATAACACCAAATGTACCTCATCTGCAATAATAGAATCACCTGTGTGTGTTTGCATGTAGTGAAATGGCAGAAAGCAGTATTTCAGTGGCTGAGGATCAGTTCAGTTGTTCAGTCTGTCTGGATCTTCTGAAGGAGCCAGTGACCATCCCCTGTGGACACAGTTACTGTATGAACTGCATTACTGACTGCTGGAATCAAGATGAGCAGAGGAGAGTTTACAGCTGCCCTCAGTGCAGACAGACCTTCACTCCAAGACCTGCTTTAAACAAGAACGTGGTGATGGCAGAAATGGTGGAGAAACTGAAGACAGGATCAAGAAATGCTGCAAGTTATGCTGGACCTGGAGATGTGGAGTGTGATGTTTGCACAGGAAGGAAGCGCAAAGCTGTTAAATCCTGTCTGATGTGTCTGAACTCTTACTGTCAAACTCACCTTGAACAACACGATAGCTTCTTTAAAGATAAGAGACATCATTTAATCAATGCCACTGGACGACTGAGGCAGATGATCTGCTCTAAACATGACCGACTGCTGGAGGTTTACTGTCACACAGACCAAAAGTGCATTTGTTTACTGTGTATGATGGATGAACACACAGGTCATCAAACTGTTTCAATTAAAACAGAGAGGGCTGAGAAACAAGTATGTTTTGCAAACATTAGTAACATAGATGAGGTTTATGATGCAGACGGTATGAACAACACCTTCTGCTGTTACAGAAACTGTTGTTGGACTTACAGAGAAACTTCCAGAAGACAATCCAGGAGAGAGAGGAGGAGGTTTGGGAGCTGAAACATGCCGTGAAGACTCATAAGGTGAGATTAAAGAGGAATGTTTAGCTTCTTTAAGAACTTTTTGTTAACGTTTCTTCACCCTAACAGCACTCTGCACAGACAGCAGTGGAGGAAAGTGAGAGGATCTTCACTAGACTATTCCACTTTATTGAGAGAAGACGATCTGAGGTCTCGCAGATGATCAGAGATCGAGAAAAGACTGAAGTGAGTCGAGCTGAAGGACTCTTGAAGAAACTGGAGCAGGAGATTGAAGATCTGAAGAGGAGAAACACTGAGCTGGAGCAGCTTTCACACACTGATGATCACATACATTTCCTACAGGTAACTGATCTTAAGCACAGGATGATTTTATCACATTGATTATATCATTATCAGCTACTGAAGTGTTGATAACTTTATACAATACATTAATTTTAATGTGTATAATCTTAAGAATAGTTTAAAGAGTCAAAGTATAAGATCAAGGCAGATTTTCTTTTTTTCTTTTTGGGAAACAAAGTTTAACAAATTAGTGCTGGGCAAAAATAATCACATCCAAAATAAACTTAGTTTTGACGTAATTTAGGTGTGTACTCTGTATATATTTAATATGACACTTGGCAAGTGTGTAAACACTTGCGCTCACCTCCCTCGCCATGGTAAGCTACGGCGATATAGGGCATATGAGATAAATGACGTCAGTACATAACAACCAGTTTTAATTATCACTGAACTGATACCGAATGCCCCATGTGTTTAAACAAGTTTAGAAAGTGCTTTTATAAACTGAATCATTTCTTTTGATTTGCTTCTAGAGTTTCCAGTCTCTCTCTGCTCCTCCTGAATCTCCAGAAAGCAGTGATGTTACTTCTCTCCTCTTTTATGATGACGTGGGTGAAACTCTCTCTGTCCTGAAAGAGAAACTTGAGGACGCCTGCAAGGAAGCCACAGAAAATATGTCTGGTAAAGCAATGGAGAATTTGTGTGGAAAATGTATAATGTCATAAATACTAGATAACACTAATCCATCGTCTTTATTAGTTTTAGAGACACCATACATGGAGATCATTTCCACCTCTGAACTCATTAACAGAGACAAGTTCTTGCAATGTAAGTGTCAGTCATAATATTGAAGTGATTTAATATGCATAGAAAGCAAATGAAAGTAAAGCATCTAATTTAATGTTCAAAAGAAACATGTTCAAATTTAAATGTCAAAATTCAGATGAAGTAATGTTCCATCATCATTCAGAGTAATGTATTAGCTCGAATAAATAGTAATAAATGCATTAACTGACCTTGTGTAAATTTGTTTTCAGATTTCCATCATCTCACCCTGGATTCAAACACAGCACATAAATATCTCCGTCTGTCTGAAGGAAACAGAGTGGCTACTTTTATTGGAGCTGACCAGAGTTACCCGGCTCACCCGGACAGATTTCATGACTTTTCCCAGGTGTTGTGCAGAGAGAGTGTATGTGGACGCTGTTATTGGGAGGTGGAGTGGAGCGGGGAGGCTGGAGTGGGAATATCAGTCTCGTATAAGAGCATCAGAAGAAAAGGAGAAGGTTTCGACTGTGTGTTTGGGTTTAATGATCAATCCTGGAGATTGTCCTGCTCTAACTCCAGGTATACACTCAGACACAAACAGATATCCACCAAACTCTGTGTACCATCAAGCTCCAACAGAATAGGAGTGTATGTGGATCACAAAGCAGGAATTCTGTCCTTCTTTAACATCTCTGACACAATGAGCCCCATCCACAGAGTCCAGACCACATTCACTCAGCCACTCTATCCTGGGTTTGGGATTAATTTTGGGTCAACTGTGAAACTGAAGTCTGCAGAGAATCTGTGAATGACAGTGTCATCTTACAAGTTTAAGCATTTTAAGAGAAAGGGCTGAGTACATGTGGTTAGCAGTAGTCAGTGACAGTTGACTGGTATTTTTAATCAAGATTGTGTGTCTTTAAGATTTTCTTACATTAAGGACATTCATTACCTGACAAAGGTCTTGCCTATCCAGGTTTTGGTATTAAAAGTGGCATATATGAAAGGCAAAGTCCTCTAGATTGTGCTTATTTTACCAGAATAAAACATGATCATGCCTTGATTTTTAGTTATTTAATTAGGACAGTAAGGTCTGACTTTGCTAAGACAAAAGTCTTGTCACTTAACAGAAATAATGTACAGTATAGAATATAAAGTCATGCTGCAGTGGAAAAATAATGAATATTATGTATGACTCCCATGAGCTTGGAGGACTGCATCCAGACATCTCTGCAATGACTCAAATACCTTATTTTATGAAGTCATCTGGAATGGCAAATAAAGCGTTCTTGCAGGACACCCAAAGTATATCAGGATTCTTTGGATTTATCTTCAATGCCTCCTCCATCTTACCCCAGGCATGCTCAATAATGTTCATACCTGGTGACTAGGCTGGCCAATCCTTGAGCTCCTTGACCTACTTTGCTTTCAGGAACTTTGATGTGGAGGCTGAAGTATGGGAAGTAGTGCTATCGTGCTGAAGAATTTGCCCTCTCCTGTGGTTTGTAATGTAATGGGCAGCACAAATGTCTTGATAGCTCAGGCTGTTGATGTTGCCATCCACTCTGCAGATCTCTTGCACACCCCCATACTAAATGTAACCCCAAACCCTGATTTTTCCTTTACCAAACTTGGGTCCATGCAGGTCCAATAGGTCTTCTTCAGTATTTGTGATGATTGGGACGCTGTTCAGCAGATGATTCTTCAGAAAAATCAACCCTCTGCCACTTTTCCAAATGATCAATCAAGTTAATAATAATAAGACAAGACTACAAGACCATTGTTATGTATTTTGCTCACCCGTGTACCCTAAAGTCAGCTTGAAATTAAATTTTACTCATATTATTTTTATATGTATATAGTAGTGCTTCTTATAAATGATGTATCGGTGCACTTAGTTCTAGTGTAAAAATTCATTTGCCCTCATAACTTTTATTAAATACTGTAACCTTCCCTCTTCGTTGGAATGACTTTTCTTTATTTCAGGTCACAAAGAGTGCCTTTAGGGCAGGGCTATCAGGGCATCTCATTTCTACTCCTTTTAAGCAATTCCCATCTTCCAACAATCCAGTTGCTTTCCAAAAGTTGTAATCAAACACCCCTCTTCATATATTTTTTTTTTCATTTGAGGACTGTTTCAATTGGAGGTACAAAGCTTGGACAATGAAACTGAAACACCTGGTTTAAGACCACAATAATTCATTAGCATGGTATAGGGCCTCCTTTTGCAGACAATACAGCATTGAAAATGACAGCTACAAATCCATCAAAAAGATTTTGGTGTCATTTTTAATGCAGAATAGTGGCCAGGGGTTTGTTCTTCGTACGTGGATTACTCAATTAGCTGGATTTGGATGTTCACGATTTGACACGATCCAGGATTGTTTCGTTTTTCAGAACTCATCTGAGACTTGTTGTCATAGTAACAGTTCTGGTAGCTCAAGCCTGCGTAGGAGCAAATTCATTTCATTTAAACAGGATTATATTGGGTGAGTTCAAGCAAAGATAATACTGAAAGTATGTACCAAATTCTGATATTTTCTTACTGTAGTTATATACACTTGGGAAAATAGTATATATATATATATATATATATATATATATATATATATATATATATATATATATATATATATATAACAATTCTGTCTGGTTCTCAAATCTGATTGGCTGATAGCCATGCGATATTCTGAAATATCAGAAATCCTGTACAGCCTCTTTACCCTTTGTGTATTACTCTGCCCACATACAGCCAGCAAAAAGCAGACACTACAGATCTAAAGTTTAAAAGATGCACGCTCAACTGTTTAACTGTCAGCTTATGATTTGAATCCAATGTGGAAGAAAGTAGTTCCACATACAAAAGGGTTTTTGAGACTCTCAGTGTTTGATTTTGTTTTTATATACACAATTATGCCGTCAAACTGTTGTATAAATGCAATATCACACTCGTAGCAGTGCGATATGGCTGTATATCGACACTGGTGGGGGCACTAAGGCACGCCATTGCACGCCTCTCACCAGTGCCGATATACAGCCATATCGCACTGCTACGAGTGTGATATTGCTCATATATATATATATATATATATATATATATATATATATATATATATATATATATATATATATATATATATATATATATATATACACGTTTACTGCTCTTTTGATGTAAATTTACTCACATGGATAATTGAATATTAATCAGATGATGTCATTACGTTGCTGTGCCGTTAGCCAATCGTTACATTGCTGATCATGATTTTGAGGACGGATGGATCTGTCCTTCACAACACGCAGCGATCTCTGATCAGCTCATCCAGACATTTTAATTTGATTCGCGAACTTGTTTAAAGAACCAAATTAGCCAGAGATCAGTTATCAAGATTAAAAGATCCAGGATCTGCCAAATCATCTTAGATCATTTAAACGAGGTACGAACAACGGACCCCTGACTTGCTCCTCCAAAACACCTTGAAGTGGCTCAATAATGCTTAGATCTGGTGACTGTGCAGGTCGTGGAAGGTTTAACTTCACTTTCATGCTCATCAAACCACTCTGTCACCAGTCTTACTGTATGTATTGGTGCATTATTATCCTGAATCACGGCACCGCATTCAGGAGACAATGTTTGAACCATTGGGTGCACATGGTCCTCCAGAATGGTTCGGTAGTCCTTGGCAGTGACATGCCCGTCTAGCACAAGGCCTACATTTCTGCCCAAACCATCACTGATCCTCTCCAATGCTTCACTCTGGGCATGCAACAGTAACTCGCTTTTATGACATGTGATAAACACAGGTAAGTGGGCTTAACAAACCACCTGTAGAAACACTTTCTTTCTCTTGCTCTCTCTCAAAAAATCTCTAGCTCTTAATTCTCTAAGCACAATCAGTTCCTTTGTATAATTAGCACTTCTTGTATGTATTGCGTCCTTGTTGAATCGCTGAATGTCTCCTTAACTATAAGTCGCTGTGGACAAAAGCATCTGCTAAATGACTAATGTAAATCTCCCAGATATGGGAAAGACAGTGAAGGTGGACTCATCAAAGAACAATACATTTCACACTGTCCATAAGCCAAGATTTTCGCTGCTGGCACCATTGAAACCAATGTTTGGCATTGGCATGAGTGACCAAAGACTTACAGATAATTAACAACGTTTAGTTATATTTGCAGTGTGAACCATGGAGAGCAATTTGAGCTCAGAAAGATACTCTAACTCGTGTTATACCCCTTGTCAGAAAAGAGAGTGAATAAAGTCTTAAGTTTTAAAGTGTGGTAAAGAAATGCTGAATATCGAGAGATAATGGGAATAGGACATACTTGATTATTTAAAGGGGTTATTGTGTTGACTGCATAATAATATGATTGTCAATAATCTCCTTATGCTCCTTCCAAAAGTAGTTTCTAACTTCACTTAGTCTGATAAAACAGTGCTGCTGCTTCTCCACTTGATCGCGAGCAGAAGAACTGGAAGCGGTGGACTGTGGCATAATAAAAGCTCTGCTACTTTCGTCTCTCATTGCTTCTGAACTCTCATTTTGCACAATGGCTTTGAAGGTTGATATAGTTGTTTAGGTAAGACAGTCACTGACATGTAAAGATGCAGAACAACATCTTTCTCTCTTTTTTTCAGCCCTCATCTGGACAAACTGCTGTATAAAGGTTTCAGTCACTATAGGGAAAGTCTCACCATCTTGCAAAGTCAGTGAAAACTGGAAACTGGCTGAAAGTTAGAGTTTATCAGATAATTAGGGATTTTACCCCCAGGAGCCACTGTGCCACAAACACCTACTACCAACTTGTAAGTATCTGTTCTGTTATTAGTTCAGTGTGTTTTTCAATTATAATTCATTTATTTATTGAAATAATAGATGTGGTATTTCTAGAAGCAAGAAGGTCGCTGTTCGAGCCTCAGCTGGGTCAGTTGGCATTTCTGTGTAGAGTTTGCCTGTTCTCTCTGTGTTGGTGTGGGTTTCCTCTGAGTGCTGCGGTTTCCTCCACAATCCAAGGACATGTGCTGTAGGTGAATTAGGTAAGCTAAATTGTCTGTAGTGTATGTGAGTATATCCTGGTCCTCCAGGTTGGGGGTTAAGCATTGGGCTTCCCACCTCATAAAAACTAGATGTCACGAAACACCAATATGGTGCGATTAAATATCAGCTTCAATATAAATGCCACTGGGAGTAATTAAGCACATATTAATATTCAACAAACGCTTTATGTAAACTGAATCAGTTATTAATTGTATTTGCCATTTTTATTAGCACTTTTTTACAGACTGTTGTTTCTGCACATGAATTGGATGCTCATATTGTTATTACCGGTGTAGCAGAGTGGATAAGAACTATTACAAATTCTGAAAATCATTAGTTTCATGCATGTATATACACTCACCGGCCACTTTATTAGGTACAAGCGGCCCTCCTATGAATTGTCAGTCACTGATATTGCCCCCCACCAATTTGAGTTTGAAACCCCCGCCCTAAAATTAAGTAAATTATTTATAGAGTGCTGTGTAGAAGACTACAATAAACACAAACATGTGATGTTTTGAAGCATTAACTCACTTTAATTGTGATATTGGTTAAACAAAATAATAATGTCCTCAACAGTGCCCCAACCTGTGCACATTTCTTTCGACACATCATCCTCATTCAAAACAATAAACTCTCACAACTGCAAATAAAGACAGATGTGGTCCAATTTTGTATATTCTTCGCCAGTCCACTAGGAGAACATTCAAAGGACTTGCAAGTGTAAAACGTTCAATATCAATTAGGGTTGTAATGATAATGGAATTCGGTACCAGTCGATATTGAAATTTTAAAAACGTCCATTTTTCCACCAACATTTGAGCGAGTTCTTAAACAGCGCTAATTTGCCATTGTGTTCACATGCTTAATAGAAATGACTGTGCTTGGCCGTGAAGGTCATCAGTTTACCGAACTCACCGCTGTTTACTGAGTGAAGCCACAGATACAGGGACAGTGGAGCGCTTTAAAGACGCTAAGATCAGCTGGTTTGCCTATAAGCTGACATCTGCTGTTCAATCACGGCTTTAAAGCGCTCCAGTGTCCCTGTATCTGTGGTACACGCAGTAAACAGAGGTGAGTTCAGTAAACTGATGACCTGAAAGCCAATCACAGTAATTTCTTTTGAGCTCATGAACACAATGGCTAATCTGCGCTGTTTAAGAATGCCATCAACAGCGCTCGAATGTTAGCGGGAAATGGACGCTTTAAAAATTCCAGTATCAGTTGGTAATGAATTCTAGAATTGTAAAAACCCTAATATCAATGCAATTTTAATATGGAAATGTGATGTTATTTGTGTTGGTAATCTAACAGTGATACCAGTTCCACATTTTAACCCTTTCTTAAACATTTAACAATGTTAGAGCCAAAAATATATAAAAATATAACTTGAAAATACGTAAATGATGTTCTTTAGCTTTTTTTAATGTACTTTTTCAGTTTTGGGACAGGTCCTTATGGAATGAAATAGATTAAGAGACTCTTAATCTAGTAATTTCTGGTTTATGTCCCAAATCTAGTCTGGTATAGGATCATTAAAGTCTACAAATTTTAAGCCTTGAGCCTGGATCTATCCAAAACCCAGGATAGAGTGGTTGAGTGAATGTTGTCTGGACTCTGTGAATGAGGTTCATTGTTGTGTCAGAAACACTGAAGAAAGACAGAACTCCAGCTCTGTGATCAACATACACTCCTATTCTGGAGGATCTGAAGAGCGCAGGGAGTTTCGTCTTGATGTTGTTGTGCCAGAAAATGTAACGGGATCTAGAGCAGATCATTTTCCAGGATTGGTCATTATATCCGAATCCACTTGTAGTTCTCGTTCCCTTCCTGTTGATGCTCTTATAGGAGACCGCCACACCGACTCCATACAGTCTCTCGTTCCCAATCGACTCCACCTCCCAGTAGCAGCGTCCGCTCACGCTCTCTCTACACAGCACACCAAAAAAGTTGGTAAATCTGTCAGGATGGTCGGGTAAGTGCTGAGCTGTGTGAGTGTAAGTCGCCACTGTGTTGCCCTCAGACAGGCAGAGGGATTGATGCGCTGTGTTTCGATCCAGAGAGAGTTGAAGGAAATCTAAAAAAAAATAATTACATTTTTTATTTGGTGGGAAAAACAACGGCAGCAGTACACTAAAACAAAGGCTATAGAATACACAAGACATGTCACTCGTAGTTTTAAAAGGGGAAAAGTGTAAAGCCTGGTTTATACTTCTGCGTCGAGTGCAACGTGCGTAGCTGTGCATTAATACTTCTGCACGCTGTTTCTGTTGCCTTAAATGGACTTTGACTAAATACAGTATAGACTACAGTAAATGTGTATACATGTGTTACAATGAACGTATAAATCTAAACATGACTTTCTTTAACAAGACAGTTATGCTGCTTCACACCAGACGCGGAATGCGCATCAAGCGCGAGTGATTTACATGTTAAGTCAATGCAAACGCGCGAATAAACATCTTGTGGCGCGATACGAATTGAGCGTTTTGCACGTTTGACGCGCTTAACGTGCATTTCGCGCTAATCTCTCGAGTTCGAAAATCTGAACTCCAGCAGACATTCGCGCTGCGTTAACCAATCAGAAGCTTGCTCTTGTGGGGGCGTGATTGTGACGTAGACCCTGTTGATGGTGTCCCGGGGGAAATCCTCCCGGCGACACCGACAACAAGTCATCAAACTGGGCTTGGCTCAGTCAGAAGCACCATTGAAAGCCTCCGTGATCCAGGTTAAGTTTCAGGGGGAGTTTATGAGCTCACACAGCTGGATGCACCTCTGAAAGCATGTAGTGGACTCAGACACGGTCCTAAACGTATCAACGCTGTTTTTCAGCCTTCATAAAGTGCATAAACACTGTTATTTTCTTCATAAAATCCATGTTAGCCATTTAGCAATGAAGCTACAGTCACTGGGCAGACAGAAGCCCCGCCCATCACGCGAATCCCCGTCTGTTCTGAAGTGAATTTGACACGCAAATGAAGCGAGTAAACTCAAATGTTCACGCTGCAATTTACGCGTGAATAGCTCGATTTACCCACACGTTACGCTTCTGGTGTGAACACAGCATAAAAGGCACAGTATGTAATTTTTGCCACTAGAGGGAGTTTATTCGCAACAAACAAAGCTGTATTTTGATGACACTGTGACTAAGTGTGGTATCATGGGAGTTATCTTCATTACATCCTATGCAAAATAGAAGATTGTTGTAGTAGTTTTTGGATTACTTAATGAAAAAAATCATGCATACTGTGCTTTTTAAAGCATAATTTATTTTGATTTAGAATATTTAGAGAATTCTGAGAGTGTACAATGTTAAATATTTAACTAGTGCTATAAAAGAAATACTCAATCACACAAATCTATTTAAATGGTATGTGTTATAAATGAAGTGCATTTGTATGTTTTTTATTTACTTACATTGTAGGAAGTCCTTCCTGGTCTTGGGTTCAGTCTGGTAAGCTCTGTTGATTTTTGCTTCTTTGGAAAGAAACAGACAACATGAGTGTCACTGAGATTTAATTACTAATATCCATCTCTTCATATTACAGTAACTCACTGTAAATAAGCAAATCAGGCCAAGTTTATGAACACTGAATATGAATTAACATGTACAAATTACATCCTTTAATGTTTTTACCATTTCATACATTAAGCTCTTAGTTTTATTCTTGTAAGCAAGGTAATATTTTTATTTAAAAATTACCTTTATAAAATATGTTCTCAATCTCCTCTTTACAGAACTGCTCCAGTTTTTCTTTCAGCTGAGAGACAGATCTCCCCACATCTTCATTAAGGAGGACAGAACTGACATTGGCTCTGGATATGTCGGTCATTTTTGAAGGTTCACAGAGAGACTGAAATCTCTAGAGAGAATGAAAAGTAAAACACACTAAAATAATCTGCGTACTCACATCGACAGGTTTGACTGTATGATTTGGTGACACATTCCAGGACATATTTTATACTTTATTTATATTTATTATTTGTCATTCGTTTGTAGTTTACTGGGAAATACATATTAGTAGGGCTGCATGATGCTGGAAAAATTAGATATTGCAATATTTTTTATTTTGCGATAGATATATATATATATATATATATATATATATATATATATATATATATATATATATATATATATATATATATAGCAATATGAACACAATTTTACCAGATGATTAAATATCTCTATTTGAAAAGAATTTATAATGTTAGGATTATAAATTGATTGGGATGATTCTGCAGTGGGAATGCCTCTCTATAAAATCCAATAAACAATCTATAAATACAATCAAGAAAAAACTGAAATAAGTGTTTTATCATTTTCCAACTCGAACACTATTCAAGTACAGTAATTAAATGAAAAAAAACAATTCAGTAAAATTAATCATCTATAAAGTCACAAATGGTACCATTTCTTTTGCCTGAATGCTTGATAAATCAACATACACATCACAGGCATCGAAACCACATGCAAATGATAAATTATAACACAAACTAGGCTTGGACAGTAATACGGTAATATGGTATACCGCTGGATCTAAAACTAGCAACGGTGTCAGTTTCAATACCGTTATACCTTCATAAAAAAAAAAATCTATGCACGTATATAGGAGACAACTATTAAATATTATTTATTTAATGCCTAAAAATGCATATGCGTGATTGTCATCATGGGACAGTGTGGAGGAGAGAGAGGTCAGGTAAGATGGCAAGTCACGCAACAAGTGACCAGAAAAAAAAAAAAGGAACACAACCTCTGCAGTTTGGCAGTATTTAGGCTTTCGACCAAACGAGAAAGAAGACGTGGTAAATACGAACTAGAGGTCTGCTTTCCTGCTGCTGTACTGCTGGAGTCGTGGGACCTGACCAGATTTTTTGCGGTGCAGGAATAAATTTTAAAAAAATAAAGCGGGGAGCGGTCGGTAACTCTTGGCTGTTTCTCAATTCCAAGAACGCAGAAAACGAACTTGCGTTCTTGTGGAAAGCGGTCTTGCCAGGTGTCCTCGGAAGAACGAACTCAGGAGACCGCGAGGGCAGAGAACGCGTCCTTTGAGAAATAGGATGCTGCGTTCTTCCTGATGGTCACGTGACCTTCACACGTTTTAAATTATTTAAACATTATTATTTAAATTATTTAAACATTACAGCATTCATACAGCGATTTATTGTTTTTTTCCCTCTTCAAAATATATACTTTGCATAAAAAACATTATAAATATACTCTGCACAATATAAATAAAACACATTTTAATACGAATTTCAGCAAACTAACACCCTTAATGTGTTTATTCCTTTATTAGGATGTTCATGGTAATGTTTAATTTCACCGTTTCATTTAGAGAAACTCCTGAGGTAAATAAATGATATCTCTGAACTTTATTAATAAATCTAAATTAAATGCTACGCTTCCCACATCCAGTCGCAATGACTTCTGGGACTTCCAGAGCGAGTTTGGTGCTCAAGTCTGCATCAGTGCGTCCTTGATATCAATTACACATCCGGGAAGTTTCACGCGTCCTCCGTACTTGCGGTCTTGAGTATTGGAACTGAACTTAGGCAGCTGATGATGACGTTGCACGAGAACACGAGGACGCAAGACCGCTGAAGAACGCATATTGAGAAACAGCCAGTGTGTAATTTGAATGGGAGTGCATATTATATATTATATAGCGAGATTATATCGCTCCCGAGCTCTTTTTTTTTTTTTTTTTGCTCTTCTATTCACGAACACTTCACCACCCCCCATTATTGCAAATAATCACATTGCGATATCAATGCTGAAACGATATGTTGTGCCGCCCAACATATTAGGATATTTACCAGCTGTTCAAATCATTTTATATTATCAAACATTGTAAAGAAAGTTAGGAAAGATGTTTGCTTGCGAATTTGTTTGCTCTATATATCAGATCTCAGTTACCTGTAGGAAATGTATGTGATCATCAGTGTGTAAAAGCTGCTCCAGCTCAGTGTTTCTCCACTTTAGATCTTCAATCTCCTGCTCCAGTTCCTTCAAGAGTCCTTCAACTTCACTCTTTGCATCCTTTTCCTGATTTCTGATCCTCCATATAACTTCAGATCGGCTTCTCTCAATGAATCGGATGAGTTCAGCAAAGATCTCCTCACTATCCTTCTCTGCCGCCTGTGCAAGGTGCTGTTAACATACACAACTAATCTCCATCAGATTAATTCAGTTTAGTATGAAATCTATAGTGAGCTTCAATGTGAACTAAAGCAAATAAACTCTAAATACTGTACATCTGCTCTCCTAACATCTAAGTTTTATTATTATTATCATCTGCTGTTCACTTACCCTGTTGGTCTTCACAGCGTCTTTCAGCTCCTGCATCCTCTTCTCTCTCTCCTGGATCTTCTGCTGGAAATGAGCCTGTGTCTCTTCCAGCTGTTTCTGGAAATATATGAAGAATATGTAGAGCTATTATGACAGTGTTCTCTAGCTGAATGATTAACTATTTTCTATGCTTACCTGTATGTCCGTCCTCTCTGATGTAGTCGATACGGTGTCATGATTTTTATGTTCGTCTACCGTACACAGTAAACAAATGCACTTCTGATCAGTGCGACAGTAAACCTCCAGCAGTTTGTCATGTTTTGGGCAGATCATCTGCTTCAGTTGTCCAGTAGCTTTGGTCACTTTATGTCTGCCGGAGTGAAACTCCTCATGGCGCTCAAAGTGAGTTTGACAGTAAGACTGTAGACACGCCAGACAGGATTTAACAGCTTTGTATTTCCTTTCGGTGCAAACATCACACTCCACATCTCCAGGTCCTGCATAACTAAGCGCTGGAGCAGTCTGAAATGATGCCCCCCTCAGTTTCTGCACAATTTCAGCAAACATCACGTTTTTGTTTAAAGCAGGTCTTGGAGTGAAGGTTTCTCTGCACTGAGGGCAGCTGTAAACTCTCCTCTGATCATTTTGATTCCAGTAGTCTGTAATACAGTTCATGCAATAACTGTGTCCGCAGGGGATGGTCACTGGCTCCCTCAGGAGATCCAGACAGATCGAACAGTTGAACTGATCCTCAGCCACGGAAATATTGGCTTCTGCCATTTGAAGGTGCTTAGACTGAAAAAGAATAAAAAGAGGTATAAAAAATACCTGCACACTGCCTTCACAAACTGAACTATTATTCAGTTCAAGCTCTGTTTATTTACTCAGGTTGTTTTCTTTAGCGATTTCTTTATTTGTTTCCACCTTACAAATCTGCATTTTTGCCAGATTAAAAATATATCAAGGGCATTCGCATTTAGGTAGAAGATACAGAAAGCTAATCAGACAGTATTTCGTAAAAAATCTTTAAAACCTGCATGATTTGGACTGGGCTGCATTGAGATTTTTTAGCATGACAAATAATCAGGCAGTGGTGTAAAGTAACAAATTACAAACACTCAACTGACTGTAATTGAGTCGTTTTTCTCAGAAATTGTAATTTACTAAGTAGTTATAAATGTGTACTTTTTACTTTCTCTTGAGTACATTTTTAGCGCTTTATCTGTACTTTTACTCCACTACTTTCCTTCAACCTGCAGTCACTGCTTTATTTTTTCCTGTCTATGAGGATTAGAAAATCAGTCCTGTGATTCCAACAAATCACAATACTGAACTACCTTAAGACATGCAGCAAACAGTTTGAGTGTATCAAAAGTGTTCAAGATGATGTCCGAAATAATTACAGGCAATGACCCAGACACTGTATAGACTGCTTGTTACTGATGAGAAAATGACAGATGTTTACTGTATGGTGACTGAAATGACTTTAAACAAGAACTAAAAGCACTACAGAATGTTACGTTTACACACATGCACAAATTGCATGTAAATGCATAAGCTTTTTACAGTGTAATACTCATCATCACTCTTGAGTAGTTTTACAAGGTCTGCTTGTTACTCATACTTTGAGTACTGTTTAAAATACACTTTTACTCTACTTGCACTACATGTTTGGGCAAGTATAGGTAATTTTACTGGAGTAGGATTTTTCAGTTCTCTGTCCACCACTGGTGTTAGTACAATACTTATTTATTAAACTGGTCACACAAGGAGTTAAATAAGGTTGAAGTACTATGAAACAGTGTATGTTGCTCGGCTACTACTTTTCTACAGCAACAGTTTCTGAGGAAATACACTGATGGATACACTTAAGGAATGATGGTGAAATGTTTATATATATATATATATATATATATATATATATATATATATATATATATTTGTTACATTTTATTTACTTTGTTTTGTGAAACCACGATACATACAGACCATTTCAATGTGGTCTTGTCTTTGGTCCATGAACATTTCCTGCCTCCAAACTATTTCATAACTGTAACAAGAGGCAAAATCAATCTCAACTTAACGTTACTGTTAAAACGACTATCCTAACATTGTTTATCAATATGTGTCTCTTTTTGGATTCTGGGAAGCTCTAGAAATTAAAAATTTACAACAGGAAATGCGTTGGGACCATTGTTGTTGTTTGCATTCCTTAAAATCTATATGGAATGGGCATTTCGTGAAAGCAATAACGTTACATGTAAGCCGTGGTTAACCGTGAATTTAAAACAGCAAACTGTTCACATTGTTTTCTTTATATGGGTCTTTTAGGGTTGAAAAAAATTTGAAGTGGTAAAATGAGAAGTTGAAAAATACCAAATCTGCAAAAACATACACACTCTAACGTACTGTAATTCCACTGCAAACTTAACCCCGATAAAAAAGAAATAAAGGATTAGGTAATACAGCCGGTTATATAACAAGAATAACACAACTGCAATTTTAGTTCACAAAAGTAAACCAAAATAATAAACACAACTCCCATGAAAACGCAGAATAAGCGTTATATGTAACGGTAACACGTTATACCAAGAAAGAGATGCACTAAATATAAGCTTACCTTTACTTGAATAAGTCCAGTTAAATTCAAGCACAACTGTTAAAATATGTTGTTCAAAGGAACTTGGCTGCCCGTCATTTCTCTACTACTTCGTTGTTCTTTGGACTTAATGGCGGTTTGGTGCATCTCCGCCACCTACTGGAGCGAAGGTTGCAACGATGATGTCGAGACCATATCAAGCATGGACCAATTTGAAATGATTTAACTTGTTTAAAATCATATTTGCTATAATTCTCTGTCTGTTGTAAACCCAAAATTACATTTATAAGGTGTTGATTTGACTAATAAAAAATGTACTAACAAACACATTCGTAATATTTTTCAGAAGCAAAGTAAAATTACTCTTGGAGGCAATTTTTTCTGAAACTCTGTTATACTGTAGTTAATATTAATTGGAAAAGAGCCTGGTTAACTGCCTTCAAATACACAATTAATAATAAAATTATTGAAATTAATTTTAAAATGCTACATACAATTTACCCAGTCAAATAGTTTTTATCAATGAACATTAAAATGGAGGATATCTGTGGTTTCTGCAAAGCAGATAAAGAGAGCCTTTGCCATTTAGTTTTTGAATGCAACATTGTTTCTGGAATGATCTAGCCAAATTTATTTTTAAAAAGACAAAACTTTGTTATTGTTTTACATTAAAAGATCTTATTTTTATTATGAAAACAAATCCAACAAATGTCTTCAATATATTGTTAATCTCTTTATTTTATTGGCAATATTCTACATAAACAGAAATTTGCTAAATCCTCTCCCACATTAACAGTATTTTGTATCGAGAGAAATTGTTGAAAAGCAAAAAGATTTGTATAAATTATTATGACACTTTTTTAATTTCCCAGTTAATTTTTAAAATCATTGGATGTAGAAATGCTGTACACTATGCTTTGTGTATTCAATTTTTTCTTTTTTACTTTTATTTATTTTTACTATTTATATTAATTTATACTTGTTTATTTTTTACCATTGTTTTGTTAGTTTTTTATGTTTCACCTTTTATATTGTGTTGTATGTTTGTTCCTGATTGTTTATGCAATAAAAAAAGCATAGACGTTTATAGCTATCTATTATAATGTTTATGATGCTAAGCGCGTGCGTTTATTTGTATTCAAAATATCTTTAATCAATTACTGAAAGATAATATATACTTGTGGTATGGTGTATGTGTAATCAACCACACCACTTCTGACTTTGATACTGATAATTTCGTTACCATATATCATTTTTTAAATGTGCTTGTGATATTTGTTGTCAAAATAATGTTTGGTTATTTTATTATTTAAAAAATCTGAATTATATGGGCAATTATAAAAAATAAAATCTTAAAAATAAACCGTTCTGGGAACAAGCATATTTCACTCACAGTGAGGTTCACTCTCTTAAGATATTTGATCTTAGCTGACTCCCAGTTAACTAATTTTAATGAGATTTATATAGCGTCTTAAAACCCTAATTTCTTGTAGAAAAGCTCAGCAAAAGAGAAAAGTCATTACAAGTGTGCAGTGGTGGAAAGAGTACTGAAAAATTATACTCAAGTAAAAGTACCATAATTTGCCTAAAAATGTGCAAGTAGAGTAAAAGTATCTGTTGTAAATATTACTCAAAGTATGACTAGACCTTTTAAGGTACCTTTTAAGGTACTTATGAGTAGTGAGTATTGCGCTGTGAAAAGCTGATGCTTTTACATTTAATTTGTGGATGTGTGTAAACGTAACATTCTGTAGTGCATGTAGTTATTGCCCAGCAGGCACACAACGTCATAGGACGTTAATATTAGGTTAGAATTAGGTTGTGATATCAAGTGACCAAAATTCAATGTCTAGCCAGCGTCTAAGGATAACGTTATATTGATGTTTAATAACAACGTTAAATGATGTTGATATTTGGTCGATTATAGGTTGTGTTAGAAAGTGATCAAAATCCAACATCGAGCCAACATCTTAAACCAGCGTCATATTGACGTCAAATACTGATATTTATTTATCAGGAATGGCAACCAAAATCCACCATCTGATAGACGTCATAGTGGTAACGTCCACACAACTTCAAGCTGTGACATTATTAGACGTTGATATTTGGTTAGCTTTCGGTTGGACATTGACGTTGGTCTGACATTGAGTTCTGAGTCTGACGTCAACGTTGTTAAACTTTATTTGTATAGCCCTTTTACAATGTCAATTGTGTCAAAGCAGCTCTACATAGAAGATCATAGTAAATACCAAACAAAACACAACGTCCTTCACGACATTGGGGTACAACGTCTGTCTGACGTCATGTTGATGTCTTGTACTTGCTGGGTGTTTAAGGCCATTTCAGTCCCCATACAGTAAACATCTGTCATCTTCTCATCAGTGATATGCATCTAAACAGTCTCTGGGTTAACGCATGTAAAGATTTTGGACATCTTCTTGGACACTTTTAATTGCCCATATCTTGAGGTAGTTCATTATGAGGCGATTTACCTTCTATGTGTGATTTGATTGGATGGGAATTACAGGACTGGTTTTTCTTATCCCCTTAGACAAGAAAAAATAAAGTAGTGACTGCAGGTTGAAGGTAAGTAGTGGAGAAAAAGGACAGATACAGCACTAAAAATGTACACAAGTGAGAGTAAAAGTACACATTTTTAAAACTACTCAGTAAATTACAATTCCTGAGAAAAAGTAATCAATTACAATAATTTTAGTATTTGTAATTAGTTACTTTACACCAGTAGTTCTCAAACTTTTTTCATCAAGTACCACCTCAGAAAAAAATTGTTTCTCCAAGTACCACCAAAATGAGCAGTATTGAATTACAGTAGCGTAGCTCAGTAAAGCGGCTACAGCTCTGCGCAGTTAAAAAAAAACCTGGCAGATTACCTCAGAAATATAGGCTATATGTCATATATGGCATATTATATACATCATTTTTGATAAATTTTGAAATATATGTAGCATGTACATGACATATTTCATTCCTCCGCGTACCACTAATGGTACAGGTACCACAGTTTGAGAACCACTGCTTTACACCATTGCAAGTGTGACGTGTGTGCGTGCGCGTGCGCCCTCTACCGGTCTGCTTCTACTTACACAATCGGTTAGTTTCAGTTACTTTCTCAAACGCGGAAGAAGAAACTCTTCGGTTCAGGTAAAAGTAAAAGAGCTTTTATGTCTGATAGACAAGTTTTTAATCTGTTTTCTAGCTGTCTAACTCTCTCTCTCTATCTTTCAAAGTGTCTATCTTAGGTGTCACAGGAACAATTGTATTTAGCGAGTTTTAAAACACATAGCATCGTTGTTCATTTTCTTTCAAACACAAATAGTCGTGTTTATCTCTCGGTGTCTAAAATAAAATGGCAGAAGCTAATGTTTTTTGGGCTAAGAATCAGTTCAGCTGTTCAGTGTGTCTGGGTCTCCTGAAGGAGCCAGTGACCATCCCCTGCGGACACAGTTACTGTATGAACTGCATTACTGACTGCTGGAATCAAGATGAGCAGAGGAGAGTTTACAGCTGCCCTCAGTGCAGACAGACCTTCACTCCAAGACCTGCTTTAAACAAGAACGTGGTGTTTGCTGAAATTGTGGAGAAACTGAAGATGACAAGAGTCCAAAACGTTGATCCTGCTCCAAGTTATGCTGGACCTGGAGATGTGGAGTGTGATGTTTGTACTGGGATGAAGTACAAAGCTGTTAAGTCCTGTCTGATGTGTCTGAACTCTTATTGTCAAACTCACCTTGAACAACATAACGGTTTCTTTAAAGATAAGAGACATCATTTAATCAATGCCACTGGACGACTGAGAGAGATGACCTGCCCTAAACATGACCGATTGCTGGAGGTTTACTGTCGGACTGACCAGAAGTGCATTTGTTTATTGTGTACGATGGATGAACACAAAAATCATGACACTGTTTCAGCTGAAGCAGAGAGAGCTGAGAAACAGGTATGAACTTAAAGCTACTACGGTATATAGTCTAGATGTCAGGGAAGTGCTTGTTGGTGTTTTACATGGAGAGCTTTATGACTGAAAAATACATGTAACATCAAGAAGACGCAGACAAATTTGCACAAAGCACCTCTTTCAAACAGTTAACAGATTTTGATAGACCTAAATGTTGTTGTTTTGAAAAAAAAATAATTCATTTGAAATTTTTAATGCAGGATGCCATCAAATGACAACAAGAGAGGAAGACAATCAGTCAGTAAATAATCATTTGAAACAGACATCAATTATTTTATACATTTGTATCTGTTTATTTTGTTTATTTGTTTGCGCCATTTTGGTTAAAGAAATCTAATTTGTACTCCCTTTCACTTCAGAAAAGGAGGCCTGGAATTCGAAGTTTTTAAATTCAGTCCTAAAGGGTTAAATCGGCATAAGGTTAACTAAATGATAGAACCTTTGAATTATGGATTTAAGGAAAAGTACTGATTAGTGTGTTTACATTTGTTCCATGTTGCAGAAACCCTTGGGGGGTGTTCAAAGAAAATTTGATCTTAGAATCAAGAGAAAACAGAAGCTGCTATATCAGCTAAAAGAGGCTGTGGAGACTCATAAGGTCAGTTTTAAAGTTTTAATGAGGATATATTTAAGAGTATTTTAAGTCCTACTCCTGAAACTCACCAAGAGCTAGTCTGATTATCTGTATTCTCTACCAGAGCTCTGCTCAGAAAGCAGTGGAGGACAGTGAGAGGATCTTCAGTGAACTCATCCAGTCCATTGAGAGAAGACGATCTGAGGTCACACAGATGATCAGAGATCGAGAAAAGACTGAAGTGAGTCGAGCTGAAGGACTCTTGAAGAAACTGGAGGAGGAGATTGAAGATCTGAAGAGGAGAAACACTGAGCTGGAGCAGCTTTCACACACTGATGATCACATACATTTCCTACAGGTAGCAGTGAAATGGAAAACATGAACTTTAGGATCATCCTATTATCACAGAAAGGTCAGGTCATTGTATTTAATTCACTAGCGATGGAGACAGATTTTCATTGTTTTTTCTTTATGGGCTTTTGCACCAGGTTATGAACTATAGGATTAGCCACCAGGCCAGATCTCTAAGAACTAAATATCCTATCTAACCATTTTCCTGATTGCATTCACACAATCACTAGACATTTTTATGTAAGGACACACAGACAGTGATATAAGCATCCCAACAAAATCAACCAGTGGAGGATAGAGGAGCTGGGTTTCTAATGTGTTGTGATAAAGGAGATGAATATAAATGTCAATTTTATGCAACTGAAAAAGCAAACAAGTGGACTAAACCACAAATATGTAGTGCTAAATATCCCCAAAGCTGAGAAAACAACACACTTTCGCTAATGGATCTAGGAGTTAATAAAGCTCCTCGAGTGCTTATACAAAAAGACGTTACTGATTCAAATCTGTTCTGTTCTCTTTGTCTCCTGTAGAGTATCCCGGTTCTCTCTGTTCCTCCTGCATCCTCAGACATCAGTGTCAGTTCTCTCCACTCATATGATGATGTGGGTAAATCCATCTCAGAGCTAAGAGAGAAACTTGAGGACCTTTGCAAAGAGGACATACAACAAATATTTGGTAAAGGTAAATCATACAGGTTTATTTGCAGTTAGTACTAAATCGAATTGGAAAACTCTAACCAGGGCTCAATAATAAGGACTGCCCGGTGGCCCAGGGCCAGCGTGAGAGATGCTTGGGACAGTAGACAGGATCATTACTTGTTCGATCCGGACAGTGATGCCTTGTCACTAACATTTAATTTGTCTGCGACTGTTTGTCAGTTGCGTGCATTTTAAGTTTGCGCTTTTAGGTCTTTAAACACAACCTTCTCTGTGATGTCATAATCACCATATTGTTTTCCGGTTCCTCTTACATGATTTGATGTTTTGAGCATGCTATTTTTTTCCGTAACCTGGTAACAACCAGTACAGCGAAGAAACAAACATGGCGGCAACATTAAATTATAAGGCTAAAAGAAATTGTCTGGAAGCAGACATTTACATGTGAACAGTGCAACTAAAAAAATGAAGTGATGTTTGCATAACACTTTTATTAACATTTTTTTACGTAATGAAATTCGAGATTCACAGACTTTATTTTTGACACATTATTTAAAATCTGCGGCTAAAAATAGCTATTAACTTCCCTTTTTTTTGGTGGGGCCAGTAAAAATTTTGGCAGGGCAAGTAAAAATCTGAACCACTGGCCTGATCGGACCAGTAGAAAAACTCCTTAGCGTTGAACCCTGCTAACATTGTGATATTTTTGCTTTTCTGCTAAATGTATTGCAATATGCATACTGTTATGTATTTGTGTTTTTTGTGCTCTGTTTTCTCTGTGTTTTTTCCCTCTCTCTCTCTCTCTCTCTCGCTCTGTTCTCCTGTATCTGCTCTCCTGTATTCTCAGGTTCTGTTCAATCTTTCGCTGTTTCGTCGCTTGTTTGTATTTACCGCGTGCGTTTTGAAATAACCCCGTCTAACTGTGTTTTGTTGTTGCTTGTTTCTGTGTGCACGTTATCCGTCTGTTATTCGTACATTGTTCTTAGTTTATCGTTGTTTACGAGGCTTGGACGAAGCGGACAGGTAAGAAGGTCACGTGACATACATTTCGCAACACTCAGGACTACTCTGCTGTCTAGTACACTAGGTTAGGGGTTCGTTGTTGTTGTTCACTTTGGGATTGTAAATAAAAGCACACATTTTTGGCATTACTTTGGTTGTCTTTCCACTCATTCACTGTTTATATAAATATATTTTAATTAAATAAATGTCAAACCCCACACCCTAGACTAACATCAGGGGTTTGTAACACATACAATTTCACCAAGTGGCTTGAGAAACTCTGTTTTGGAAGGAATTCATTAATTTAGACTGATTGTGATGACTCTGCAGAGGAGTGTATTTGCTTAAACTACAATAAACTAATTACGAGGAGAGATAAACAAATAAGAGCAAAGATACAAGTGAAATAAACCTTCTCTATAATTTTCTTGGGAGTCTAACAGCATTCAGGTGACATATCAAATATTCAAATGTAAAATAACAATGTATAGTCTACACGGAGCACATGGAGTATCACAGGTGTCAAACTCAGTTCCTGGAGGGCCGCAACTCTGCACAGTTTAGTTCCAACCCTAATTAAACCCACCTGATTCAACTAATCGGGTGCTTTAGGCTTGTTTGAAATGTAGGTAAAGCTGTGGTCACACTAGAGTTTAAGCATGCGAAATTTTGTTGTATGGCATTGCGAAAAGGGGCGGGATTAAACAAGATGATTAGACATTAAAAAATTGTGAGCAATTGGTCCATATTTTACATTTCTGTTCAGAGAGGTAATGTTTTGATCTTTGATTGGTCTCATGCAATCATGTGATGCAATTTCAGAGGTCAGAGTTCACCAAACTTACATTTTGTAACGCAGCAAACTGTGAAAACTTGTGGCACAAGTTTGCGTTTCCAGTCTGACGCATTTGCGTGCCTATGAATAGAAGTCTATGGGGAGAAAAGTACAGTTTGACCGCAGCTTTAGTGTGTTGAAACTAAACTGTGCAGAGCTCCAGTCCTCCAGGAGTTTGACACCACTGGTCTGCATTGTGTAAATAATTCAATACAATTAACCTTTATTTAAGTTACAAATGATACAATTTCTTGCACGTGAACACTTTAAACTCTCTTTAAATGCTCATACACTTGCAGCCCTTAAAACAAATGCACATAATAAACGTCCTCTCTATTGTGGTTAAATTTTGCATGTGTTTTGACCTGTGCTTTCTGGTAAATTATAATCCCGACTCAACATTGCGCATCCTGCGATGTGACAATTGTGCATGTTGAAATTGCAATATTAATGCTGATACGATGTATTGCGCAGCCGTATTTATTATTTATCGTATCGTATTTATCATATTTTGACCGCAAAAACGAAGAGAGATAATTATAGACCATTTCAATATGGTGATATCATTGGTCCATGAACAATTCCTGCTTGTCTTTTTCAGAACTGTAAGAAGAGGCGATTTAGTCATAACTAGGCCCACACGGTATCTGCGCGCACAGAAATCTGCAGATTTTCAGCCCATAATTGAGTCTATTTATTTAGTTGTGTGTAAATGTGTGTAAATTTATATTTATTCAGTTTTTAAATTAATTTCAGTAATATTACTGACTAATATTAAAACGTTCATTTCATATGGTTTACTTACAGTACAGTTTACAAAGTAATAATTTCTGTCTTTTAGTAGATATATTGTAGATATATTATATGGGAGACTTGCTTTGTTTAACAAATAATTGGATCTAATAGGATTTACATTTTAAACATTAAATAAAAGTTTAAATTTTATTATTTTTAATTTAACATATACCAATATACCCCAAATCATTCCACATAAATCCTCAGAATTTTTCACAACATTCTGCGAAGAAATGGCAAAAATGCCTGCAGATTCTGTCTTGCCCTAGTCATAACTAGGCCCACACGGAAACGCAGATTTTCCGCAGAATTACGCAGATTTCTGCAGGTTTTTAGCTTATCATTAATTCTGTTTATTTACATGAGTAAATGTGTAAATCTAAATTTATTCAGTTTTATTCAGTAATTTATTACTTTTTATTTAATATATTAGGGTCTTAGTTATGATACTCCGCTGGATACTCCCAAAATAATTCCGCTGAAATTCACAGATTTTTACCAAAATTCTCCGCAGAAATAGCAAAAAACGTCCGCAGATTCCGTCTGGCCCTTGTCATAACTAATGTTAACATGGCTGTCACTAAAAAAAGTATGAACATGTGGAGCTTTCTGGATTCTCAGAAGCTTTATAACTGAAAGATCTAAAACAGGAAATACATTAGGACCTTTGTTATTGTTTACATGCCTTATAATTGTCTGTAGAATTATAAATGCAATCGGTTTACTATTGCCTTTAAATGTCTTACACTCTATACGTCTGTTGGTTTTGTTAGTTACATACATGGAAATTGTTGCCTCATCTGGACTCAAAACAAGAGATGAATTCTTGCAATGTAAGTATTTCTAACAAAAAGCAAATACAAACTGTCAGACATTTATCAGTCCTCAAGAAATAATAATCCTGAATTCCAGCATGTTCTTATCAGGATTTAATTTTCCATCTTCTCAATATATAAAATAAATATATGTATAAATATAATTTTTGTTGCTCTGTTCAGATTCGTGTCATCTCACCCTGGATTTAAACACTGCACATAAATATCTCCGTCTGTCTGAAGGAAACAGAGTGGCTACTTTTATTGGAGCTGACCAGAGTTACCCGGCTCACCCGGACAGATTTCATGACTTTTCCCAGGTGTTGTGCAGAGAGAGTGTGTGTGGACGCTGTTATTGGGAGGTGGAGTGGAGCGGGGAGGCTGGAGTGGGAATATCAGTCTCATATAAGAGCATCAGAAGAAAAGAAGAGACTAATGATTCCGTGTTTGGATACAATGGTCAGTCCTGGAGATTGTCCTGCTCTAACTCCAGCTATAAATTCAGACACAATAGCAATGTTGTTGATCTCCCTGTATCTTCCAAATCCTCTAAAATAGGAGTGTATGTGGATCACAGAGCAGGAATTCTGTCCTTCTTCAGTGTCTCTGACACAATGAGCCTCATCCACAGAGTCCAGACAACATTCACTCAACCGCTCTACCCTGGGTTTGGGATTAATTTTGGATCAACAATAAAACTTCTATTGTTGAAGTCCTTATGAACTATAAGATAATTTATACATCCTCATGAAAAATGCAGATAGGAAATGTGGTAAACAGCTTCCTCTATCTTTCTGGTGATTATCATTTTAATCCACACACACACTATTTTTTCTTTATATTAAATTAGTCTAATATACTCATTAAATATCTCCCATAACACACTGTGCAGGTCTGTGTCCAGGGCACAATACAAGGGAACCCTATTGGATTTCTTTTCCTTTTGTTGTAATTGTAATTAAACACAATCCCGTAGGAGCTACTGATGCGTAGACACAGTTCACACAACCCATACAAGCAATAGAGCTGTTTCTTCTTTAAGAAGAGAAGTGTTGTTTCTCCTTTAAGAGAAGGAGGTTTGGAGTTTTGTGAGTTTTGAAATTGAGTGATACCTGCCTCTGTGCATTTTTGTTAGCACAACATCTATAATCCAGTGAATGTGTAAGAATTAGGTGCGTATAATGTCTTAGCTGTGTATTGAATATAAATGTGATGTCTAAACATTCCAAAATAATACAGAATTATTTTGATTGATTGGGGCAGCACGGGGGCGCAGTGGGTAGCATGATCGCTTCACAGCAAGAAGGTCGTTGGTTCGAGCCTCAGCTGGGTCAGTTGGCATTTCTGTGTGGAGTTTGCATGTTCTCCCTGTGTTGGTGTGGGTTTCCTCGGTTTCCCCCACAAGTCAGAAGACAGATGTGCGCTATAGGTGAATTGGGTAAGCTAAAAAATGATCTGTGAATAAATGTGTATGGATGGATGTTTTTTCAGTGATCAGTTGCAGCTGGAAAAATGGCATCTGCTATGTAAAACATATGCTGGATAAGTTGGTGGATCATTCCGCTGTGGCAACCACAAATTAATAAAAAGACTAAGCCAAAAAGAAAATGAATGAATGATAATTGGGGCATTTAATGCAATATTAAAAAAAGCATGTACAGTAGGCCTACCTACAAAGTATTATTTGTAATTATCATTTATACATATGGTGTGTGAATGTGAGAAGGTGTATGAGGTTTGAGAAAAAAAAAAGGTTTATTATAGGGAAAGATACTCAAAGAGCCTCAACTCTTGATGCGTGGAAAACGGGTGCAGACAAACTGGCAGAAAAACTCAATGGACAATATAAATGAATGTGTAACAACCTGAATCTTTAAATCTCTGATAGTCTGCGTGAATTTCTACTTTATGTAATTTACTACTATATGTATGGATGTATATATGTACATGTATGTGTGTGCACAAATATGGGTAGGTATATATACATGCATGTACAGTTAAACTACTAGGCCCCCCTGTTTATTCCCCCCCCCCCCCCCCCAATTTCTGTATAAAGGAAAGATTTTTTTCAACACATTTCTAAACAACAGTTTTAATAACTCATCTCTAATAACTGATTTATTTTATCTTTGCCATGATGACAGTAAATAATATTTGACTAGATATTTTTCAAGACACTGGTATTAAGCTTAGTGACATTTAAATGCTTAACTAGGTTAACTAGGCAGGTTAGAGTAATTAGGCAAGTTACTGTTTAATAATGGTTTGTTCTGTAGACTATCGAAGAAATAAAGCTTAAAGGGGCTAATCATTTTGTCCTTAAAATGTTTTTTTTAAATTGAAAACTGATTTTATTCTAGTCAAAATAAAACAAATACGACTTTCTCCAGAAGAAAAAATAGTATCAGACATACTGTGAAAAATTGTCCTTGCTCTGTTAAACATAATTTGGGAAATATTTAAAAAAAATAAGAAAAAAAATCAAAGGGTGTCTAATAGTTTTGACTCCAACAGTATGTATATGTGTATTATTTTCTATGGTATTAAATACTAAATATACCCTGTATTTGTCATGTATCATGTTTGTTTAAGATGCTGTGACCACTCACATGTAAAATCTATAAAAATTAATCACAAAAATAAAATAGTATCATTGCAGGCTGCACTGGCACAGCTTGAACAGAAATGAAAAAAAAAAACTATGTGTGAGCGCCCTCTTTAGGTCATTTTCCACGCACTACTTTCGATTTCTTGCAAAACCAGGAAACTCTTTGAAATGAGACCAACAGAAACTCGATGACTTGTTGCATATACCTTTGTGTGCATGTGTTAATAGAGTGAATATGTCAGTGACTACTCGGTGTTGTTCAACTTACTGTTTTCGATGGGTGATTGATTTGCTGATTGACCCACCAGCAAGTTTTGGGATTCTGAACAAGAGAATCAGACAAAGATGCAGTTGCAAAGCTTTCTCATGTAGGTGAGTTCAACTTTACAAACCGACAACAACAACAACAACAAAAACACTTTAAAGCTGTAATATACTTGGAAAATGGCAGAATCCAGCACTTCAGTGGTTGAGGATCAGTTCAGCTGTTCAATCTGTAAGGATCTCCTGAGGGAGCCAGTGACCATCCCCTGTGGACACAGTTACTGTATGATCTGCATTACTGACTGCTGGAGTCAAGATGAGCAGAGGAGAGTTTACAGCTGCCCTCAGTGCAGACAGACCTTCACTCCAAGACCTGCTTTAAACAAGAATGTGGTGATGGCAGAAATGGTGGAGAATCTGAAGAAGACAGGATTAAAATCTCGTGCAAATTATGCTGAAGCTGGAGATGTGAAGTGTGATGTTTGCGCTGGGAGAAAACGCAAAGCTGTGAAGTCGTGTCTGCTGTGTCTGAACTCTTACTGTGAAACCCATTTTGAATGTCATGAAGTCTTTCATTCAAGTAAGCGTCATAAAGTGACCGATGCCACCGGACGAATCCAGGAGATGATCTGCTCTCAACATGACCGACTGCTGGAGGTTTACTGTCGGACTGACCAGAAGTGTGTATGTTTAATGTGTGTGATGGATGAACATAAAAATCATGACACTGTTTCAGCTGAAGCAGAGAGAGCTGAGAAACAGGTATGAATGCTAAAGACTTAACTTAGTTTATCTTAAATTATGTACACACATGCATTAAGGTCTTAGTGGAATCAAAATACACAATGTTAGTGTTATTCTTTAGGTGAACAATTAATCTGTGCTAGTTAATTTACTGAAAAAATATTTTGGTAATCTTTAATTACCTAAAAGAAATCATTAGAAAATAATACAAAAATAGAAGATAAGTTATTAATAATTCATAATTAGTAGTTGATTATAATAATTCATTATAAAGAAATTCTAATATATTGCGATGAGGGATTTAAACCATTGAATATGTGCTTTATTTTTACACATTTAATTCCTTGTGAACCAAAGAACTTCTGATATTTATTTTTTTACTTTTGTTTTAGATTCAAGTTGGCGAAACACAAACACAATTACAGAACAGAATTCAGGAGAAGCAAAGCAAGCTCCAGCAGCTGAGAGAGTCTGTAGAGATACATAAGGTGAGTTTTAATAAAGGTGGCACGGTGGCTCAGTGGTTATCACTGTCACCTCACAGCAAGAAGGTCGTAGGTTCGCATCCGGCCTGTGTCAGATGGCATTTCTGTGCATGTTCTTCCCGTGTTGGCGTGGGTTTCCTCCAGGTGCTGCGGTTTCCCCCACAGTCCAAAGACATGCGGTACAGGTAAATTGGAGAAACTAAATTGGCCGTAGTGTATGTGTGTAAATGAGTGTGTATGGGTATTTCCCAGTACTGGGTTGCAGCTGGAAGGGTATCCGCTGTCTAAAACATGCTGGAATAATAAAAAGTTAAAAAAAAATTAGAAAAAAAAATTAGAAAATGGTTGACACTCACACACACAAGTACTTTTTACTTAGCATACAGTACATATAAATGTAAAGATTATGACTAATATTGGCAATTGCATAAGGCATACAGCCATTTTTTCCCTAATAATTTGAGTGTGTGACACAGTTGAAATTAAATATGTATATGAGCATAGCACAAGCCCTTACAGGTCTGGAATCTTCACATTTTCTGATATGAGAGACATTTTATTTAGTAAAAGTAAATAAATGAAAGAATAATGGCTCTGCGTTTCAGCATTTTATCTCACTGTAGAATCACTGTATTAGGATAACAGTTTTTTAGGCACTTGCTTGACAGAAGCATCAACAGCTTTCAAATATATCTTTATTATTTCAATTAATAAAGGTTTCTTAATGCATGAATACAGCCCAAGCTATATAGTGAGAAATAATGGGAAATATACAAACAGGTAAACAAATGAATACAATCAGGCTAGGGGCTAAATATGCACCACAGAATAGAAAATCAGGAGACATTATTAATTTGGTGCTAAAAAGGTGTCCTGAACTGCCAATTAAATATATCTTTCAAAATAAAAGCTTTGCATCAACAACAACAAAATAATTACAATGGTTGAAAGAAATGTAAAGACACATTAAGTAAATGTCAGGATGAACATATTTTAGGTTCTTACAAGACTTGTTTGTTTGTCCTACCAGAGCTCTGCACAGACAGCAGTGGATGATTGTGAGAGGATCTTTACTGAAATCATCCGCTGTATTAAGAGAAGAAGATTGAAGGTCACACAGATGATCAGAGATCGAGAAAAGACTGAAGTGAGTCGAGCTGAAGGACTCTTGAAGAAAGTGGAGCAGGAGATTGAAGATCTGAAGAGGAGAAACACTGAGCTGGAGCAGCTTTCACACACTGATGATCACATACATTTCCTGCAGGTAACTGGGAAGACTATTATATGTTGTACTGCAGACTGTTTCTTTTTAAATTTTGACATCAAAAAGAGCAAATCTATGTTTAAAGGCCATGATATGCTGAGGATTTCGCTGTGATTACTATAGCATGTGAATTCCTCCATCATCATGAATGCATCTTTATATTTCTGTTGACATTTTGTTTATGTAGAGTTTGCAGCCTCTCATCATCCCTGCTGAATCTACAGACAGCATGACTGTCAGTTCTCTCCCTTCTTATGAAGATGTGGGAAAATCTGTCTCAGAACTGAGGAAGAAATTGGATGATTTCTGCAAAGAACAGATTAAATTAATTTCTGCTTCAGGTAAAACACAAACTCATCTTGTAAATTAGAGCTTGATTGTGGTAAATAGACATGGCTCACACAAATGTTTCCAAAAAAGACACACACAGACAATAAAGTCAATATTATTGGCCCCTTATTGATTGCCTAACCAACTGTCATTATTATACAAGGATTTTCCTAATTACATTAACTTACCTAATTAACCTAGTTAAGCCTTTAAATTGCAGCTGAATACTAGTATCTTAAAAAATAACTGGTCAAACATTATGTATTATTTGTCATCATGGCAAAGGTAAAATAAATAAGTTATTAGAAATGAATTAGAAAATAAAATTCTGACTTCAGCTCTATATATGAAGAGTTCAGATGCAAAAACCTGTAAGTGCCGTCTGAAATTTCTGTCAAAAGTAAACATTTTTCTCAACTTCCTTTGTTTATGTTGATTTATTTTTACATAAAAGACCATGAAAGAACTTATTTTTTGGCATAAAAGTGAAATTACTGAACCTACACATAGGAGCCTGATAAAAATGCACATTTTAAAAG